TATTATATTTACATTAAATTGAGGAACGTGATATGGCAAATAAAATTGGATTTTTAAAAATTCAAAATAATTTATGCGGATCACTTAGTTGTTTGATTATTACAGATAGAATAATATCGATTTCAGATATAAATATAAATAAAAGACTTTTATTTAATGAAAAAGAAAATGAAAAACTTGTTTAATAAACTAAATATGATATAGAATTAATTGATTTTAATTGTTAAAACAATCAGGCTGTTTATGGAACCTGTCTATTTATTAAAGATTAAAATATTTTAATAAAGAATAGTTTGTTAAGAAATAACTATGCAAAGATGGCTGGAGGTGCAATTTATTTTTAAGGATAAAATAAATTATTAACTTTATTATCTAGTAAAGTTTCTTAAAATCAAGCGTTATTTGGTGGAGGAATATTTACATAAAACTCAAGTTTATCAAATTACTCTAAAATGGGTTCAATCATTAATAATAATAAAGGTATGAAGTATGGAAATTAGTAATCAACAAATCCTACTCATATAACAATTACTTTAAATAATTATGGATCTATCTTCTTTACTAATATAAAAATGAATAATTCTTATACTTTAATTGAAGAGGTATTAGTATAGAATAAGTTTCTATATAAAAATAAATACATTAATCTTATTTATCTACCTAGTGGATAAAAAATAAGCGAATATAAATAGTTTAATATAACAAGTAGAAATTACTAGTCTAAGAATCTTACTTTTAGAATTGTGTTGATGAATGAATTTAGAGAAATTTATTATAATTTATCTAATACTAAATGTATTTTGAAGAGTAGAATTTATAATTTGAATTTATCTGAAGAATAGTAAGAATAATTCTCTAATAATTTTACAAATAAAAATGAGATTCTTTTTAATTCAGAAACTAATGATTATAATTTAGATGATTTAATTCTATTATTTAATACTAATTAAATAGATGAATTAATTTTATAATTAGAAATCAGATGCGAAAACATTATCATCCCTAATTACAATTAAAAATTCCCTTTTTAAATATTAAATTACCATAATAATTATAGTCTCTAAATTAATGTTAAAACTTATCCATGTTAATATGGAGAAATATTTAATAATGGAGTTTGTGAAGTTTGTGATTCTTTTAATAATTTTTATTAATTAAAATTAAATTAATAAAAATGTAATTTAATAGATGAAATATCTATTAAAGAAGTGACACCAACTTAATTAAATATCTATTAAGTAATATTTAATATTTTAATTTAGGGTTATTGGAGACCTTATTTTGATACAAATTAAGTAGAATATTGTTATAATCTACCTGAAAGTTGTTTAGGTGGTTGGAAGGAAGGTGATGATTCTTGCATAATTGGACATATTGGAGCATTGTGTGAATAATGTGATATTTAAGATTTAAGGGGTGATGGAAAATACTCTATAAGTGGGCCTTATTAATGTGGAACATGCACAGATTAATAACTTAATCTATTTTCAATAATTGGAATAAGTGTTTGGTAATTAGATAAAATATATTTTAGGACTTTGTTGACTATATTAATTGCTGCTAAAAATACAGTTACTATTGTAATTAATAAATTATTGATTGTTAAATTAAAAAAAGCAGGTTTAATATTAGTGCCTTAACCTTTAAATGAAGAATTATTGGGTAAGATTCTTACTAATTATCTTTAAATTATTATGACTATAACTACATTTAGATTATCATTTCCTGATGAACTTAATTATGCAATTAATTCAACTGGAAATCCAATAAAAACTATGGCTTATTCTCTGGATTGCTTTTTAATTTATGTCAATTAAATAATAGAACTTCATTATTTAAGAATGTTATGGTAAATATTAATGCCTATTATATATATATTGTTATTTTTGAGTGGTTATGGGCTCTGTATTGTTTTAAAGAAATGTAAATATCATTCTACTGTATTATCTACAACACTTATTAATATGTATATTATTTTACAGCCTAGCTTAATTGAAGGATTCATTAAATTGATGTCATATAGAACAATTTCAGGATTTGAATGGATATCTATAAATGTAGCATATAGGTATGATACAGAGAATCATTTTAATTGGATGATGTACTTTTGTTTCCCATTTTTAATTTTAATTGCTATAATTATTCCATTAATATTCTTTGCATTCTTATTTTTTAATAGAAATAATCTAGATTGTAATGAAAATAGAATGAATTGGGGATTTCTATATAATGAATATAAGAAATCTGGATATTTTTGGGAAATCATTAAATTAATTGAAAAAGAGTTAATTATTATTATTTTAGCATTTTATGAGACTAGTATTATCATTAAAGCAATTTTAATATATATCATCATATATATTTATTAATAATTGACAATTAAATATAAACCTTACGAATCTAATGTATTAAATGAATTGGATCATATAATGACATAAGTATGTGGTTTTTCTATTGTACTTGGTATTGGAATTTATGTTTCTAAACTAAATTACGAAATTGTTTATCCCTTATATATCATATTGATATGCATTAATCTATATTTTATGTTTTTAATGATCAAAACACTATTAAAAGCATATTTGATAGAAATGGGTAAAGATATAGTTATGATATGTTAAAAACTCAAAAAGTACATTAAATTTAGTTGGTTTTAAAATTGTAGATTTTTTGAAAATAAAGAAGAGAAAAAGAGAAGAATCAAAATTAAATTTAATAATGTAAAGAAGTCAATATTAACAATATCAAGAACAATTTAATAAGGAAAAAAGGAGACAGAATTATCAATAATTGAAGATAAAAATCATTATGAGAATATTTAAGAATAGATTTAAAAGGAAATAAATAGTGTAATTCAGAAATAATAGATATCTTCATTATCAAGAGATCTCGAAATGACTTTAGCATCTCATAAAGGTGGAAAACCTGATATGAAATTATTTAGTAAAGTCTTCCCAGAAAAATCATAATGAAATTATATAAACTTAATTATTTTATAACAATATAAAATAGATTATAATATATATTAATTATAAATAAAATTTATAATAATAATTATTTTTATTATTACCTAAACTAAGTTAATTAATAAATAGAATTTGAAGTTAGGTAACATTCTTATTAAAGGTTAATTAAGTAATTTATATATGATTTTTCTTATACTGTATTAATAATTATAGAATTTGTTATGATATTATTATATATTTCATAAATAAGTTATTTTAATTATTCATTCTATTTATTAGATGGTAATTTCAAAATACTTTTAATTATTATTATTTTTTATGAAATATTGACATAAAGATTCAAATTAAAATCTACTAATTGAATTAATTCATGATAGAGAATAAAAATATCTAATATTTATTATCAATCATTTACTAGAAGAGTACATAATATTATAAAAGTAGATTGATCTTAGATTATTTATTAATAATAATATCATATTTTATAATTAAATACTTAAAAGTAATAGTAAAATCCATATTGATTTTGAATATAAAAAATAAATAAAAAATAGAGTTTTGATTGTTATATATCAATTAGATTAATCATGTAAATTTTATCATTTCTGTATGTCATTTTATAATGTTATGTTTTATATCAGTATAGTAAAATAATGAACAAAAATATGTGTTATAATATAAAAATTAATGAGTTTAATTGATCAAATTCTTAGCATAGGAAATGATCTATCAGGGCCTTAAATATTTGTTATTTGTTAAAAATGGTAATTTAGCATATTAAAGATTAGGTATGAATAATTTCAGGATGAATTGTATAATTATAATACTAAATTCTCTAAAATAGATAACTATTCACTTTGGTATGAGTTTATGGCAATAAATTTAGCATTTGTTAAGAGGAACAAGTGCAATTAAATAGCATTTTGAACAATTTTAAGAGAGAATTCAATATTTAGCCAATAATTATACAACAAAACTCATAGGAGTAAATTCTAAAAGTTGATAAGCGTAATTAAGCTCATTACATAAGTAAAGCACTTTGGGAGTTTTTAGAAGAGTAAGTGAAAGGAGGTAAACAATTAGAATATGTTGTAATTTAGGTCCATGTATTCCATTATACACAATGACTAAATAGGAATCAAATGTAGTACGAACAACGTTTGATAACCTTAAATTTATGACAAATAATGAAATTGAGGAATTGATGCCTAATTTAGTAGTTCCTGTAGATATGATTTAAATGGAATTTCTTATTTAAAATGAGGATGATTCTCTAATATACTTTACTAAAGTTGTTCCTTTAGCATTTACAATAGAATAATTGATAACAAAAATACTGACTCCTCTTTTTGACATATCAAATCTAATGTGTTACAATTACTATTTAAAAAAATTCTTAAGTAACAAAAGTTCAACATTTATTTGTGAATTATAAATCAAATCATTATGGTTTCTTAAAAATATAATGAAAAATTGTGTGAAAATCTAGAATGAAGAATTAGAATTCACAGAGAATTTGGATGAAGTCTAAATGATAGAAGACTTCTAAAATTTTAAAACAGAATCTACAACAGAATCTAGAATACCATCTTTATTGGATATATCCTAATAATAATAAAATAATCATCTTCATGAATTTGATGATGAAGGTAATCAGAGTAATCTAAGTAATTAAATTTATTAATATATAAGTGCTTAGAGATATAGATGATTTTAAAAATGAAATTAGTACTACTCTTAAACATAAGAAAAACTAATTATTAGTCCTTTTAAAATATGAATAGGCAATAGAAAACATAAATTAAATTATTTAATCAATAGAATAAGATAATTGTTTTAAAAAAGAATAATAAGAAGAAGGAACTAATGATGAACTCATTGAATAAGATATTTGATTTCATAAAATAACAAACATATTCAATTTCAATTAATTAAGAAACAATTTATTATATTCTTATATTCTTTAAATATGTATTGTTTTTTAAATAAAAATAATCATATAATATAAAAACCTATTCATTAATTAATTTAAAGATGCGAATACCCTAAGTTTATTTTGAATGCATGGAGAAACGATTTAAAAAACAAAAAAAATGCAATCATACTGAAGACTATAGTTGGATTGAAAATATTAATAAACCCTTAATAGAAAGAATATCTGATTTTGCAAAATGTAAATACTTACAAGATCCTAAATAAATACTCATAATAAGTGAAACCATTGACAAGATATTAGAAGCAGGTGTTGAATTATTCTAATAATAAAATTAAAATCCATGCATTTAATTGCTTGGAGAATGCAATTCTATTTAACTTTGGAATTTGTGTTTATAATGTTGTGATTTTATAAGGAATTGTGGCAATCCAAAAATTAGTATTAATATATATGTAATAAATTAGTTGATATGATATTCAGTTATGAACATTTAATTAATTTGATATTTCACAATCCAGACTATGATTTATCAAAAATTTACTAAATTATATAATGTTTATAATTCCTTATAGAATCTATGAATACATCTTAAATTTGCAAATTAAAAAGTATAAACATTTATAATTTCTTTAGATGAATATTTTGAAAAAGTATTTTTAAGATTCATGTACATTAATGCATTCTTTCAAAAGAGCATTTATAATCTAAGCAATTAAGAATAACAAGAGTTATTTTAATTATAATTGGATAATTGTATTTTAAAGTTCACATTTCCATCTGATGATATGATAAATTATCAAAGATATTTAGAAATTAATAATTTACGTAAAATCTTAAAACATCCTTTATAATCATTTGAAGTTTAATTTAATTCCAGTAAAAACCCTTATGAATAATCCATTTAGATTATTAAAGAAAATAAGATTGATAATGATAGCATACTTTTTGATTAAGTCTTTATTCGTTTGCTATGTCATTATTCAGGTACTGAACTATTAATTTAGAAGATGTTTATTAATAATTATATATTTCATTTTAGATGTCTTTTCCAAGAATTCCAATTAATCAATAATAAAAGTATGTTGGATATTACAAATAGATTAATTGATTAAAAAGATTATCTATTTCTATTAATTAGAATGATAGCTATCAATAAAGAAGAATCCTTAAATGATGTTATGGTATAAAGTCTTCAATTTATTAAATCTAAATAAATACAACTCTTTGAACAAAATACCTTTTTAGAAAAATTATGGTTATTTGAACTATAAGGAATTTAAGATTCATTAATGGAATGGAAATAAGAATTCTAAATTACAGAAGGTAACTTTTATGAAAATAAATTATAATTAAGTCCAAAATATTAATAGATATTCTTTCAATAATTATTAGATTAATAATTTACATAGATATTTAAAAAGTAATCCAATTATTAATAATGGAATTATATAATCATTTCAATTATTAGAAAATCTTTTTTAGAAGATGGATAAACTAGATTACCTTATCATATAATGAATCCATTATTGACTTATTCTGTGAATCTTATAATTGAACTTCCTGGAAATAATCAGAATTAATAATTAGATTATTAATTAGAAACATAAATTATACAAGGATTGTTTGAAATCTTAAAAAATTGTTGTTTATCATAATAACTTTAATTATAAATAAGAGGATTTTAATTACTTAATCAATTAATAACTTATTATAAATAAGAGTTTGATCAAGTCTAAATTTAAAATGCTTAATCAGAATTTATGATGCCTGTTCCTGAAAGATATCACAAATTGTTATCAGAAATTTGGTCCAATAAAATTTTAGAATAAACTTTACAAAATTCATAACTAAATGAATAATTATACACTTATTTGATAACTTTGTTAGCTCTAAATATGGGTGAGAATCCAGGAAGAGTTAGAGAATTCTATGAAAACAATAGTTTACAATATCTAATAGAAAGAATAATGGAACTTTTATAAATATGTACTAGAGGATCACATTTGATTGTAACAATAATTAATTTATTGATTGCTATAAGTACAAATGAATAAGCTATTTCATTGGCCTTATCATCAAATAATTAAAAAAATTAAGAAAATCTAATTAAATAGATATTTTCTAAATGTTATTTACCATCAATTGAACTTCTGCATGATCCTAATGTTAGTGAAGATTTTGCTAAAAAGATAATTATGTTGTATAGTCAAAGTTTATTAGCAAAAAAGCAAATAGAAAAGGTTATTGAAAATACTTTTGTATAAATTTCATAAATGGTTGATTTAAGTAAAGATAAAATTGAAGATATTGTTAGTAATTAAGAAAAATTATAATCATTTTATGGATATTCTAAAAGTCTTTAAGCTTTATTGTAATTATTTATGTAATTACAACCAGAAAAGAAATAATCATCATATCGATAATTCTAAGGATATGAAGAATTACAATTAGAAGAAGCTTAAAGATAAAAAGATTTATTGTTCAATTCATTGTTAAAAAATTCAAAATTTGTTGAAGCTTTGGAAAAAATTATTATGAGTCCAATCCTAATAGGAAGTAAGAATAAGGACAAGTATATAGAACATTATGTTGGAATTTTGTGTAAGAAAAATAAAATAAATCCTTTTACTTCTTTATAAAAAGAATTAGATTTAATATCTAAAAATTACATGATTATTGAAGATAAGAAAATTATAGATATAGGTAAGTTAGTTGATTATGATGCCTTATCAACTCATATGAGTTATAAATACTTTTTTAGAAAGATAATAAAGCATATCTCACCCTAAACTTATAGAGGTTTTTATATTTTAAGTCGTTTCCATTTAATACATTATTTAATTAAGATTTGTATAAGTCAAGGAGGAGTGTAACTAAATGAAATTCATTTATTAATTGCTTAATTATTGCAAATCTATTTTTTATCATCACAACATGCTGGATTTCATGAATCAATTATGATGTTTATGGCAGCAAAATGTCAGATTAAAAAATGTGAAAATAATTATGATGAGGATATTCAAATAAGAAGGAGGATAAGCAAAGACAATTTAATACCTCTATAAGAGTCATGTTTAGAATTAATAAATAAATTATAATAATAAGCCACAATTGAATAAAAAGAATTTTTAATAAATAAATATGGAGAAATAACACAATTATTCTTTGTTAATTTTAATGAAAAATATTAATAAATTAAATAATCTAAAGGATTAATATTAATTTAAAATGTTACTTATATTTAAGATATTCTTAAATCATTTAAATTCTTTTTAAATCTATTTCAAAATTTAATACAATAAAATCAACCAATATCATTTACATTTATATGCTATTAAAATAAATCTTTTTATTTAGATTTTATTGATATGATTAAATATTTAGATAGTGTATAGAAATTACAATAAAATAATAATAAAGAATAAGAAATCATTAAGAAGATTCTACCTAATTTTATTGAAGCTTTTATAATACATATTGATAATATTATCAAATCATCAATATTTAGAAAAATTCTTTTAGATAAAATTCAATTGTCTAATCAGTATATTATTGATCCAACTTAATTAGAATATGTATTCAATGAATTAATATTTTCTTAAACACATTTGATTAGTTAAATGATTGACTTACTACTTTATAACAATTCTGAAGGACCATTAAAGAACTTATTTGAATAGCTTATACAAAAATTTTAGTCAATTTAAGATATTTAAATCAAAGATCTTCAAAAAGTAGGAGAATAAGAATAGAAGGATCAAATAGTTGCTTAAAAAGATCTTGTTTAATAATTATAAGGTAATGAAATAAAAGAATAAAAAAAGTCAATATTTGATAGACCAGATATCCAATTAATATTAGATAAAATATGTGAAATGGGAATTAATTAAAAATTAGCTAAGAAAGCCATTTAAAGAGTAGAAATACCAGAACCATCAATGATTGTAGACATGATATTTAATGGAAGAATATCTGATGATGAAGAAGATTTAGATGACCTAATTTTTGAATCAGAATAAAAAAGTGATAATTCAGAAACTTAAATAAGCAATTAAAAAATCTAAACTGATACCAAAAATTAACTTGAATAAGATTAAAATTAGAAAAGTGTTACTATCATTGACAATGAAGCTTTTTTTAAAGTTTTAAATGAAAATTTTCCATTAAACAATACATAAATATAAGTATAAGATAGAGTTTACTAATTGATAAATAATTTTTAATAGAAATTAGATGATACTATCAATTAACTATTAGATTAATAATTAAATAATTAAAAACCTAATCTCAATCTTTTAGAATACTTATTCACAATTACAAAAAAATAATAACATATCCAAAAAATTTTGGATTATATCTTTGTATCATTATAATCAATAAAATAAGTAGAGAAGATTTAAGATTTGAATTAAAAAATGAATTTATTAAAAAATGCTCTATAATGGTTGACACTTCTGTAATCAATTTGTTCATTAGAACATGAAAAAATATATTAAAATTTTGCACAAATAGATAAGGAGCCATAATCAGATATAAAATTTATATTATCATTTTAAGAGATGATTAAGTTAGGATTTGTTTTGATTCAAGAAATAAATGACCAATTCATATAATAAAGTTAAAATGAATTTAAAGAATTAAAAGAATTAAATTATTAAGAATTAAACTATTCTGAAATTTACTAAAATGTTCAATAAATAACTAATGATCTAAATGTCTTATATGAAAATAAATATAGTACTCTAAGATTATTTTGTAGAGAACTAATGGAAGCCTAAAAATATTTAACAAAATTTGTAATTAATTAAAAAAATTTAAATGATTAATTAATAGAAAATTATTGGAATTAAATCGAAATTTATATATAATTCTAAATTTAAATATGCATTGTTAATTTTAATTTATAGGAGGAGTCTTATATATCTTACAAATTATTAGAGTAAATCGATACATTTATTAATAACAATTAAGTTTTAAAAGAATAGAGAGACTCTACACAAAATATGATTTACTTACAATATTTAATACAGAGTAGATTCATTTTTGATAAATCGATAATTATATAATTACTTTAATGCTTAAATAATTTTGGATTACATAATTAAAATAAGTTATATCATATTCTTATAAAGAGATAGTATTAAAATAAATAATCATTATTGGATGTATTATTATAGTTAAAAGTTCATTAAGATCATATTGAATATGAAGAATCATAACCTGTATTTTTAGAGAATCTAATTTATTTGATTGGAATTGATAGTCAAACAGCAAAGGATTTAGTATTATTAATTTTGAAATAAGTAATGCTAAATGAACATATTGATTGGCATGCATAATAATTAAAAAACTTAGATGAAATAAACTAAATATAAATGCCTTAATAATTTATTGAATGTTAATTATAATATTTACTATGGTATAATCCAGTACTTATTAATAATCCAATTGTTTACAATATTATAATTGAATAATAAGGTCTTTCTATTGCTGATCAATTTTCTGAATTAAAAAGAATTCATGGATTTAAGTAATCTTCATTATAGACAACTAGTAAATTGACAAAAGAGTAAGAAAAATAATTTAAGGAAAAGGAGATAGAGCTTCTTTAATAAACTTAGACTAATTTAATAATCAGATATGAAATAGATCATATAATATAACCATAATTGAACTCTAATTTAATAGATTTAATAAATATTATAGCTTAAGCTACAGTTGACAGATTCTTTGAAGAGAACTTCAGATTCATAGAATAAGTATTTAATATAAAATTAACTCAATATAAAGATGATATAAGAGTTTATTTATATGGATGGGACTAATTGTTGAGAATAATTGAGATGTTAATTATAAAGATTCCTTAATTAATATTATATTTAAGATAATTGAAGATAACATTACCATTTCAAATTAATAATGAAGATTAATAAATAAATTTCATTTAATTTATAATTTAATATTTGACATGGGTTGGCATAGATAAAATATCAAATTTTATGCATAATTATTTAAGTGATATAAATCTACTTTCATTTGGATATGGAGTAACTTTGGGTTAAGAAGTCTTAGAAATATTATTGAATGAGTTAAAAATAGAACATAATAATAATATTATATAGAAATATTATCATGTATTGTAATTATTAGTATTATTTACATAAACATTGACAACCTAAAATTGTTTATTAATTTTGACTGATTAAAGATCATAATTGAATATTGTCCCTAAATTAATTAATACTTTAAATAATGTAAGACAATGTGAAAATAAACAATTTGTCAAATTATATTAACAGACAATTGCTAAAGTATTGGAACCATTCTTGTAATCTCAAGTATATTTAGAGCATATAAAATAAGGCAAATATGGAAATGTTTTTAGATTACAATAGAATATTACATAAAATTCATTTTAATTTCATTATCTACATTGTCTAAAGAATTAATTGATTTGTTATCATTTATATCCTAATTTCAAAAGTACTGCTGGTTCAGCTTAACATTTCATTTCACATCCATAAGTTTAGCAAACACTAAAAGATGAACATTAGTAAGAAATTATTTGGCCTTTGTATCAATCAAGAAAAATCTTCAATAATCAAAAACTTAATAATCAGAAATAATTAGATGAAGACTTAAGTGATTCAGATTCAGACTTAGATATTTTATAAATAGAAAATAGTCAAATCAAATATAAAGCAAATTATTCAAATAATAATTCTTGGGGAGAATATTATTCCTATGATAATGATTTTATATCCAAAACTAATATAAATAGAGATGAAGAAAGACAACATAAAGAAAATTAGAACAATCTCTTTCCCCAAAAAGATTTAAATATTCTTTTTTGTTGTTTAGATTAAAAGTACTATAATTTCCCTTTGCCAAACTTATAAATTACAACATAAAATATTACATATCATTAAAATGATTATAAATCTTGGATAACATCTGTTGTTGGTCTTTATTTTAGTTTCAATGAATATTTTGAAAATAAAAAATAATTAATCTCTAAAGCATATGATAATTAATTAAAGTATACTGTTGAATATATATAATCTATAAATAGATTACTTATATCATCAAACTATTATTATAATCAACAAGTTGAATAGCTAAAATAATATCTATCATATTATTTAAATGGATCTTTAAATTATATGTAAATTCAACCTGGAACTCCATGTTTCTATTCCAAATTTGGTTAAGCACCCAATTAAATTCAATAGGATTACTAAGCTAATTCAATTTCAATCAATATTAATGATCCAACATTTTAATAAAAAAAAATCTTAGCTTAAATCTCTTGTAATGTATTATAAAGCAGAGTAGTACTCAATGGAATGCCCAATGATTTATATGGTTTAGGATATCTAAAAACAAAACTAAAAGATCTGCTACATTCGGAAGAAAGTTTAAACTTGAAGCCATAATTAATGGAAATTCCTAAAATAACTATGATTTATCCAAATGAGTAACAAATACAAATTACTGATAATATATTTTTGGAAATGCTTTTGTCTCTATTATTAGATTAAAACAATTTTCTATAATTTCCTTTTAATCTCTTGCGTTAGATTAGTAAATGTTCTCGTCTTGGATTCAAATTACTTATTTAGTTACTCATACTATATTAAGAATAGAAAAATAATTAAGAATTAACTCTTAAAATTTTGTATTTAGTGAGTTAGAAAATTCCATCAAATAATTTAAGGGATCTACTCTCTGAATAATTATAGATGAGTCCAATACTTAATAAAAGAGAAAAGGCTAATCTTGCAAAGGGATAATAAATTAAAGAGTAATATATTATTGAAGAAGAAAACTTAGATGAATAAATATAAGATGATGATCTTGAGAATCCTTTAGTATTTTTGATTAACCAAATAAACTTTTATAGTGAAAAGAATGTATCATTTATGACACTATTTCATAATGCTGAATCCCACATACTAATTGAGAAAAGTATTAATTTATTTATACCAATTTTAGATATCTTGTTAACTCCTCTATTAGCCAATCAAACTAATTTACAATTGTCTTACTTATTTTAGATTATACGAGGATCTCTTATGATAAAATCAGATGAAAAAGACTATGTTAATAAATTTGATGATGAAAAGCTTTATAACATTATGAGGAGATAAGCAGTCATATATAATGGTGGAAAAGATCAAAGAAAAATATTTGAGTTATTTTCTTAATTAAACACAAAAGAGGATATTTAATTCCATGATTTGATTTTTTAGACATTAACAGACAAAAATTAAGAATCATCTGATTCTTGGGATTAAACATCTTTTTCATTAAAATCACTTCAGTATAGATAAATTGAAGAGCAATCTCAATTTAGGTAAATACCTAATGAATCGATTGTCTAAATATAACCTCCTTAGCCTCCTTAATCATCCTAACCTAAATAACCAATACTTCCATTTTCTGTATCTTCAATGTCAATCTTACATTAGCAATAAAAATTACAATAGTTTAAATAACTTAGATAATAAGTTTAATAGATATAAGCAATTCATTAATTAAAGATAGCTGATGATTAATAATAATAATAATAATAATAATAATAATAATAATAATAATAATAATAATAATAATAATAATAATAATAATAATAATAATAATAATAATAATAATAATAATAATAATAATAATAATAATAATAATAATAATAATAATAATAATAATAATAATAATAATAATAATAATAATAATAATAATAATAATAATAATAATAATAATAATAATAATAATAATAATAATAATAATAATAATAATAATAATAATAATAATAATAATAATAATAATAATAATAATAATAATAATAATAATAATAATAATAATAATAATAATAATAATAATAATAATAATAATAATAATAATAATAATAATAATAATAATAATAATAATAATAATAATAATAATAATAATAATAATAATAATAATAATAATAATAATAATAATAATAATAATAATAATAATAATAATAATAATAATAATAATAATAATAATAATAATAATAATAATAATAATAATAATAATAATAATAATAATAATAATAATAATAATAATAATAATAATAATAATAATAATAATAATAATAATAATAATAATAATAATAATAATAATAATAATAATTATAATTATAACAATAATAATAATAATAATAGCAATAATAATTATAATTATAACAATAATAATAATTATTAACTTAAATTTCATAAGTTAATGAAGATGAATCAAATTCGTCTAACTCATCACCACCTAAAAGGGAAAGAAAAGTTAGTGCTAAAATTTCTCATGTTGAAATTGACATCATCTCTTCTTTATGCAAAAATCTCAACAATTCACTTTTAAGAGAAGGAAATTCTAATGAAATCATAAATATTTTAAATTCTTATGCAAATGATACTTTAAAAATTGAACATGCAATGAATGAATTAACAAAATAAATCATTCAATAATCTAAAATCTTTAACTTTGAATTAGATAAAAAGAGAAAATAACTTAGAGAAATTACAAATCAAAGAGAAAAAATAAAAGATTAAGATCCTGAATAATTACATATACTTAATATTTAAGAAAATGAAATTATTAAAGAATTGAATTAGAAAACTCCTGATCCAAATATTATACAAAGATGTTTTATTGCAATAACAGGATTTATCAATTTAAATATTATGATGTCTGAATAATAAAATAAATAACCAAATAAACCAAGTTCTACATAGACTCGATAATAAATTTAAATGGATAAAATGAAATATAAATTAACCCAGTAAAGTAAAAATGATGATACTAAAAACGATGTTGGTACTTTTGCTAAAAAAGAAATTAGAAATAAGTTCATCAATCTTTTATAAACTAGATAAATACATCACTTATGGCTTAATGTTGTTGAAACTTTACTATTAATCTTTAATTACAAAGGATCGCGATCATTAGAATTATTATAGAAAAAGTTATATCCTCTTTTAGAATGTTTCTTAAGGCTTTATTAGAACGTTCATGAAGAACTTAATTCCTAAAGTCTATCCGAATAGACTAGTTCAGAATCAAACTTCTTTGAAAGGAATTTAAGTGGTTCAGCAACTAATTCTCTTTAATTTGGCTTATTATAGACATAAACAATACACTTAAAGCGTTCTTTTTCTTCAGTAAGAAATGAGAATGAAATGCAAATGAAGATTGATGAACTTTTTACCTATTTATGTATTAATGGAAAGAGTATAATCAATTATTTGATCAATCAAAGATTGTAATAAATAAGTTATGATGTGAAATAAATACATTCATCTAATCCTATTAAATTATTTAGAGAAGTAGATCCTCTTGGTTTTGTATTTTTTAAAATGAGCCAAATTGTTTCTTTTGAGAACAAAAAACATTTTTTTGAAATGGATCTTGAAACATTAAAAATTAATGAGAAACCTAATTCTAGATCAAAAGGTAGGTAAAGTGAAACTATAGAATTTATTGTTGTAAGAGAAACTAGATTATAATAATCTCTAGAAAAAGTATTGTAAGTTGAAAAAAATAAATTTAGAAGAAGTGAAATTAAAATTAGATATTAAGGGGAAAGAGGATAAGATGAAGGAGGAATCAGAAAGGAATGGATGACTAATCTTGTAAAAGACATATTATAAACTGATAAATTTGAATTGACTACAAAAAGATTTTATAAGATAAATCCAAATAAAAATTCTTCTGATGATTTGAATCATTATAGACTTTTGGGTAGAATTATAGCTAAAAGTATTTATGATGGATTATTGTTACCAGTTTATTTCATTCCAACTATATTTAAATTGATACTCTAGAAAAAACCTAGTTTTGATGACTTGGAACATTATAATGAAGGATATTATGATACTTTTATTAAGTTTATGAATGATGAGACATAAGTTTAATATAAAGATTTATTTGAATTTTGGATACCTGAAGAATATGCATAATTAATAGAATAGAATAAAAAATATATTTTTGCTGATATTCTCTAAGAATATTTGGAAAAGAATCCTATTAAATAAGATTAATAAATTAAATAACAAAATTAAAATGATTAATAATAATTGGATGTAAAAAGTATTGATTAAGAAATATCATAAGAATAATAATAATAGTAATAATAGTAATAATAATAATAATAATAATAATAATAATAATAATAATATTAAAATTTAGAGGTTCCTTTTAAATAAGATTTGATTCAATATTTTAAATAAAAGTAATAAGAATAAGAAAAAGAAAAAGAAGAACCAAAATAAAAGAAATAATCAGATGATATCACAGCTAAAGATATGGAAAATAGAGAAAAGAAAAGATTAATACGAAAGAACAAGAGATAATAATTAAGTGATGAAGCACTTAAATAAATTAAATTATAAGATATATTCTTATAATTATCATAAAATATTAATGTCAAGCATAAAAGGCTAATCTGTGAAGTTATTAGTAAGAAACTTATGATTGATGAAATTAAAAGTCAAATTCATGTAATGAGAGAAGGATTCTTTGAGATCTTGCCTAAAGAATACTTATAATATATGGATTGGAGAGATTTACAAAAATTAATAATTGGAGTACCATCAGTAGATGGTAAGAATTTTAAATATATAATATAGTTGATGATCTTCAGGCAAATACTGAATATGTGAATTATGATAAAAATAATTAGACCGTCATATGGTTTTGGGAAGTCTTAAAAACATTAAGTGATTCAGAAAAATCTGATTTCTTAATGTTCTCAACAGGAAGTCCTCTAGTTCCTTTTGGAGGATTTAAAAATTTAAGAGGACCAAATGGCCCAAAGCAGTTTTCAATATCAAAAGATTTCAATTCGGATCATTTTATTAAAGCTCATGCATGGTATGAAAATAAGTTAATGTTTTATTAGTTTTAATCGTATTGATTTACCTGAATATAATTCTAAAGAAATGGTTAGAGAAAAGCTATTGAAATCATTAAAAGAATCAGGATCTGGATTTGATTTAAGTTGAGTTAATATTATAAATTTTATTAAAATAATTTTAACTTCATTAAAAATAAAAAAAACTAAATAAATTAATTAATCAGCATTCAGTTTGAATGTGAATTCTTTTTATTTCTCTACTATAGAGATAAGATTTATTTCTCATTAACGAATTAATATTGCTTGTTTGAGTTGATGTAAGATTTTGACTATCAGAATTTCCATCATTAATTTAATTTAATCGTAAATTAAGTTGATTTTTTGAAAAGTAAGGAAGTGTTAATTGTCTTTTTCTATGATTTTATTCAAAATTTTAAGGGGAAACCAACAATTTTAGTTTATCTTTCATCTTATTATTATCTGTATCATCACAAATAGTTAAGGGAGAGATATCTGTTATACTTGGTTCTACAGTACTACGTAATGTTATCTAGATTTTTATTATGATTAAGTACTTCCATTAAATTAAATTTTTATGGATCACAATATTCTTATTTTGAATTGACATTTAAATTTTTATTTCTAAGGATTTATAATATATAAAATACAGATCTTTTAACTTCAAATATAGTTATTATTTTGATAGTCTATCTAAATTAAATGAAATTGATTCTTTTAATTATATGGAATCTTCAATGTGTTTGTTGAGATAATTTTAGTATTTTTCAGAATACTTATCTTAAAATAGATATAAATTTTTGAATGATTCATCTAAACTTTAATATTTTTCTTTTCTTTTTTCTTAACAATCTTTTATCACTTATCTAGTTAGTATTCGAGACTAAAAATAGAATAAAAAGTCTAACTTCGTTAGGATTATTAATTCTTGTTTGAGTATTACATTTAACTTAAGGCATTGATTCATCTATTCTACATATTTATTTAGAACAATTTAGCAATGATATACTCTTATCACATTTAATTGATCTAAGTTTAACATAGGATTCAACATTTTTTAAATCCTTCAATTATTACGAATATAATTTGGTGCATATGGGAGAAACACCTGATTAACTTTATAAATAATAATTGATACTTAAAGAATAAAGGACGTTAGGCTTTGATTTCCTTTGCTAAACTTCTTCTTTGAATTTTCATTTTTGACAATAGTTCTTATAATAATTAATCTTAAGTTTTAATAAATTTAATTTGATATTTATAGAAAGAATCAATGATTAATTCAACAAACTCAATTCATTATAAGTTAACTATGTTTCCAGTTATATCATAATTTGTGAAGTGTCTTTTATGTTATTTTTATAATTCTGGCATATCATTTAAATGACCAATATGATGCATACTTTTAATTTCTTTAGCTACATTCACTTAAGGATTGAATGATGCTCTACCTAACTTATTTTATTTAATCAACTTAAATGATTAAATGTTAAGTTGGTTATTTTACAATTTTGTAAATTATTACTTAATGCTAACATTTGAACCTCTATTTTTACTTATACTAGAATATGGAACAAATGGTTTTGAGAATTTTCGTTCAGTTTATGAAATATGTAACTTAAATAGAAAAGTTTTTTACTGAGTTTCCTGAAGGTATGACTAAATTGAAACGATGAGTGGAATTACTAGAAGGTAAATGATCCATGGATAGATTTTATTTTGGAATAATATTTCTTAAATTTTGATATAAATTACAATTGCTATAATTTTGAATATAATTCTTCCTTAGTCATTTATTTTAAATTAAATTTATGTGATTAATCTTTATCTATTTCCAAATGTTTATCTAAAGATTTTTAAAATTTCTAAAATGAATCATCTAAAATTGAAGACATTTTGTTGTCAATTTGAGTATCTTAAAATTCCATTCTATATTTTTGTTTAATAAATTGATTTTATCTAATTTATCTTAATAAAAATGAAGTTGACTATATAATTAAATTAATATTACACTTTAAATCTTTTTATATCCAATATTTTCCATATTGACATTATGTAATGTATCAAAAAATAGCTAATCAGTTCTATGTATCTTATATTACTAACAAAGTCTAATAGCTAATTTCTTATCACATTTCATTTATCGAAGTTTAATAAATTAATCACAATCAGTCCATTCTATTGGTTTTCTTGAAAGATTTGGAAAATCATTGATACTAAATTATTTTCCTTCTCTTCCTGATTTATAAAGATCCTATTAGTAAGTTTTGAGTTCCTTGATGATGCTTTTTTATGGTTTCATATTTTATTTAAATTTTATAAAATCAATAATAAAGCAATTAACTTTAATAAATGCTTGACTTCAAAGAGGAATTTCTTTGATCATCTATTTATTAAACAATTTCATTTTTCTATTATTACATATTATTAGCTATCTGAAGTCTACCCTTTTTAATGATAGATCGAATTTCTTCTAATGAATTAATTTTATTCAATTTATTCTCTAAATGACTTATATGAATTGAATTATTTTGTTGATTAATTTTTTCCTAATTAACTTTTACCTATTATAATATAAATATTAACTTATAATCTATGATTATCTTTTTAAAAGGCTTTTTAAACTTAATCTAATCTTTTCTTTCCTTATTCTAATTCAGACTAACATAATTTCTCTTCTAACCTTTATAGTTTATCTTTAAAATAATGAGACTTTCTTTCACTTAAGATTTAATTCTAATATATCACATCCAAAATATGTTATTCATGTTTTTTTATTTTATCTACTGAAGTATCAAATCTCTCTGTTCTTAATTATTCTGCTTTCTTAATTTTATCTTCAATACTTTTGCATTTATGATATTAATTCTATAAAAATTATAATTGATTAAATACCTATGCTTCTCTTAATGAAAATATTTTTTATTTTATTTAATTTCTCTCTAATTAGTTCTCTTCTAAGGATAATTTATGTTCATAATATTAAATTAATTATTATCGTGATTTATCGACTGAGTCTGACATATAGTCAATATTTGGATAAAAATTTTGTTAATAGCTCCAATAAGAATCCAATTATTATAAATAATTCTTTTCTTTTTATTATTAAAGGTAACTTTACTCATTTATATATCTCTTCTTTTTTAACTAATATTAATACAAATTCTATACTTGATTATTTTTTTGTTTAATCTGTTAATCCACTTCAAATTATTTAGAAAATAATTGAGATAATTTCTCTTTATTGGATTGACAGTTTTATGTTATTATTTTTTAGTATTATGATAGAGTGTTGAGTTCTTTCTCCTAAATTTAAAAATAAATCAACAATGTTACATGTTATTTAACAAATTTATCAGTTTTTTGTATTTCATTTTACAAAAAATTTGAGATTTGCAAATTTGATGGCAATTCAACTTTATTCATTTAATAATATAAAATTATGAGTCAAACATTCAATGTAACGGTTTAAAGAGATAAAATTTTTGTGATATTTTTTATTTCTTTGTATACGTCTCCAATAAAAATGCTTCCAGTTTTTTTATTTCTGGACTTTTACTGAGAGGATCCTTTAATGTTGTAGTTCTTTTGCTTGTCTATTTTTCCAATATCACAGGTAATTATGAACCAGGTAAACTTAATTATTTTTTGTGCTTATTCATTGTAAAAAATATTTATTAATATATTTTCAATGTGAGATATCTATCAATTTTTTAATATTGACATATTTCAAATTTTTATTGAAATGCCATAAATTAGATATATACATATTAGTAAAAGTTTTGACATTCTTTAAAATTAAATATCAATTCTCTAATTATCATCTCTAAATTTTCGAAATAATTATAATTACAATTTATATGTGATTAGATTTAAAATAGTTTTATTAAATAAAATGAGAAATTAATCTGCAAAAAAAGAAACTAATCAAATAAAAAAAAAGTCAACTATTAAATCCAATATTGACTTTTAATAATATAGCTTTTTGGCTACAAGAAAGAATTTCTAAAGTCTAACATGTTCTACTCAACAAGATTCAAATATTAGCAATAAATTATTTTAATCACTTAGACAACTATCACCAACGGATTAAGCTGAAAAAAAAAGTATTTTTATCAAATTATATCATTTAAAGATTAACAAACTAAACATTCATCATAAAGATTGATTAAAATGAATTCAAAAGAATTTTAAGACTCTAACAAAATTATGAAAGGGAGTTTTTACAAAAAAATATCACCATAAATTAATATGAATAATGATAATATTGAAGTTAACTTTGTTAGAGAATTCAATCTTTATAATGAGTCTAATTCAATAAGAGAGAATAAAAAAAATGTTTAAATTGATAAAGAAATAACTATATAGGAAGTATTTAATTCCAAAGTTCAAGTCAAAAGTTCTCGTAAGCTTACTAATGATAATGCTTAATTTTAAGCAGCAGTAAGCAAGGGCATTTTGAATAGTTACAAAAAACTTTTTATTAATTCTGAATCAAAAAACGATTAAGTATCTCTTTGCTCTAAAAATCAACCATTAAGTGCCAGAACATAAAAAATAAATTTAAAGTAATACAAATGAATATAACATTCTTATATATTCATTCTATTACATTCAATATATATTATTTTTTTTTTATATATACACTAGTTTTAGTGTTTCAAAATCATTCTAAGATGTATATGATAAATTCAATAGAGAAATATTAAATTAATAGTTCATAGTTTTATTCATGATTTATATAATCAGATTTATAAAAGCTTCAATAATTTATAGGATCCAACTTTTCTTATTGAAATATCTATCCTTTTCTTCTAAAGGTTCTAGAAAATGAAACTGAGAAATCAATAAGTTTAGAAAGTTTAAATATTGTTTAAACTTCTGCTCCTAGTTAATTTATTAACTAATTATTGATGTACTATTCATATTAGTTTGAAACAGTTAAACCATTTAATACTTTATCATATGCCTATTTAAAATAAATTAAAATCATTACTTTGTAAATACGTTCATATAAATAAGAATCAGCTTTAAGATGAAGACTTTTTTATGGAGTTTCTGCTTCTTTAATGGTTTTCTCTTTTTATTTAATTCTTGTATATTAATAAAATATCCTTACTCTAAATCGAAATCACATCTTGAATTTTATTCAATTAGAAATCTATCTATCTTTACATCCTTATAATCTAAAGATATTATAGGTTTTGGTGTAAAGTCGAATAAAAGTTATTAATCAGAAGTTAATAGCACCTCTTTCAATTTATCGATTTCATTTAATTTAGTCAAAATATTAAAAAGATCTATTTGACTTGATAATTGATTCCTAAAAAAGATAAATTTATAATTACATCGCTTTATTCATTAGAATAATCTTTCTTTTATTTCGAAACAATATTGAACAAGAGACATAATTCAATAATAATTGGAAACTTAATTTTATAGGTTTGGCTCTTCTTATTAAACGATTTATTTAAGATTAGAAGTACTCCAATCCATTACTAATATGACTACGATATGCCTTTTTTGATTCTTCATCATAAAATTTAATTGATTTTTTAGCATATTTTGCTTATCGTTTTGCTTTAAATATTATTTATTATTAATCTTCGAATTTCAATTTAGTATTATTTTCCTTTTAATTGATTTAACTTGGATTTAATAATTAAATTTTGGCATCACATTCAGAAGTTTTAGAATCAAGATATTATCTTTCAGTAATTAACTGATTGACAAGATTAAGATTATTTTCATGCATTCTTTTAGCTTATTTTTCAACTAACATAAATTCATAGAGTTTATTAGCCAATTCAATGAGCACTAGAATAAGAATTAGAATTTGAAAATACATTAAAATCTGTTATAAAAAGCTAAAAGAAGGCCTAAAAAGAAGAAAAGAATCTACTACATTCCACCTAAATTAGAAAGAAGATTGTCAATTTTTAGATAGCTTCTGTAGATTTAAGTTTTGTATGGACTTTTTCTTAAGAAAATGGAAGCAACTTCTAAATTACCTTCCTTGTAAAATTCAACTCTTTCTCTTATTTCTGATTGATCAAGTATATAAAACTTTTCTTTTGTTATAGATTGAAATGGAGTTAAACTTTGATCACTTTCAACTTGAAATTATTTCAGAAATAAATTAGCTGATTTACTTATTATTGATGGTAAAAAATTAAAATAAAAGGAATCGTCTATATAAGTCTGCAAATAATTTTCACTTGGATTGTATGGATTTAAAATCTATATATATTATTAATATAAACTTTATTAACTGTATATAATTTAATTTTAAAAGATCCATTTAATTTTACTTCAGCATCTCTTTCATCTTAACTTGCACATTTCTATGTTTAATTGCATTTCTTAATAGATATTTTGAGATATGAGAATTTCTAACCTTTTTTACAATTATATAAAATATTACTTGAATGTGTGCCTTCTAAAATGAAAGTGGCATTTTTTCTAATTATATTAAATTTTAATACTTGAAACAGAGAAAATTATCTATATTTAGTTCTGCATAAGTTTCACTAATGTTCTTATTTTATTATTCAAAGATTTTAGTAAATCTTTCAAGTGTGCAAGGGACTAATTAAATTTATTACTCCTCTCTTATTTTACTTCCATTAGTTTATCTTGTCTCCGATACTTAGAGAACTTCAATGTCAAAAAATGGTCTAGACAAAAAGTTCTCTTAATCTATTTAAATAGCGAATAAAATTGTGTCATCATTGATAATTGAAGATGATGGTATTTCTTCAAAATTAGTAAGAACAGTGGTTATAAGAGTTTCTTTACTGAAAAATGATTTTATGCTTGATGAAAAAAACATGATGATAATTAAGAAAAGTAAAATGGAAACCACACCTCCAAAGAATGTCTTGTAATAGTTATCTTTATTCATTTTTAATGTAATTGTCTAACCAAAGATATCAAGCTTTGAAATCCCTAGATTTATAAAATAAATACCTTAAGCCAGTTGATTCATTACAAAATACAAAAAATAAAAAATCACTTTTTGTAATTATCCCCAATATAATGAAACAGAAAATTAAAATACATTATTACATTCCTCATTAAGAAAATTAAATTACACATAATAATTTTCATAATTCTCTAATTGAATATAGTTTAATGAACAGAAATAAAAAATGTGATACAATTTTATATAAAAGTTAATCAATCATATTCACATCAATTTATCCTTAAATATCAATATTTACATTATCTATAAATTTTTGATTTTTAAAATCAATCTGCTATTAAAATTCGAATCTATATATAATCACTTTTTCTTGTAATATTTTTTTATAAATCTACCTATAGAATATTGAATTGATTATTTACTTCAATTATATTATGATATTATTATATGTAATCTTAAATATGTATTTTATGTAAATCATTAATTTCTTCTATAATATTTTTATTCATAATTAATATGAAATAAATTAATTTATTATAAATATCCATTCTATCCTTAGTTTAAATAATGGATTTCAACATGTTTCTTAATTTTTTATATTTTTCTTAAGGTATTAAATATTCATATTTATGATTTATATTTTAAAATAAACTGATAAATACATAAGGTTTTGGATGTTCATAACTTCTTAATCTATTAAAAAATGCTGAAGCATTATCATATTTTGATAAAATCTTTATTAAACTACATAAAATGAGAGATATTATTTTTTAATTTTTCATACATTTATTAAGATGTTAAATATGGTAAAATCTTGTTCTCTTAATATTAAAGCGAATAAAATCCAATCCAAAAGTACTTTTATTAATAAATAGTTGATTTAAAGTCAACGAACTTAATATTTTTAAAACACTTATTTATTACTTGTTTCAATTAGTTATTGATATTAAATTTAATTAAAGATTCATTCGATAAAAGTAATATTAAACTGTTTAACAAATTTAGATTAGAATTATATGATTAATTTTAACTTAAACTACTAATCAATTATTAGATTAAATTTTCATTATAAATACTATTGTATTTTTCAATAAACAATGTCAAAAAATTTAGTCTATGAAGAGATGAAAAATTTACTTTATTTTAAGAAAATAAATGAGATTTTTTTTAAAGTGATTAAAATAATGGACTTGAATCCATTTTCAAAATCTTTAATTATATTAATTTAATTTTTGCCCAATTTTAATGAAATGATAAAATTAAAGCATTTGATACATTTTATTTTATGTTTTCTTTAAAGAGCAACTGCACATTACATGATCATAAACATTCAATTTTTTATGCTATTTAAGTACAACTATTCAAATTCTTGTTAGAGTTCTTAATTCATCAATTTCAATTTTTAATAACCATAGATTAATATAGATATTTCTTTATCATTTAAATATTATTATTTATTCATAATTCCTTTATTTTAAACTAGATTTAAGAACTCATCCTTTTATCCCATCTTAGCTAATCGAAATAATTTAAGAATTATGGTATTCATATTTATTAATTTATATGAAATCTTAATTAGTACAATTTATTCAATAGTTTTTGATGTGTTTTCTGCTTATCAATATAATTAAAAGTATCAAACATTCAGCCTAAATCATTTATAATTTGAACCCATTCTTTTTTTAATCCAAAAATTTACTCTTTCATTTATAATCTTATATTCCTATCAATTACTATAAATTATTTAATTTATCTCAATTTTATTTTTATTATTAATAGTTTTGATGGAATTTCTATGTGTTTCTTGGTTTCATTTTAATTTCTTAAATTTTATTCTATTTTACCTAAAGCTATTATAAATATTATTATTATAACTATTGTTATTACACTAATTATTATTCTTATTATATATATCCTATTTAAGTTTGATTATTATCCAATAAATCCTATTTATTACAAATTATATTGTTCATTGATCTAATACTCTAATTTACTTAGCTTAAGGATATTATAGTCATTTATAGTCATTCTCAATATTTTTGAGGTTAATTGAGATATTTAGGCGATTATTCAAGTATTCCTTAATTTTAAGTTTATCCAATTGGAGCAATTTATTGTTGTGTTTATCCAAAAATATTATTGGAAACATTGGTATTACAAAATACTTAAGCACTTTATATTGCAAAGCCTTATTATTATTATTAAAGGCAACTCATTTTATATTCTTAGAGTATTTGTAAACATCAAAAATTAAAATTATCAATAAAAAAACAAAAAAAATTTAGGCAAAAAATTAAGTTAAAATAAAAACAATGCTTTTATTACAAAAAGCTACTTAAAGACAAGCATAATAATTTTTTTACTTTAGTGTTTCAATTGTTTGTGGATACAGAATTATTCAATTTTGTTAAGATAATCAATTTAAATTTAGCCTATATGGAAGAAATAATTACTTAAAAATGAGGATCAAATTTGACAGAACCATATTTAGATTTGGATTATGATTATGATTCAGTTTTATTTTCTTCTATTTCCATTTCTTATTATTCAATAATAACTTATTTATGATTACAATTTTGAATGTCCTTTAATCTCATAAATCCTTTCCTCCTATTTTTAGTTTATGATTTCTTTTCAGAATCCATTTTTGTTAGCATCATATCTTCTAATTATAATTCTTCTTATTCATTCTATTTTTAATTATAATAATAAACTTTTATTTCTACTCCATCCCTATAGGTTTTTCTTTATAATTTCCATGGATTTCCACAAAATTATGCTTCTAATCTAATCTCCAATTCATCTGAATCCAAATACATATTTCTAAGAGTTGGTTATATAATGGGCATTTATGGTAAACATGATTAAACTTCTAATTAAGGAAGAAATTTTTGGAAATTTACATCCCTTTTAAAATAAGTTACTTATCTAAATTCACAATTAATTTAATCTTGAAATTTCATTTAATAATTTTCACTGAAAGCTGCACAACATAAGCTTTTTCTTGATATATGTAATTATCTATTCTTATAATTTTCATCATCCACTTATTTTTTAATTTTTTAAATTTTTGCTTAATGAGCCTTTACTTTTTACATATACAATTATTGATTTTATTCATCTATAAAGAATATTAATTGTCTTTAAATCTAAAATATTAATTTAAATAAATTTTTACTTAAATATTTAATTCATTTTGATTCTTTTTAATACATGGAGCATAATAATTAGGAATTATAGTAAGATATTGCAAAAATTTCTATTCTGCAAATCTTCTTGCTTCATCTGTAGAATTTCCACATTACATTAAAAGTTCATAATAATTTAAAAAATTAGGAAAGTAACTAAAAATATTAATTAATAATAGATATAATACAATCGTAATTCCATTGTTGTTGAATTTTATTAAAATAAAAACAATCCAATTAAAAATTAAACTTATTATTCATCTCTTTTTTCAAAATAAAATATTGGAAATTATAACATTTTACTTTTTGTTGTAGATATCCCTTAAACAAATTTTAATAATGAAGCATTTTCTATGAATATTTCTTAATAAGGTAATTATTAAGGTAATTTTGATTAAAATGATACATTAAAATCAACAAAATAATCAGGATAAGCTGGATAATTCTTTTTTATAAATTAATTTTTATACATTAAAATCTGAAAAGGGAAATTATTCAGGCAAATATACTTTTGTGAATATTGTCATATTTGGTTAACATTTTAAACGAACAGAAGCAAAAGATTAATTTGGCTTTTAAGTAGATCTTACTAAATAAGAAGGCTAACTTGATTATTATTCAATTTTTGTTTTTTCAATATTTGATAAAATTTCATCAAGTTTATTTTATTAATCTAAAAGATTTAATTAAAGAGATATTTAAGGTGGAGTTAATTTTGGATCATCTAAGATTTAGAATAAAACATTATAATCTTGAATTTCAAAACACACTCCTTAACCTACAGAAGCAGCAAGGTGATGCCAATTTGTTGAAATATTTATGGCATTAGTTTCTTCAATTCCAGGAGGTTGTAACAAAAAAACAAGGAGTCTATAGTCCCATCTAATCAATGAATGGAAAGCAGGTCCTATGTATTCTCTGTTGGTAAATACAAATATAATTGCTGATTCAATTTTTAAGACATCTCTACCCCCATAAAGATTATCAGTGCCTGTATTTAATTATATATATAAATAACCATTTAAAGTTCTAAATTTGTTTAAATTGTGGAAACACTCATCTAAATTGAAATTAGTTTCAAATTATGGTTGGATGGTTTTGAGTTTTTGTAAAAAATGGCATACGTCATTAGTCCATGTTGAGATTGAAGAACTATACACAAATATGTAAAGAACAAAAAATTACTTTGACGAAAAAAGATGGTATTGATCATACTTATTTTCTGGATTCTTTGTTCTCTTTTTTACAAAATATTCAATTGCACTTTTGGCATAATCTAATGTAGTGAGTCCATTATAAGTTATTTAACAAGAAGATAAACAATTATCTATCATAAAAGTGAAATTCATTTATAAGTGATTTTAATTTAATATTTTATTTATTGACAATTAATCATAATAATTTACATGAAATAATCACTTTAATCAATATTATAGACTAAATCTTAATATGATTTCATCACTGGAATAATGGATAATGAGTAAGAAGATATAAAATCAAAAACAAATTACAAAACTTAATTTAAATTTAATAAATCAAAACTTCATTTCTCAATTACTCCAAAATCATAACCATCTAAAGTCAAAAAAAGACCTATTTATTTAAGATTCAGCAATCATTCATCATAATAATAAGAAAACAATAATTTAATTTTTCTAAAATCCCTTTTTAAAGATATCTAATAACCATAAATGTCTAAAACTAATTATTCAACATGGTCAACATCTCATAAATAAACTGTTCAATCTAATTTTATTCCACCTATTAAAAAGAATTATTTATTAATAAAAACACCAGATAATAATTAACCTGCAGTTGGATATTATAATCCTATGATGCCAAAAAAAGTTAGAGGATCTGTTAAATTGTTTTCTTAAAATATGTAATAACAATCTTAATCTTTAAATATTTTATTGAACTAAAATGAAAAACAAGAATCTCCATTACAAAAAGAAGAATTCATAAAAGTACCTGAAACTAAATTACAAGATTATTATGAGAATGAAAAAAAGAAATTAATGTCAAAATCTACATTTTAATTACCTCTAAAAGATTTAAATGCAAATCCTTTCACTAAATAATGGTCTATATTTTTGGCATATAAAAATAAATTTAAATTATTAAGAGATCATAAATATGAAGAATCACTTAAATGAATATATTTACTATAATTCAATCTTTTTTTTTATCTTATAATCCTTGGTCTATTTAAAGTAACTTTTAATACATTAACATAATATCATTCTCATTATATTTCTCTACCATAAAATTCTAAAATAAACTCTAAAATATCAAGATTTCATTTTATGTCATCTCATTTTCAATCTTTTTATTATCAAATACTTACATACATCTTACAAAATATCTTGAATTTAATCTTAAGTCAATGATTCTAATTATTTTTATTTTTTTATTTGTTTAATCTTAATCAATATTATATCTAAGAATTCTAAAAATACTTTTATTGTTTATTAATATAAATCATCTGTAGTTGTAATAACCTTTTATTTATTAGGCTCTTCAGAATTTTAATCCTCCTCTATTTTTAATGTATTTAATAATGATTCTGAGTGTAATAAATAATATTTTTCTAAAAGCTTTTCAATTACTAAAGTTTTAATTTATTATTTTGTAAATGTTTATTTCTATACTTTAATAAGAATTGAATCAATATGTATCTATTTAGCAACAGTTATATTATTAATTAAATATCCAGTTGGACCAATTACTAAAACCCATTAATTTTTTACAGGAATAGAAACCTGCTTAATTGTTTAGTTATCATAATTAATACTAATTATTGAATTAATATTGTAACTATATGCATAAAATTAAGTTAAATATATTGGTTTAGTAAAATAGATAAATCCATTTTAATCTAAAGTTCTTATATTAAAACTATCTGGAGGATATAATATATTAATTGATCCAAATTATTAATCAATAATATTATTTCTAGAAGGAATATAAAGATCTTAAAATTTCATATATATTGTTGTGTTGAATTCTTACAAACTATTATTTTTATTATTCATTAAAATAACTGATCGATTTTTTGAGTCTATGTAATACTTTTACTAAATTCTTTATAATTCTTTTTTCTAATAAAATTAACTAAATTCAAATTTGAATGAAAGTAAATCTTCATTTTGATCATATATAACTATTTCTTAAAATAATTGATTAATATTTTTATTATAATATTAATGTATATTTTATTCAGGCTCTAATTACTCCAACACTTATTAAGCCTATTTATTTATAATATATTACTTAAAGTTAAATATAATCTATAATTTCTTAATCTTATGTTGAAATAGAAGATAATCTCTTATTACAAATTGAATCCAAACTTTTTGGACAATTAAAATATACTAAATATCTATCTTAAGACATTTTCATTCCTTTTTCCAAAATTTATATCCCATCTTGTATGAATTATGAATATGCATAATAAAAGAGAAATATTAACATTATGTTATTATTAATTTTATATTAATTTACAAACATTTAGAATAAAGATAACTATAACTTTGATAATTTGTATCAAATTATAAAGTATTTTAATTTGATGAAAGATAATTAAACATGTTCATTTCTATTAAAAAGATTATGACTACTTAGCCTTTAATATTTATAATTTAAATTTTATATTCTTAGATTATTCTTAGCAATAAATTATTATAATTATTTGAACGATGAATATTAAGGGTAGGATTTGGTTAATATAATTAATGTAAAAGAAATTGTTAATCATTTACATTAATGCTAAATAAATATAAGATTATTTTAAATGCTTTTTTTTTAGAGTGTTACAGCATATTAATAAGATTCTTTAAACTAATCAATAATTTTTATTCATTAAAGAACAAAACTATAAATAAAGTCTAATATATATTATATTATAAATTGTCTATCTAATTTAAATGCTTTCAATCTCATTTTAGTTATATCAATAATTAAATGAGCCTCCATCGTTGAAATTCAAAGAGTATATAATAAATTCATTATTTTCTCTATTATTTTTTCTTAAATAGTACTTAATAAAAATGATGAATAAATAAAAATACTTAATTTATTATATCCATTTATTAACATAAGAAGTACTAGAAATAAGAATTGATATTGATTTTAAAAGTGAATCTATTATCTTAAGAGATAAAATATAAAAAGTATTCAAATAACATTGATATAAAATATAAATCAATATACTTTTAACATATTACCATCAAATTATAATGTTGATACTCCATCCTATGTTAAGATTGTATTGTTTTAAGTGTTTTACATTGAGATTATTGATTATGGTATATTATCACATTATATTTAAAATGCTTTAAATTATTCGATATTTATATACCAACACAAGTTATTTGAGATGGCAATAACATTTTGTAAGTATTTAAAATAAAATACTCGATCACTATTTTTTAATTTCATTAATCTTTCAGTACATTAAAATTAAGCCTTAGTTATTGACTAAATTCTAATTTTATTATTATTAGAAGTTTTCTCTAATAACAACCAATATTCTCCAAAATCTAACACTTAAGCTTCATAATATGTTGTTCTATAACCAACTTTTTTAAATAAATTTCTTTTAGGCATATATACAAAACAATCTCTGGATCCAACTTATCTTATTTCATTAGTAATTCCAAATCCAAAAAAATATAATTCTTCTCCATTTATCAAATATGTACATTCATTTACATTTTGTAAATCAAATATTGGAACTTATACTTCTTTAGTAACAACATGAGGTGATTATATATGTTAGCAATTCTGTTATATAATTTATAATTGATTATTATCAAATTCCTCTTAATCTTCTTCTGCAAATTTTTAAAAATTAACTAATTCTTCAAAAATTAAGGTTGAATGTTGTTAAAATTATTCATATTGATTTTAGGATAATGTTATATAAAGCAAGAAATATTTGAATGTTTTTTAATTTAATGATTTAGCCAATAGAATTAATTATCCTTCATCATTTGATTATACACATAAAACTTATAAATTAGTAGATAAAACATTCATGTAAATTTTAAATACTTGTTGATATTAATAAATTGTGTTGTTTTAATACCCATATAAAGTTTACTGTTATTATTCTAATAATTATAATGGTTGTGATGTAAAGAATAATTCTTTTTAATTTAATTTTTAATATTTTCTAATAAATTATATTAATTAATAAGAATCATATCTTTATTCTTCATTCTCTTTTAGCATTTCTTCAAGTAATGGTTTTAAATTAGGGAATTAAAATTATTAAAGAGCCAAATTAATTTCCATCAAATAAAATTATTATTCTTTAGTATTTTTAATTTGATAATTAGATAGTAATCTTAAAAATATTAATCCTAAACTGTAAATATTAGCTTTACTAGGATTAATAAAGATCTAATTTTATGTCAAATTTTAAGTAAAAGCTAAAAATGATTTAGGTTCCATATATTCTAATGAAGACATAAAAGGTACTGATTTTTCTTAATAAATGCTAGGAATATTGGTCTTATAAATAAGAGATGCAAAAATAATTGAATTAGGTGTAATAAATACATTATTTGGATGCATATCTTAAACAAAAATATCATGAGATCTTAATTCATTTAATTTTTTAACACATCTTTTAATTAACTTAAAATTACAATCTTCTTTTTAAATTAGATCACAATTTTCTATAATATAATTTAATCTTAATTTTCCATCATATTATTCCATACTCAAAAAGAAATCCAATAAATATGGATCTAAATATTTACATACTTAATAACATTCATCAAATGATTCAAATTCAACATGTACAATTCTTTATATAAGTATATAATTCTATTATTCTTTTGAAACAGATAATATTCTAAATAATGATGGTGTTTGATTTGTAATAGGATAATGAACTTTGTTAATAGAGTATAATCCAATTAATTCATCACTTGAATTTTATTTAGTACTTATTTATTTCAATTTTATTTTTTAATCTAATCTTCCATGTTCATATAAGACTTCAAATACATTAAATGATGTTATACACCATTTATCTTAAGATAAAAAGATTCTGTAAACATTTTAATCTTTTAAATAAAGAATAAAATATTTATGATAAATTAAATTACATGATGATGTAATTCCATTTACATTTAATTTTACACTTTTTTTTTATTTTAAAGAATACAATATAAGTTCATTTTATTATGTAATGAAATAAACATCATTAAATTTATAAAATCCAAAATCAGATTTCACTTTAATATCTGTTTATATAGAATTATATTAGGTATTAATTAATAGACAACCATCTTAAATACCAATAATTAATAATTAATTTTAATTATTAGTAAGATATTTTAAGTCATATTAGATTTCTATTTAATTTTCATCATTATATAAATATTAACCATCATAATAATGAACAGTATTATTAATAATAGTAAATGATTTTACATTTTAAGCTTATTTTAATGGTTTAACAATTTTCTTATATATAGGTAATTGTTATTTAGATCTAAAAGAAAATATTTATAGGAATTCATGAAAAGTCAAATTTTTATCAGAGAAGAATAAAACAATTTCTTATATCTTATCAAACAATAATTATTAAAGCAATGAATTATCAATTGAATCTGTTTATTATTATAAGAAATCATAGAATTATTAAGCTGTTATATAATTTCTTTATTCTGTATCAATAATACTAAATATTTCTTATAAATTTTAAGGAGTAAAATAAATTCTATCATGAAAATTTTTATTAGGTTATTTTTAAGTTTGAGAAGTATCTCTAAATTTAAATTAATCTTCAATTTAAGTTGTAGGGCTATGTTAATTGATTTATAATTGTAATTAATAATTTTTTTAAGCAGAATCAATTCTTTCTTTCTTTTATTATTCTTTTGTTGCCAAATATTATCTTAATGATATTTATAACATTTCTAAAGTATCTTCAAGTTATTCAGAACTAAGTTTAATAGTTATCATTCCAATCATATTTTCAAAAGCAAAATAAAATTTATTATCTTATATATAAGCACTTCCATTAATAATATTAATTTATTATCCATTTTAATCAATTAATTCATATTAAGTGTATGATTTTTAATTTCTAGTAGATATCAAATGATAAAAAACTACTTTATTATTACAGTATTCAAATAATACATTTTTTAAATTATTATTATTATTATTATTATTATTATTATTATTATTATTATTATTATTAATTGGAATATCTTAAATGAAATCTTTTAATTCAGGAGTAGTATTACATTTCAAGAATTAAATATAATCAGATGCTTTAAGATCATATAGATATTATCTATTTCTATATAATAAAAGTATAATATCTTTTATGTAACATTCAATAACATTTTTCTATTTTTAATAAAGGGATTCAATTATATTTGCAAAATCAATATTCTTTTATTTTAATTATTATCTAATTTCAGAACCTTTATAAAAGGAATTAATTATAAGAATAGCAATATCTTCTAAATCATTAACAAGATTGGCTCTAAAATCTTTGATTTTATTTTTGATAAGTCTTCTAGAGAATCTGAAAGCGGAAAAACTCAAGTCTAATTTAAATACCTTTTATTTATGATAAATCATGTAAACATTGGATGGCTTAATTCTTAATTACAAATATGAATTACCCTGAATGAACATAGAAATTTTGATGCATATATTATATAGTATTTAAGAGATACTCCAATAATGGTTGAATATCTTCTGGTTACAATTATATATTCTCTAATGACACATCACAATATTCTTATTCAGAAAATACATAGAAATTATTGTGTTTCTTGTTTAATCTGAAACTGAAATCATGTATCTTATAGCTTCCAAATTATTAAAAAAACAAATAGTTGTCCAGTAGATTAGCCACTAATTCAATTTATTTTGTATACAAAATTCTAATTTTTCTAGATTCACCTATATTATTGGTAAATCCTACTACAATACTGTAATCATTTTTATTAATTAACCACACTCTAATAATATTATATTGAATATATTACTTAGTCCAATAAATATTTGATTATTCTAAATGAGATAAAAAGAATCTTAACATCTATATAACATCTGACATTAATTGTTTATCCAACAATTAAATATCATTTAGAAATTTCTCAAGTATAAATTCTCTTTGTTTTAATAATTACTCTTGTCCTTAGTTTTTACCTTAAACTTTTGGTTTCTTCTCTCTATCATCACCAGAAATTGACATTCTTGAAGTTGTTTACTTTCTTACTGGAACTCCATCTGAAGAAATGTTTGAAACTTATTTTGAAAGTGTGCTTAATTTAGTAATATTTTGTTCTCTAGAAGATGTACTTCTTTATTATTATTACTGGCTTTCTTATTTTTTTTCTATTTAATCTTCTCCATTTGTAATTTTAATTAAAGGAACTGTCTAATTCATTTTTGCATTAGCACAAGCTGCACCCATATATATAATAAATATTAATATAAATTAATAAAATATTATTATGAATACTGAAATCGCTTCTTTTTTTGATAATCCAGATGTTATGACAAAGACTCCACCACTTTGGCAAACTCTGAATTAAGATATATATGATGTAATTCTTGTATCAATCTTTAGAATGATAACATTGTATTCCAATAAGATTGTTATAAGATTGCCAAAAAATCAAAATAATTGAGACCTATAACAATTCAACTTGGAAATGAACATATATATTGCATTAATAAAGATACAATGTTTTAACTATAAATTACTGTTGCTATGATGAATATAATTAAACATGATTAACATGGTAACATTATTAGATTATCACGAAATGGCAAGTATATTGACTTAAAACTTGAAGATTACACTACTTTAAAGAATCTTTTAAATTATAGATGTTTATAATCTACATTCCATGATGAATTTGGAGTTACTAAAATGATTGGTAAAGGAAGTTTCGCTAAAGTGTATTTGGCGACAAAAAAATCTACTGGTATCAATTATGCAGTCAAAGCATTTAATAAAGAATTCATGTTAGAACAATTTAAAGGAAGAGAATCATTGGAAAATGAAATTAAAGTAATGAGAAGATTGAATCAAGAAAATCTAGTAAAACTGCATGAAGTATATGAAACATAAAATTCCATTTATTTTATATTGGATATTTTAAAAGGAGGTGAATTATTATCTAGAGTTAAATCCTAACCATTATCTGCTCCTAATCTATAAAAATTAATGTATAATTTAATGAAAGCACTCTGTCATTTACATTCAAAAAAATGCATACATCGAGATTTGAAACCAGAGAATCTATTATTAAAAGAAAAAGATAATGACACTGATGTAGTAATTGCAGATTTTGGATTAGCATGTTTTCTTAATGAAGACATTTTATTTAAGAGATGTGGAACTCCTGGATTTGTTGCTCCTGAAATATTAATATATAAAGAAGGAGATCCCTTTTATGATGAAAAATGTGATGTATTTAGTGCAGGTGTGATCTTTTACATACTCTTGACAGGTAGATAACCCTTCTAAGGAACAGATTATAAAGCTATACTTAGAGCAAATAAGAATTGTGAGATTAATTATAATCTAAAATAAATATAAACAGTAATTTCTATATTAATAATTATAGGCACCTTTATAATTAGTAGATTTATTAAAAAAGATGTTATATCCAGAACCTAAAGGAAGAGTATCATCTGAAGATTGTCTAAAACATCCATATTTTAAAGAAATTTTTAAGGAATAAGATTTAATTGATGTTTAAGAGAGTTTAAGAGAATATGAAAAAGATTTTGTATATGGATTAGGAAAGTAATAAGGGTAATTAATAATTATTCAATTAAAAATAGACCTCCAAGTTAAGTTGGATCTATGTAATTATAATAGAGATAACCTGCTTTGAATGGAAGAATAGATACAATGGGATCATTTTCTAATGTGTCTAATAATGGATCAGTAACTAGATTAGATTAGAAACCATAACCTTAATAAAGTAAATTTAGTTAATTCAGTTAATCTATGAAATAGTAACTCAATCAAGATGCAAGTATATAATAATATTTGAATATAGATTCACCTGTTGCTAAGAAAAGTAATTAATCAGATTTAAGAAAGACTGCTTTGAAAAATTCATTTTAATAATAAATTAATTAAATGAGTAAAGATGATGATTGTGTAAATGAGGAAGCATCTCATTTAGAAGATGCAATATCAAAACTTAATGCTTAAACACCAAAGATGGGATTGAAAAAAGCAAGTTCCTATAAGGTACAAAAATCAACAATGGAATGAGTTATATACTAAAATCATGAATCCCGTTTGCCTGAAAATATTCGATTTATCATCTTCATTTATTGTTTTGCTTATAAAAAGGAAATAGGTTGTTAACTAGTCAATTTAGTTTATTTTTATTTCTAAATAGTTTATTTTAATTCCAATTGTTAAATAAATTCTTATACATATTGTTATTTAGGGTTTTCAATATTAAAATTATTAATTGTATCTCTTTTGCTTTGACTACTTTATATTCTATAATTTTATTTAAAACCTTGACAAGAATTTCTATGATTAAAGATTTCAGGGAGTTTATTATTAATTTTTGATTAAGGACTTTAAGTAAATTAATTTATTTTCTATTCGTTTACAAATAAGAATTCATTTCTAAAACTAATTTATTAAGGATAACTTTATCTTTGATTAATATTGGAACTCAATATTCTATAATTGTTAATCTTTTTTATTTCACAATCTCTTAAAATTTCAGATCGTTTTCTTAATTCACTTATTTAAGGAGGAGTATGTAAACCAGAATGATCAGAACTTCTCTTTGAAATTGTTCTATAAATCCATAATCAAATTATAATATATTACAATTAAGTAGATGGATTAGAAACAGTATTCTTAGGTTTCAATATTCTTCTAGAATGAACAAATTTCTATTTATTTCCTAATTGATCTGGAGGATAGAAAAAATTAGCTGTTTATTCAGATTCATCTTTTATTGTTATTTTATTCATAAGTTCAATAGTTGATAATAATAATATATAAATAATCAAGTTTGAATATAGAATAATCATCATTAAATAATGCAACATTTACTTTCAATTATTTATTTATCATTTTATCCTTCTATTTTTTTGGATACATTTTTTCTTAATTAAACTTTTTATTCACCTTCTGCTAATACAAATTCTGCACATATCTAAGGTATTCTTTCTTCATCCTTATCTTCTATTAATGATAAATAACCAGAACTAAAATAAGTACCTAATAATTCACTTGCATCTTTAATTGCTAATAATTCTTATTTATTTTTATCTTTAATGTAGATATCATCTAATTGATTAATTATTTATTTTTTAATTTATAATTTTAAATTTAAGAAATCTCTTAAATAATTTTAATAACTTTTAGATATTTCAGGATTCTTAATTTCTTTTTGTTTATTTTAATCTTATAAAACAATTACAAGAATTTATTTTATTAAAAATGTTAATTCATCTTAAGTATTACCAATTTAAATTAATGCAGTTGATCTTTAAACAATTTAAAGAGTTCTAATTTCAGCTTATAATGAATTTATAACTGATGATACTGTTTAACCTACTAATGGAACCATAGCTAATAATTCTATTCCAAAAGTAATTAAAATATCATCAGTTTTAATTTAAAATCTATTAACAAATCCACTTGCACGATCAAAAGTAGATTCAACACATTAAATAAATGTATCATAATAATCTTTAAATTATTAATCTTCTAATAATTATTCTACAGCTTTTTCAGCATGCATTTTCATTAATTAAGTTTTTGATAGTACTTTTTTAATTTATTCTTCAATTTATTTTGACAATTCTTATTATTATTTATTATTTAATTCTTTAACAAATTATAAAAATGTATTCTTAGTATCATTATCTAAATTATGTGTTCTTGTTTTTTTATAAAATGACTCAATATATTTTCCATTTCTATCATTTAATTTAGATTCCAAATATTCTAATTCTTTTGGAGTATAATCTGTAATTCTATATTATTTTGATTTATAATATTAATAAGCAGTGTACAATACTTAAGCACCTTCTTTTTCTTTTGTAGTTCTTAATAATAATTCAGCTTTTATTAATTAAGCTTAGATATCACTTTATTCCATATCTGAATATGCATTAACAAATATCTCTGCATCTTATAATTCATCTAGTTATAGATAACAATATGCAATATCAATATTATTTTTATTTCCTTTTGCAATTGATTTTTTGTATTCTTAGATGGCAGCTAAATATAAACATTATTCTTAAAGACATTAACCTCTACTTTGATATATATTTAATAATATTTAGACATTCGAATATTATAGAAATAATGTTGATTCTTTCATGCATCTCTCATATTATTAATCATAAATAAGAGCCATTAATAGATATTTAATGGCAGTTACATTTTCTACTTAATCATTTTTGTCACATAAATCAAGATGAGATATAGCTTATTTATAATTTCCAAGTCTAAAGCAACATATCCCAATATTTAAATGAAATTGATTTTGATGTTATTGTTGTGAAAGTATTTTGGATTCATTTTATTGGAGTAAAGCAAATGCCTATTCGAATTTTTATTGTTAGATGAGTTTATGACTTTCTACTAAGATAGGATCCATAATAAAAATAATATAACGATAGCAGTTTTAAAATTCAACTTTTAAATATATATATATATATAATCAGACAATCATTTATTCGAAAGGAAACTTTGCTTTACAAGGTTTTCCTTTCATATTCTATTAAATTTTCATATAAATATTCACAAAAGATATATATGTCTCTATAACAATAAGAGAAGCTAAAGATGAAGATAATAATGCAATTTGACTCCAAGAAATATCTACTTTATTTTAGTAATTAAGTTAAGTCATTAATTCATCCCAATAACAAAAATTCAATACAATAGTAAATAACATAGATGCTTCTGCAATAAATTACTTCAAAAATTAAAGAGATAAGCTTTTTTACTGACTAATTAAATATGACATATAAAATGTTTGAATTAATGACAACAATATAGATTGAACTATCTAACAAGATTAATAAAATACCAAAATCATAATATAAGTTAATTTTTTAATAATGATAATAATATTTTATTTTCTATTTTTCCTTGTTTGAATTATTAATAAGGTTGTAAAAACAATTATCCATAATGATAAAAGTTTTCTGTATATATCACAATTGACACTCAATTAAATACAAGAAATGAAAAGTAAATCAAAACTATTAGAGTGAATGATAACTTGTAATCCTTATTTAGCAAAACTAAAATATAATTTTGAAGTTATTAATGTAAATGAGGAATATACTCTAAATTAGAATTGATATAAAATAGGTATATTAATTTTATATAAATATTTAAGTAATTGCTTAAATATTAACTTTGATATAAACACAGTTGTTATAATGATAAGAAATAGTTAAACATTTGCAGCTATATCAGCATTTACTTAATATTCTTTAAATTTATATTTTGATTCAACATGTTACAAATCTACATAATTTGAACTTAATGTATTTAGATTAAAGAATTATAATAATGGTTAAAAAGAGATAACATTACTTGATTCATAATAGATTTTCAAATTTTATGGAATTTCAACATTTATAAATTTTAGATATGATTACTATTATAAAATATCTAACAAGTCTAGAAATACTCCAACTTTACCAAACATAAAGTATACCAATCCTATACTACAAGATATATATAAAATGATCTTATTCATTGCTTATAATGAGGATGAAACTGTAAGTTAATTCTGATTCAATATGTTAGGTTAATTCAATTTAATATTTGATTATGATTATAATAATTGCATCTCAATACTATTATATAATTATTCATTTAAATCTATTTACAAAATTAGATCAATCGATATAGTTTTTAATATTTCAATTTCGAATAAATAAATAACTGTTTACAAATTATAATTAGCTGCCTTAGTTTCAATTATATTAATTCTATAAGCATCAATACTCAAATTTAAAATTGTAGCATTAATGTATGATGTATAATTCTATACATTACATTTAACATTCTAATTAAAACTTAATTAAACATATTGATAATTATACTCTTAAGTAACAAAGGTAAGTTTCATTATTGGAGCAACAATATATGAACATTGACTAAAAGAGTCTTCAGAAGGTTATGTACATATCCAATCATTTTCTATTAGACAATTTGAATTACATCCATCTAAATTATTTTTATTAAAATCATCACATTCTTCTTCAGGAAATCCAATCAATCCATCTCCACATTTAGTAATACATTATTAATTATCTATATAATATCCAAAATTGCATTTGTAACATATACCTTCTTCACAAATTTGACAATTTTATGGACATGAATAATTACATAAATGACAACCATCATATTCAATAGAATTACCATCATCACATTATTCATCATATGTAAGAATACCATCTCCACATTATGATACACATATCTAATTTATTAAATAATATCCATAATCACATTCATCCATACATATACCTTTATCACATATTTTACATTCCTTATAACATTAGTATTTACATTTATAACATCCATCATATGGAATATCATTACCATCATCACAATCTTCATATCCATATGCTAATAATCCATCTCCACAAATTACTAAACATTAATCTTTATACAAAGTTAGAGGATAATTACAATTATAACAAACACCTAAAAAACAGACTGAACATCCTTAATCAGGACATTCTAATTTACAATTATAACAACCATCAAATTAAATATCATTACCATCATCACATTCCTCTAAACCTAATGCAATCATATTATCTCCACATTTAGATATACAATATCCATTCTCTAATATCCAACCTTATTTACACATTATGCATTATCCAAATTCACAAAGTATACATGAATCTTAACATTCATTATTACAATTATTGCATCCATCAAATCTGATCATATTCCCATCATCACATTATTCTTGTCTCTCAACTTGATAATCTCCACATTTTGGTATGCATTCATACATTTATAAAACATAACCATCTCTGCATAATTAGCATTAACCAAAATTACATTATATACATTCTTCTTAACATTAATATTAACAAGAACTATTGCAATTTTTTTAAGGAATTTCACATTATTCATTACCTGAAACTATTCCATCTCCACATATTGTTTAACAATCTTCAAATAATTCATATCCTATTTTACATTATATACATTCAGCCTCTTAATTAAATTAAATACAATTTATTAATTAATTATTAATATTAACCTTTTATTGATCTTACTAAATCATTATCTATTATTCTAAATTATTAAACTATTAATATATGCATTAATCATTAAAAATATCAAATATCCATCCATCTTAGCAATTCAAACATATCTCATTTAAACATGTTGAACAACCTTCAATACATGAATATTAACAATTAAAACAACCATCAAATGCATATATATTTCCATCGTCACATTATTCATTATCATCAATTATACCATCACCACAATATGAAGGAAATGTATCTAAATTATATAATATAATCTATTTACATCCATAAATATAAAAATCTCTTATTCCATAAAATCTATCTGAATTATACTATTCACTAGCAATTAGGATTGTAATAGTAGGTGCATCATGAACAAATTCTATTCCATGTATATGAAATTAATCAGGATACATGCTATTTCCACAAAAATTCTTTTATGTTCCAACCCCATTATAAAGAACTTTAAAATCTTAATTCTCTATTCTAAAATTACCAAATTCTCCAGACCAATTATCTATTTTCACAAATCTAAATATAAAGAATAAATTTGAATGAGGTGGTAATTGAAATGTTCTTTATAATTATCCTCCTACTGTCATACTATTGTAACCTCCATAAATTGGAATTGAAGCACATTCTGTTGGACCTGTAACTGATGTTGCCAACCATCCATTATTATCAAAATCATTTATATCTTAAATATTCCAACTTGAGTGAAAGAGTTTCCATTAAAAACATTCAAAAACTTAGGATTCTTAAAAACAAATTTAACAACCATATGGACAAGTATCTACTGATAATTCAAAATCACGTATTCCCCAGTAAACCTACTCTCTAAATTTAATTTACATTTGAAGAATCAATTGAACTGAATATTGAAATAATTGCTGTTGGATAAGAATGAAATTAATTTATAACGATATTGTAAGTTTAATCCGCTTAGTATGATCCACATAAATTAGTTGATGACATAGGTATAATAGTTTAAGTAGATGCTTAATCCACTTAAATATTTATAGCTTATGAAGATGTCATATCAATTCTAAATTTATTTGAATAAATTTATACATATAAACTACAAAAGATAGATATAATTTGTAATGAGGTGGGAGATTAAACAATTTAACAATTCCAGTTGATAAATCAAATATTTAATAACCACCAAACAATTAGACACCTCCACATTATGAATAACCTATATTTTAAGTATTCGATATTTTCCAACCTTGAAATATTTTAATGTTCTACCTTCATGATCAATGAATGGTGTGGTTTAAGTGAATGAGGTTGATATCACTTTTTTAATTCCAATCACACATTGCACCATTATCCACATTAATCCTAATTACATCATTTAAAAATAATTAACATTAAAGTTTATATCTGGCTAGCTTATACATTTAATTAAATTTGTTGATTAATTTCTGCATACAATATGTAGACATTTAACTCTATTATATTGAATCTTTTTATTAACTATATTGAATTGTATATATACATTTAAATTTAATATGATACTTATGAAAACGTTTATAAAATATGCTTCTAAAAATGATCTACTTTATTCTATCTATCAAATTTACAATTAAACCATAATCATCAAATTATGTTCTTCTACTATCTTAAATATAATAGACATTCAAAACACAAATTTGAATTTAAATTTTCATTAATATATATATCTCTATATGTAAGAATACTTATCTAATATAAGAGTAAATAGACTATAATTAATGAATAAAATGAAGAATGTAATAAAAAAGAGATAGTAGATTAAATACTTCTAATTTATTATAAAAATATGAAAGTATATACAATATACATATATTTTAATATATTTATTTACATCACTTTTTTCTTTCTAAAACTACGATGTCATTTTAATCTATATAAATTATGATATCTGATTCTTAATAACTTACTATGATATAATTATAATTAATTTACATGTTACTCTATTGAGTGATTATTTATCTAAAATCTTAGCTGTTGATGAAACAATAGTAGTTATGAATGGTATTAATTTAGGATTATCTAAAGTACCACTGCTCTAAATATTAATTTAATCTATAACCTTTTTGATTCTACCACTATTTTCTAATATCATTTATCCTATTATTCCACTTTCATCCATTTCTTTATTATAAATAATATGAATTTAAGAATTTTTGATAAAACCAAATCAGCATCAAGGAGATTAAAAAGTCCAAGAATATTCAAAACAGAAGGCAATTATTAATAACAACCTAGAGAAAACAAAAGTATATATTATAATTATTAATAGATGATAACTAAAATAAGCCAAAATCATTTATTAATGGCAAATCTGGATTAGGTAAAAGAGATTATAGTGAGAATTAATCATAAATTACACAAAAAAGTATATAAAACATTTATCTAAAGGATTAATTGTTAATAGTTATTCACAATAAACTAGATAATAATAATAATAATCAAACCATACTCACACTAAATACAATACCTTTTTAGATTCAATCTTGAAATTAAGTAAATCAAAAGAAATGAATAGAGTACCTATTAGAAATAGAAAATAAATGTGGCATAATTATGTAAGTAAATATCTCACTTAAACACTAAAGGTTAACCCTGAATCTTCAATTCCAGAAAGAAGAGTACAAAGTCAAATAAACATATTAAAAACAGATGAAACCTATAATAAAAATAGATCAACCGCTTCTTTATGTAGTCTTGAATCACAAGATACTTTCCAATTTAATCTAAAATATATTCATAAAACAAGATAAGGTTAAATAGCTAATAACCCAAGTAAAGTAAACTAAGATATTTTTTATTGTTAAACCAATTTCATTGAAAATTTCCATTTATTTTTTGTTTGTGATGGACATGGTTAAAATGGACATCTAGTATCCAATTTCATTTAAACTAATTTACCTAATAATATACAAAAAGATAAATTATAATTATTATCACACTAAATTAAAGAAACACTTTAGAAATCTATTTAAAATACTTCTATTAATGTAAACAAATAATCATTTGATACAAACTTTAGTGGTTCTACATTAAATGGAATATTACTGTAAGAAAATGGTAAAATTCATTCATTTAATGTTGGTGATAGTAGAACAGTCATTGGTAAATTTAATGGATACGGTTCAAAATTTAAACCTTATCAATTATCAATTGATCATAAATTAACTATTAAAAAAGAGTAATACAGAGTAATCTCATCAGGAGGTAAAGTAGATACATTCTATGATTAAAATGGTATATTATTATATATATATTAGGTAATTCTATTGGACCTATGAGAGTTTGGGTAAATGGAACATAATATCCAGGTTTAGCTATGAGTAGAAGTTTAGGAGATTAAGTAGCATAATCTATTGGAGTTAGCAGTGTTCCAGATATTATTGAATATTAATTAGGATTGAATGATAAATTTATAATTATTGCCTCAGATGGAGTATGGGAATTCTTAGATAATTAAATTGTTGTTGATATTATTGGAAAATACTACTAATAAAATAATATTGAAGGGGCTAGTGAAGAATTAATGAGAGTTGCATATAGAATGTGGACAATAGATGATGATTCAGTTGTTGATGATATCACTTTTATAATTATATTTATTTAGAATTAATGAATTGATTTAATATACTCTATCATTACTAAATAATTACTCCACTGCTATTACTACCACATGATATTGTTGCAACCCTATTTTACACAAATTATGATACTACTATAGGTTTATCTGTGAATGATCTATAATTTAATATTAAATATAATACCTTTTTTTATTTCCTAATTATCCATATTCATTATCACCCCATTCTAAAATAGCACCTACATTTGTTAATGCCATACAATGATTATAACCACATTCAATCTATTTTACTTCTACATTTTCCTATTTACCATTGATATTTATTTTAAAATTTGATAATCCTTCTAATTTAACAATATCACTTATATGTCTAACAAATCCACAACCTAATTATCCTCTTATATTATGACCACAAGCAAATACTTCAGTTTCTGAATTTTATTTGTTTTTTGTTACAAATACACTAAATTCATTTCCAGCTGCCAAATCTAAAACTTAATTATTACTATCCATTAAAGCAGAAATTCTTAATGGATTATAAACAGCTATTAATGGTTCTCCTACTCTTGAAAATTCTTCTGAATGAGATAATTGCATTTATGAATTAGAGCCCCATCCATAAACTGATCCTTCTGCACTTATACATAATGTGTGATTAGATCCACATATAATTTTATTTATTTTAGGTAAATTTTCTATTTTTGTTGGATTTCTTATTCTTTATTCATAAAATGGTGGAGCTGTGCTTCTATTATTGGATCCTAATCCACATTATCCATAAGTATCATCACCCATAGTTAAAATAGATCCATCATTAGTAAGTGCAACAAAATGATCTTCTCCACATTCTATTTGTTTTATATTTTATAAACTATTGATTTTTTTAGGAGTATTTATAAATTATCCATCCTTAACTTAATATTAAAAAACATCTCCATTATTAGTTAATGCCCATACAAATTATTTAGTATATTTAATTTATTTAATCTTACCTTTAGGTACAATGATTTTAATAATATTTTATCTTTTTCCATCATTTATATTTTTATCTTCTTAACTACTTAATTTGTGAGCAGTCCATATATATCCATCTCCATTTCCTGTTATACCACTTTCGAATTATTCAGATAAGAATAATTTCTATAAATTCTTATCATCAAAATCAATTAATTATTTTGGAATGAAATTATTGAAACTTAAACCTTGTCCAGGAAGTGCCTAATATACTCCATTACCCCAAATATATGATTTAGTCTTCTCATTACAATAAAGACTATATGATCCAGCACTACATAATAATATTGATAATCCTAATTTTCTTAATTTCATAAATAATAATAATTAAAATTTTGGCTGTTAGCATGTAACAATATTAAGTTGGTAGAAGGAATCCATCATGTAAATTTAATCCTTAATAAATTAGAACCATAATAACAATCTTTAAAATATAATCAATATTAATCAAGATCACCTTTTTAAAGCATTGAAAATACTTAAAATACATAAATGCCACCTAATAAATTTCATCACAAAGCAAGCACTGATATTGATAATATCAATAAAACTACATCAATTGCAACCAATCCATACTATAATTAATATCTTAAAAGAGCATCTAATTCAAGTCATTAAGATAAACCTCCTGTAATTTATTAATATTATTATATAGTCATTATAATACAGTAATTCTAAATCTAATATAAATCCTAACTAATCACATGATTACTCAATATAATTTAAAGTTGGAGGTAAAAATGAAAAAAAAAACGATTCAATTAATGAAACATAATTATCTTAATTTATTAATCCAACTAAATAATTTGTTTGCATGAGTCCTGCATAAAATCGTGATAACTCTATAATTTTTTAGTCTCCAAAATAAACCTAATAAACAACTATTGTACAATCCCCTCAACCTTATAATTTAATAAATACTCCTATTTATTATAATAATAATAAAGGATCATAATCATAACTTAAACCAATAAATTATAGTAATCCAAATTTATTAAATGAGTTTAAATAATTATAAGATTCTAATAATTTATTGTAATAAACTATTTAATAGATAGAAAGTGAAATATAAAGAGGATAATCTTCATAATTTATTTAAGAATTAGAATAAAAAATTAATTTATTAAAATAGTTAAATGATAAATTGTAATTTGAAAATTAATCTTTAATAGAATAAACAGATATTACAAGAATGAAGGAAAATTTAGAAAAATCTTAATAAATTCGTAAATAAACATCATAATAACTTTAGAATATTAAATTAGAATAATAATAATATTAATAGAAATGTGATGAATTACAAAATAAATTAGATTAAAATGATGATTCTTAAATTAAAGATTTAGTTATTGAATTAGAAAATAAGGTTTAGAATTTAATTACAGAAAATGATAGATTGAATCAATAATTATCTACAAATTCCAATCTTCAAATGATTTCTGATATAGCCAGATTGAAAAATGAAATAGAGAATCTAAATAAAAATTAATAATAATTAAAAAGGGATGAAGAACATTTCAAATTAACATATAATTAGGTTGAATAGGTTTATTAATAAAAAATGGAAGAAAATATATATGCAGATTTAAATGAGAAAATTTAATTATTGATTGAAGAAAATGAAAGATTATAATAGGTTATCAATGATTCAGAATATACTGATTAAGATCTATAAGATATTAAAGCAAGAGTAAAATAATATTATATATATTTTTAGATTAAAGTAATTAAATAAGATAATTTTAAAATGGAATAGCATTTAAAAAGAAAAAATCTTAATAAAAATTATTGATTACTCTTTTCCCTTGTATAAATATCAATTTATTAGAACATATTAAATTATCACTTTTTCTTTTTTTGTTAAGATTTCGATTTTTATTATGTTATTTAAGTTTATTATAATAACAATTTCTCTTTATCAGCTTATGCTTTCATTTAAGGTTTAAAATCAAAAACTTTTACAATCATGGATGAATTATCTCTTTCCTAGAATTAAATATATAATTAATACTTTTTTACTAATTAGGACAGAGTCTATCCTTTTCAATTATGGAAGTACATCAATTATGTATAATCTGAAATTGATAATCTATTCAATTGGATTTCCATATATTTTTAGAGATTTTAGCTCTTATAAATGTGACAACTGTTTTATTAATAAATATATAAATACTTATTTTAATTCATTGATATCCTTAATCTAATTGAAGTTGATATATAATGATTATAAATGAGGTAATTCTTTAAAATTATAATCTAAAGTAGTCAATTGATTATATGATAAATCAATCCATCTAAGTAATTCAACATTAGGCATAACTGTCTACATGACCTAATAAAATCCATTGAGACTTGTTAATTTATTTTGACATAAGATCAATGATTAACAACATAATTCTGGTTTAAATTTAGATTATTGACTTTGATTTTTATTTTCTTGTAATTTACCACCAACTATTTTTCCATTTAATGGTATATTTTATAATGTGATTAATTATGTTGCAACATTTGTTTAAGGAATCAATTAAGAAGGAGGTGGCTATGGAGCATTACCTTTTTTATTGTCTTATTATTTTTAAGGTTATTATTATTATGGTTAAATTGGCTCTGTTTCTTCAGGTAATGATTATTATTATTTGAGTACTTATTCTTTTGGAGTATCATTTTTTACTTCTTAGTTTTCTTACTTCTTCTATTCTTTAAATATCCATTATTCACCTTCTCTAGGTTTAACTTCTTTATTTTTTAATTCTTAGATAGTAGTTACAATATATAAATATACCTTCTAGTTTCTTAATTTCTTTAAATGAATAATCTAAAGTTGTTCTAAGTTTTTTGATTTCTTTAGGTTCAGCTGATAAGCTTTATTACTATATTCCAGGAGGAGGTGATTTAGTATTTGATTTATTCATTATATATATATTATTATATATATTCATAGTACAAATGTAATTGCATAATTCAGCAATGTTGACTTATTGATTTTTTCTATTATAATTTTTCAATCAATTAGTTTTTCTCTTATAATTATTGTATTAATTCTCTTTTTTCACATTTCAAAACTAAATTTTCTTAGTAAGCTTTATCTAGTATAGATTTGACTCTATTCAATGTTTTTTTGAGGTCTTGGTTGAGTTAATTATTAATTGGGATAGAACGATTAGGAGGTGATAATAATTTACTGTAGCTTCTCATTTGAAAACTACTCCTAGTATTTTCTTTATTTTATATAGCTTATTTGCGATTGAGGGATTCAGAGAGCAATTTTTAGAATTGATGCAAACAAGAGTCTTTCTTAATAGGTTATTTTGGAGATTGGCAATACAATGGTTACATAGATATATTTTTCGTTAATTAAAATTAATAAAGAGAATTTATCTTCATTTATTGGAAATTCGATTTGATTAAGTGGGAGTCATGGATTAATTCAAATTTTGTTTATTTGTCATATACTCTTTAAAAACATAGGCTTCTTACAAAAGCATTTCAATATCTAATTCTGTCCAATCTTTAGTAGGAAGGTTCTATAAAAAGATGACAGCTTCCCCCATATTTTTATTTTTAATCTAGATTTCTAAGTAAAATAATACCTCAGGTCCACATTTAAGGATCATATTGGAAACAGTGTAGATGTGAAGATTAGCCATATTATCTCCTTCAGAAAGGTAAGTATCCATTAATCTAATAGCTAAATAGAGAGGGAATTCTCGTACTAATAAACAGATAACCCATCTGAAAGCAAAATGATTAAAATCTATTTATTATTATTGAAAGTAAGATAAAATTGTTGGATCAATCTAGATAAAAAAAAATAATTTACAGTATTAAGTATATTTTTAATTTTTTCATATGCCAATGATACACCAGGTTAATTATGGATAAAATAATCTTATATATTTTCAATGATTTTGCAAAGACACCAATATATATCAGCTTCAATATCAAGAAGTATATCATCTGGAAGTTTATGAAAATCAGAAGGTAAATCAAATTTATTATAATCTACTCTAACATATTCATTAAGAAAAACAGCTATTAATGGAGATGCTATATCATTTATTCCTTATACATAACTACTTATAGAAATAAAGTACCCACTCATTGGATGTCTTTGACTCCAAATAAATAGTAATCTTTTAAATAGTTTCTAAATCTTAGGATCTCTAAACAATTGAAAATCAGGTTAAGTTCGTAATACATCATTTGATATAATTTTAATTATTTTTTCTTCACTTTCATCTCTCTCATAAATTTGTTCATAATAGTTTTTTATATATTGAAAATAATCTTGTCTTTTTTTTTAAATTACATTAGTTTAACTCATATGATTAGGTGGAATGTATTTCAATATTAATTTCCAAACTTTTGCTCTATAAACTTTTATAATATTATAAATTACCTTATGGAGCACCTCTCCAAGTTAATTATTTTAATTGTTCAAGGTCTATAATTTATTATTCAAGAATGATTTCGAATTATTCAATCCTATATATACAATTATAATTATAGATTGGATTTGATTTCCTTTAGAATGGTTAAGTATTATAAATTTAATTGATATTATGTTGAACCTACTAAGTTTCTTTTTCCTTTGTTGACTTTGTAAATAATTTCTTTAAAAAAGACATATAAAATATTATATTTCATAATTTAAATTATGACTTCTTAAGCTCTCCAGTAGGCTGTACTTTTTTATATGGACTGAAAGTAAACATTTATTGAGATTTATTATTATAAGGTGAGTTGTTAGCAGATTTGGCATTTATGGGAGGTAATTTAAATTATTACTATTTATTTTTCATTTATTTTAATCTCACATCCTCTCTTGGTTACTAATTGTAAAATAAAAATACATCTTAACAACTAAGAAATGAAGAATTATTTTGCATTCTTGATAGTGTAGTTCTATGAGCAGATAAAGGTGGTTATAATTATTAAGATTCTGTTTTTAATTTTTATTAAGAACTTGGATTTCTTGAACTAATTATCAAAGGTTGTAAATTATTTTAAAATTAAGAGTGAGCTCTAAATTATTGTATTTATAAAACATCACATTTTTAACTCACTTTTTATATTAATTTAAGTATCATCAACATTTTTATCATCTTAATTTATTTTATTAAATTACTTGATGGAATTCATTTTAACATTTAAATGTTTAGATTATATCTTTCGATGACATTGGCATTTGACTATTTACACCACTAATCCATGGATGAATCAATGCTTATTCTGCTGTTAGTCTAGCTTCAGGTTCCCACGCAGCAGTTTTTTCAAAAAATGATATGGCCGCTCTATTCTATGATTATGCCAATTTTGAACTTGCTCATATTTTAAGGATAACATGCCAATTAAGGAGTTTTCATTTTCTTTAAAAATGTCTCTCTTGTATCATCGGTCCAAAAGGGATGAGAATTTGCAAACATCATATATTGTATAATTCCAAGACTCCACATATCTATTGATTTGAAGTATTCCTTTTTCATTAATGCCTCTGGTGCCATATAAATTAATGTGCCACATGTTTCATGGGTAGTAGATTTTATTGTTTGGAAACTCAATCCAAAATCAATTATTTTCACATTCCATTCTTTATCAATCAAAATGTTGTCTATATATAATAATTTTAATACCAGGTTTTAGATCTCTATGAATTATACCTTTTTTATGAATATATGCAACTGCATATATGATTTATTATATAATTTATCTTATTTAAGAGTCTGTCAATGATTTATCAATATACTCTTAAAGTGATTTACCTTCAATATATTCAATAAGAAAATAAAGTTTCCTCTTTGATTCAATTGTCTTGTAGTATTAAACAATGTTTGGATGCTCTAAAGTGTTAAGTATATAAGCTTCTTGATTGAGCTTTTCTACAATATTATTTCCAGTAGCCAATTATTTATCAACAACCTATAAAAATATGAACTATACTTTTAAGGCATAGATCTAATCTTAATACAAGACTTTATAGACTTTACTGAATGCACCCATTCCTAATTTTTATAAGATTGTAAAATCTTCAAGGAGTTATTCTCCAAATTCTTCATTTTCATTTAGAAGAAAACTTTCGTCAATCATTAATTAAAATATAAAATGGACGACGCTTATTCAAATCGACCAACATCTCCAAAAGATAAGAAAACAACAATAGAATCAATGAGGAATGAGAATATGAATTACATAGAGTACATATTTATATTGATTTTTAAGTTCATCTGATGTAGCTGTCGAATATTACAAAAATTAGTAACTTATACAATTGATTTTAGAACTGCTTCTGGTTTGGATCGTTATTTTTTAGAAATTGAGGATTGGCTAGATGAAGAGAAATCATTGCATTAAAACACTCCATTAGTATTGGAAGCAGATGATGGAATTGGTAAAAAAACTCTGTTAGTTAAATGGATGGAATATCATGCTAAAAATAAAAAAGGAGTAATAATAAAATTAATCATAGCGTTATTAAGATTATATCATTCCTCATTTTGCTACCTAATCTGGGAAAAATAGTAATTATTTCTTTGCAATTTACCGAATATTAATTAAATTAAGAGAGACTCTCAATATCAAATAAAAAGTAGAATTAGTAGAAGAGAAACTTCGTAGATACTTTCATTATTGGCTAGAAATATGTAGTAGAGAATTAGAATAATAATTCTTAAATGGAGCTAAAATTATTTATGATAAAGTATTTCATATCTAAATTATATTAGGTTATATTGATATTTGAAGGAATAGATAATTTTAGAGATATGTTAGATGTACATAGAGAAGCTAATGTTTCCTTTTGGTTACCTAAATACTTTCCAAAAAACATTAAAGTTATTGTAACTGCTGAGAAAAATTCTAATTCTATGAGAATACTCAAACCTTCTTGTCATGTTATTCCTATAACTTGTGATCCTAAAGTAATTAAAACTATGGTTAATGGTCATTTTGGAAAATAATCATTTCTAGTATTCTTTAATATATATTAATATAGACTGATTAAAGAGTATAAACAATTTAAGATTTATTTATTCAATTAAATTATAAAGTTAGGAATTAACCACTCTTTGTAAGAAGTTTTATGACAGTATTTTTACCTTATCCAACAGATGGTCTAGTAGAACTTAAGGATATTGATGTTGATACTGTTGAAAACATATTAAAAGAATTAAATTTATAGTAGATTAAACATTTTAGAACAGTTGAAGAATTATTTACATTTTAATTAAAATTCTTTAGTGAAAGCTTTATTTTTACTCCTAAAACACCTGAATTAAAATAAGATCCAAAGTTTATTTAATTAATTACTGTTCTAGCTATTACTTAAAAAGGATTGACTTATAAAGAAATTCAATCAGTTTGTGAATTTGAAGAAAAATAATGGAAATTATTCTTACTTTTCTTTAAGATATTCCTTATGAAACATCGTGAATTATGGATTATTCATAATGAAATATTTAAAAAATGTGTTATTAATTGTTATCACAATGATAAAACATTATAATTACATGATAAAATTGCAGAAACAATTGATAAATATACTAATAATTCTATTAGAAAATTAGAAGAAGAAACATTCCATTTATTTTCAGCTAAAAATTATTTCAAATTAAAAGAAGTTATAAGTATTATTGAAAACTTCTTATTATTATTCAATCCTAATAATAAATATGATCTTTGTAGATATTGGTAAAAACTAGAAGAAAATGGATTTGACCCTGTATTAGAATATAATAAAGCAGTAGAAGGTTTTCAAATACATTATCATCCAAGTGCAGAAGATCTCTTTAGAATTATTATTTAAGTTTCAAGATTTCTTAAAGAATTTGGAGATTTTGAAACCAAAAATACTCCTGTTTTTAGACATCCTCCTATTATTGGAGTCTTATAAGATTTATATGATATAGGATTATTATAAGAAATATTGAAATTAGATTTATATTTTAATAAAGATCCAGAATTAAAATAATTTGACCCTGCCAAACATTTAAAAAGAGTTGCCAAAGCTATTAAAATACCTGCTCTTACTAAAATGGAGTCATAAAATGTAGAAATACAATAAAATAGATATGAAGTCAGAAATCATTATTTATCATAAATGATTAAAACTAATGAAACAGAACCTGATGAATAGGAAACCATTTAAACATTAGATATTGAAGAATACAAATATTAAATGTAAAAAATACTATAAAAATTGTTAACAGACAAAAGAGAATAATTGTCTGGTGAGGAAGAGATTACTGGAGATAGAATATCATCAGATTATTATTATAAAAGATGGATTTGGATATAATTCCCTTGGGCATGTTTAAGTATTAGTAAAAAATGTGATTATTCTAAAACTATTAAACATTGTTTCTCTTCTGCCACTGATTATATGAGTGTTGAAGAAGAACATGCTTATACAAACTGTAAATTCAATATTATATCATTTAGCTGCTTTAAAAATAGCCATTGAAGCTAAATTAAAGAAAAAATTAATGTATGAAACTGAACCAGAAGAATAATAATAATCTATAATCTTGATTCCTTAAGCTAGTGTTTTAAATCAGCCTTAACCTGTAAAACTTGAATACACATTTGATAATACATAAGCCAGCAGATTTGATAGAAGTAAAGCTATTCTTCCAAGGATTGATAGTATTAATGCTTCAACAGTTAATATGTCTTAAGAAAAATATGAAAGAACAATGTTTATAACATAAGATTTTACTGATTTAGATATTCTTAATTAAGAATCTAAACAAATTAAAATAGCAATAGAAAATAGACCAAATGATGGATAAAATACAGTTAAATTATTGGATAAATTTAAATCATAAAAAAGTAGATTAAAATCTTTTTAATCTTCTTCACTTTCATTGAATGCATATTAATAAACTGAAATATTTCCAATTCTTAAAACAGATATTTAAAAACATTCTTAAAAGTAATTGCATTTATTAGAATAATAAGCAAAATAAATGAGAAAGAAATTAGATACATTAACTTATGAGAATTTAAAAATGGCAAAGATACTTAAATAATAAAAAATAATAGATTTTAATAAAGGTTATATAAAGAAGGAATTATCTAATTTAGAAGAATTGAAAGAAACAAAGATTGAACTTGAAAAACAATTATAAGAGGCTGAATAATCATATAAAACAAGTAGTATTTAAAAAGTAAGAGTAATTACTATTTTGAAAATATGTAAGGATAATAAATAATAGAATGAAGAATATATTAGAGTAATTAATAATTAATTTATTTTAAGCATTTATAATAATTGATTAATAATTTTAAGAAACTAATTAGATTTGAAGAAGTAGAAATCTCAAAAAATAAATAACAGATCAAAACACTTTATAGAACAATAGATGATTTTTTAATGACTTATAATCAAAAAAAGAAACATTAAGGAAATTTAATTAATTAAATTAGGAATTCTTTATTAGAAAAAAAAAATCTAGATCATCTTTTTTAAGCAGGTATTCATACTTTATTATTAATTTATTAGCTGATGCTTATATTTAGGATTCAGCTTTAGAGTCAGTTTAAAATTTAAGAAGAAATTAGGCCAAACAAAATGATCTATAATAAAATAAGAAATTCAAATAATAATAGGAGAAAAATACTAAAAATATTCATGAAAAACTAGAATAATTTGAGAAAAAATATTCTTAAATTAAAGGAATATTTGATATAAAAGAATAAAATTATAGTCATTCAAATAATTTTCTTGATTTTATGGCAAATATTGAAAAAAAAAGTGAATTAGAAATATAGTTATCAGAATAATAATAAAATTTGGAAACTGCAAAATAAAAGAAAATTAAATTAGAAGAAGAATTATAAACATTTTAAAATGCTTATTAAATGAATAAATCTTAGAGTTTATCTAATATAGAAGTCACTGATAACTGTAAATTATTATTAATATTATTAGAAAATGTTGAATAATAAGAAAATAATATATAAGTATAAGCAGATTATTTAAGAAAAATAAGAGATTACAAAGTTAGATGTTACTCTTCTTATGATTCCTTATTTACTAAATTTTCTAGTAAAGAGGATCAATAAGTATACTTTAATAATAATATTAAGTTACTAAATGCTATAAAAATAAGAAAATAGAAAATTATTGAAAATGAAGGACAAGAAGCTTTTACAAAAATTTTGGATAATTCATATGATATGGATAAAATATATAAGAAACTTGTTCCTTATGAAAATGTGTTAAATTTAAGTTAAAGTTCTGAATCAGATCATGAAATGTGATGATGAATTATTTTAATCAAAATAATATTAAATATTCTTGAATGACAAAATCGATAGCTTAGATCTTTAAAGAAATATGGCCTAAATTAGCAATATTCACTGTGATGCTTGTTATTACCATATTTTAAAAACATCCAATGACATTCAAAGCATTAGGTCAAAGTAATGAAGAAATTTAAGAATAATTTAAAACAGGGGAATTTAAAACAACTTCTTTTGAAAAAGATTACCTTGCATATATGTAAATAGAGAAAATTATCTTTACTCTTGTTATTTTTATAATTTTTTATTGGTTCAGAAGATAAAATCTACAATATGAAGAATAATAAGCTAAATTATATTTTGAAAAAGAAAAAGATAATAAAATAGCAGATAATAGAAAATTACTTTTGGAATAAAAATATGAATTTACAGATGAAGAAATTAAATTTTATAAAGAAGCTAATTAAAAGATTCAATAAAAAGAAATCAAAAATAAACAAAAATATAAATAAGAATGAGTTCTGGGGTATATAATAATAGATTGTGATTATTTATTAATATTAATTACTCCCATATTTTTACTATTAATGTAATCACCAAATCCTATATAATAAAATGAGGAATAAAATTTACGTGATGACCTCTCTTCAAAACCTTCCTTAGCAAGATCAAAGTAAGTTTCTAAAATATAATCAAGCACCTTTCAACCAATTCCAAAAATTACCAAAAAATTTACAATAGGAGGGAAAGAATACTCATATGTTGGACCTGATCATCCTTATATTTAAGATTTATTCTAACTTGTAGAAGAAAGAGAAAGTAATCCTAAATATATTTGGATCAATAAAATAATAACAATTAATGATTAGTTAGAAAAATGGTTTGCTGCTAAATGTAGATTTTTTAATGGAGGTTTTGAGATAACCCATTATCATGTACTAATTTGGTTTTTTTATTTGATTATTTATGTTGTGTTCTTAGTCCAAACTTTAGTAATTATTTAAACTATTTCAGGATTTATAAAATTCATCTGAAGTACAAGCAAATGCTAATAAATAGATAATTGTGTATAATCTAGCAGGATTAGGAGCATTATTTACAATATATACTCTAATGTAATTATAAATAATGAGTTTTAGAATAATAATGATAAAATAAGTTTGGATAGTCTTAATAATTACATTTTTAGGGGTGTTACTCCCTTTATGGTTCCTTAGTAATAATTATCTAAATGTATAAATTATTATTTAATTTAGTTACTTAATTTGAATTCAGCAGCCAATTATGATATTTCGATGATTTTTATTCTAATCTTCATTGTTTTGATTATGCTAAATGGATTTATAGTCTCATAATTATACATATGGTTGAGAAGTTTTATGAAAGAATTATTTGCAGCAATGGTTGTCAACTTCTGGTGCCTATTTTGTATATTCTTAGTTGGATACTACATTCTAGAATATGTTATTGTTACATCTTAACTAGTATTTGAAGATTTGATAACTTACATTCTGTCCTAACTTTATATACCATTGCTCTTGATTTTAATATTTTCATGGTTTATTATTAAGGCCAGATTGTTTGATTGGCCAGAAGACGTTATATAAACAGCAATCGATAGACTAAAGTATATGCTTGAAAAAAAGTACATTCGATCTGAAACAACTTAATAATAGGCCTTAACTTGGATATAAAAGAATAAGGTAAGAATAATTTCATATATGATTGGAATATTTTATTTTATTGTTGAGATTTGGTTGTTTTTAAAATTATCAACGATACTTTAAAATGAGTTTTCAAACTACAGTGAAATCATGACTTTAGCATTTGAAGTGACCATAGTTCCTATTTATTTATTTTTAGGTGTTTTCATTTCTATCACAAATAGAGAATTATCAAAAACACTCTTATATATTCCATTATTTTTAGGAGCTCCTATAATATTTTCTTTTTTGAAATTATACTTTTATTTAGATTCACATTCTACAACTAAGGATTTAGTTCTATCTATAGGAGATGCTATTTATTATGGACCAATATTTTTATTTACTATTTGGCTAACAATAAGTATGGTTGGTATTGAAAAACGAAAATTACAAATGTATTCATTAGGATTTCTCTGTTTCTTTTTAGCCTTTCCTTTAGGAGTATTGATCCCACTTTATTATGAATCAGAAGATGGAACTTTATTATATACTAGTTATGTTTTAGTAGGAATAGGAGCAATCATTTTGATTTTGATTTTTGCCTATTTTATCATATTATCTATAAAAGCTGTTTGGAGAGTTAAACAAATAACTGAAGATGATTTTCCAAACTTTGGAGAATATGCTTATTATAATCTAACCCCTTATGGCTTATGGATTAATGCTGCATTCTTTCTTTTATCAATATTTTTTTTGGGTGAATTCTTTTGGTTTTCTTAAGAATTTGATGATTAATATAAACCAACAGATGTAGAAATTGGAACTATTTTCAGTTTATTAATAATGCATCCAATTTTATTCTTTTTAACCAATTTAGCATTATCAGGAAGATCATTAGAAATAAAAAAAGATTTTGAAATTTCAAACATTGAGATGGAAAGAATTGAATAAATTGAAAATGAAAAAAAACTAAACTCTCTCAAAATATAGAATTATACTGTTCTTGCTGGTATGCTTTGTCCTATTGCAGTATTTACACCAATAGGTATAATGATGTCTAATGAAATATTTTCAACTTTCTTTTTAGCATTAGCTTTTGGATTGCCACTCATATTTCTGATTTATAAAATTTTGACATATATTAAGAATCAATCAGAAGCATATGAAAACTTTTTCTCAGCTTTTGTAAGTTCATTGTTATGGTGTTGCATCATTTTTCCATTTGGTGTCATTGTGCCTATGTTATCAATTGAATTTATTAACACTTCAGAAAACTTTTAAACCTTTGCCTAAGTTGCTGTTGCAAGTGGTTTGTTTATTTGCATATTTGGAGTGACTGGTACTTCACTCTTTTTTTCTATTTTACTAAATAAAGAAGAATTTGAAAGGAAAAAAAGATTTATTGTTGAAGGATTGATAGCCTATTTTTATAAAGAGCATGTTATTAGTGACATGGCTGTATGTTCTTTAATCTATATGAGATATTTAATTATAGGAAATGTAATAGAAAGGAAATTTAAGAAAGATCAGAAAAAAGGACCTTAAGATAAAAATAGTATGGAAATCAATCAAAAATAATAAATTAAATAAATATTAATTGAGGATTTAATTAACTAATATAAACCTGTTGGTCCTATAGAATATTTAGGAGAAGATTTAGAATGCAATAAATAATTGGTTTCAAAACTTAATTATGAGAAATTTATAAAGTCAATAGAAGATAAAAAAATAGAACAAATGGAAAAAAAATAAAATAAATGTTTGATGATGTTTTGGGAATGTTTATAATGCAAATGTGGTCTAGAAGAAATTGAATAATTAGAAAAAGATAAGGAAAATGAAATTATTTAACTTAGAGATATCTATAAAATGGATGAAGAATAGGGTTAATTTATGGAATAGTTGATTCCAGAATTTTCTAATGTTTATAAATTAATGGATGATAATGAAAGAACAGGCTTACTTTTAAATTTTGAATTAGAGCCAACTGCTTAAATATTGGCTTAAAAATAATAACATATTGAAATTGAATAGCTAGTATCTTCAAAAACTGAAAAATTTAGAAAATTAGAAAGGAAAGAATTATCAAATAAAGCAACAAGCAAGATAACATCGACTGATTATTATTAATCATTATAACAAGATAATAATTTATTTCCATAATTCATGCATGAAGTGTTTATGGAATTTAGTAATTAGGAGGAAGGACTCCCTCCCTCAATTTGTTATAATGATTTCAAAGAATTTTGTAGATTAACAGATTTAAATTTTGGAATCTCAGAATATACAACTCATGCTAAACAAATATGGATACATTAAACTTATACTTTAAGTGAATCTGATTTCGCAAATTTACTCAAATCTGCTTTGCCAAATAACTCTGTTGATAAATATTAATAGCTAAAGTAATTAACATTAACTAAAATTTATCCTGGTTTAATTAAATCAATAAAATCCTTATATAGTAATTTAAAAGAAACCAATAGATTATTTCTCAATAATGCACTTGATCCAAAATTATACCCTTTTTGTTAAGAAAATTTTGATATAAGAAAAAAAACTAAATAAGAAGTCTAGGAAGAATAAAGTATGTTATTACTTCAAATTAATGATATCTAAGATACTCAAAATAATCAAATCAAAAGGGCAAACAGCATTAAATTTCCAAAAAAATCAAGAAAACAACTTAATTTTGAATATGCAGAGAAAGTTTAGGAAATAGAACAATAATATAATAATAAATTATCTTGTTGCAAAAAGTGTTGTTATAGCTTTTTCAGATTTCTGAATCTAGTCTTTTGTTAAATATTAGGATCATGCTGGAAATTAATTTTAGGAGGTTTTGAGGATTAAAAAAAAAAACCAGTTAGAAAAGGTTGGGCATAAAGAGTTAATGAAGCTAGATTAGAAATGAGAGATTGGAAACAAGTAGCAAAAGGTGCTATTGAAGAACTCTTTAAATAAATCAAAAATTATGAAGAGTAATAAAAAAAAAAATTAATTGTTAAATAGTTCAGATCTACTGTTAGTAATATTATTGCAATTTCTACAAGACTTTTTGATGTATATGGTTTAGCAGCTTTAACTTTTAATAGTAATGTCTCTTGGTTTGGTTCTAATTCTTCATCAGATGTCTAAGGGCAAGATGTTGTTGATGGAGCTGCATTTTATAATTCATATGCATTTTACTTCTATGCTTCTCTGTCTGCTTCTGTTTTATATGGAATTTTAGGTAGGATTGCTATTTATCATGTAAAATAAAATACTTTTGGCCAAAACACAGTGAATGGATTACCAGCAAGTTATACTCATCCATAATGGTATTTGACAAAAGCCATATAAATCTTAAATGGATTATTCCTCAGAATAATGAAATCATTTATAGATGCTTTTGTTTGTGATTATGATGTTGCTGGATCAGTTACTTACGTCTTGGTGAGAGATAATTCTGTAGAATGTTTAAGTGATTAGCATTATATATATATGGGATTAGCATTTTTGGGAGTAAGCATCTATTATCCATTAACAACTTATATGCAACCTATTTTTTAGTTTAATGATCATTCATTAGATTTAAAATATAGATCTACTTATTTAGTTGTTTATGTTTAATGCAAACTTTTAATACTTGGATTAAGTTCTTTGTTTGCCAATTTTGACTCTAATTCTTTTACATTTTAATTAATTTTTGCTTCCTGCATAATGCTTTTTATTATAATCTTTTATTTAAGGATGAAACCATGCCTTATTGATTGGTTCAATATGATTGAACTATTTCTATTTATTATAGTTTTCTCTGTAAAATTTTATATTAAATTTAGGTATACATTGGTGCTATTTTAATATTGTTTACAAATAATTACTTATATGGACTAATATTTTCATTATCAACTACAACTTTGTTATTGATTATTTTAGCAATATATTTTGTTAAGCAATTCTTAGATTAAAGAAAAAGAGAAAAAATTGGTATTGAATCGGAATAATAACAATAATAAATCAAATCAAAAAAGGGATTATCTTAATTTGTAGAAACAAAACAAGAAGAAAAAATGAGGATTGTAAATTTTAAAGGAAAAGATAAAGTTAGAGAAGAAAAATAACTTAAAGTAAATTTCAAAGATCAAGAAGAAAAAGAAAAAGAACTTCAAAAAGCCAAAAGAAATTAGGTTCCTCAAAAGCGATAATCTTAATCAGATTTAAATTTAGATAGCGAATACATACCGATTAAACAGATAGAAGGAAATATTAATGAAATTCCAATAGAAAATAAAAATATTAAACTTTACTAATAAAGGAAAACATGAGTTTATTAAATGAAATAATATACTTTTTCTATTATTCTCATATTTATTTGTTTTTATATATATTAAAATAGTAGTTGTTCCGTAATAATTAAATTAATAATTGAGATCCAATAAAATAAATTATTATTAATAATAAAAAATTATATAAATATCTAAACATTTAACAATCATAATTGTAATTAGATAATTATATAATTTATATTATAGAGACGAATATAAATTAACAATTACTAATATTATTGTATTAAATTTGATTAATTGAATTTGGTAAATATTTAAACATAAAAATAGAAAAAAATTATCACTATTTTTAATGATAAATATATTATATTAATTAGAATGATACTTTATAGATAATTAGATTCTGAAGCATCAATACAAATTAATAAATCAAATATACTATTTCATCTACATTTTTTCTAACTATTTAAATTCTTAAAACCTAAATTAAAATATAAAATATAAACAATAACCTTAGAAAAATTTTAAATGAAACTATTTGTCAATGAATAATAATTCATTTGCTAATGATGGCATATGGGAAAATTAAAAAAAATTAACATTCTTAGTAAAGACTTTAAATTAAGGTAAATAGGTAAAATAATAATCAAATATTATGATCAAATTTTTAGATCATCAATAACAATTAGAGAAAATTGAAAGCATCAAAAATCTAGAAATATATATCAATTTAAATATAATGACTGTGGACCCTTTGGAAAAACGATTATAAATATTAAAAGATTTCTTAAGATAAATCAATGATTATAATTAGATGAAGCTATCTTTTAAGAATAAAATCTTTGTTGTCTTTACTTAATGTATCATATATTTTCCAATCAAATTTGAGGCAAAAATTACTCTCTATCTACTAATTTCTCCTCTATAATCTCAAAAGGAAGTATTTTATTTTGAGATTGAATCTTTTAAATAAAGTAATACATATAATAAACTTTCTAAATCGTCTTTAAATCCAAGTGGTGCACCATCATGAGATGATCTACTTGCAAAATTTAATGAACCTATAAATATATCTTACAATGATTCTGAATTTTCTTAATATTATTATGATAAACCAAAATCAATCAATTGAATAAATCCAGGTTTTAAAATATCCTATTCATTTTCAAATTCTTTATAAATCATTATATTTTCTGGTTTTATATCCAGATGTAAAATATTTTTATTATGTAATTATTCTAATATTTCAATTATACTTAAACCTATTCTCATTATAAACCAATTAGAAAATTTTCTTTATTTTCTTAACTCTAATAAGTTTTTATGGTATAAAGGAAAAATCAATAGTATCTAATTGATGAATTAAAAAAGGAATAGTTATGGGTGCTTAATTTAAATTCTCTGATTTTGGAAATCCTTGAATCTCATTCAATTCGTTTAGTATTTCTATTTCTTTCTTTAACTTTCTTGTTTTTTAGATTTTACATTTTTAATGCTTAAAATTCTGAATTTCAATTATATTCAGCTTTATAAATAATAAGCTCAGACCACATCCTATTATTAGAAAGTATTGATAATTGAATTTAGAAAAAAAAATAAAAATAAAAATTTGGCTATTATAAATTAAATAAGAGGGGGTCGGATTAATATTTATAATAAATTTGTGAAAACAAATATTTAATGGCTATATAAATTTGATTATAAATTTAAATTCTTCCTTGAAACACATGTTACAGAAGACATTTATATTATAATTTTATGAATCTTTCAAAGTTAATTTTTAATAAGTATATAAATAATTACTATTGGAATTCATTTTTTTAAAGCTTTGAAATAAAAAGAAAATGGATCAATGATGCATTCATTAATTTCATTTTTGATAATTCTTAGTTTAAAGGACTCAATAATGAAGTATTTTTATTAAAATTAAATAATTGTATTAATTTATGCCTTCAATAATTTTTTCTTTATAAAATCAAATTAGCAAATAAATATGGAAGAAAGCTTTAATTATAAATATTGCCGTCTAAAAAAAATTTATTGTTTACGTAATTTTAATAACTTTAACTCTGATTAATCATCTCTTATTCCTATAAAATTATTAAAACAAGCTTAAGGTCTAATGATAAAGTGTTTAGAGACTATTAACATTAATATTAATATTATTTTGATTTAGTTTTAATAAATAATTTATTGTTAATCATAATAAAATTGTATTGAATGTAATTTTTTAGTATATTTGAAATTCCTTAGCATTTTGAATTAAAATTAAAAAGTTTCATGATTTTTAGTAAACAACACTACAACAAGACTTAAAAATTTCATTAATTTTATCTTATCATTCTATAATTATCAATCTTTAAATCAAAACAATCTTGTAATTATAAAAATAAGATTAATTAAAATAGTATTAAAAATAAAAAATGTTTCAAAACAATAATTTTATATATTTAAAAAACTTTCAATAATCTGAGGAAAAAGATAATTTCTTTAGGTTTAGATAATAATTTTTTGAAAATTTTTGATCTTAAACAGATATTTAAGTCAAAAAATTACAAAAATTTTAGAAGTTTTTAATTTCAAACTTTTATACTTCTAGTTGTTAAATTAATCTAAGTTTATGAATATTATGTTCATTTTTGTTGTAAATCATTTTCTGTGGACAAAATCAACAACCTTGAAATAAGTTTATATATTGCCTAATTTTTTATTTTTTAAACATTTTATATAAAGTATTGACATTGTTATAGTTTTCTTTTTGCACTATCAAATGAGGGATTTTTAATCAATTTTTTGCTTTTTATTGATTTTACAACATTCTTAAAAATCTTTCGTCGAATTAAGGAGGGTTAAATATAAATGTCAAAAATAGTATATGGTTTAGATATTGTTAAGAATTAAAGGAGTAATGTACTAGTATTTTATGCATATTATTTAATATAATTTAATACAGCATTATGAACCTGTAAATTAAAGTTAGAAAATTCTTGGAAATGATATGGCTGAACTCAATTTTTATTGCAAATTTTGTTTAAGGCATATGGTGGGCTTCTAACACTCTCTGGTTAAATTAGCCAATAAATTATTTAGTATTGATACTGCAATTGTCTTGTGTTTTTTTAAGATGCTTTTAGTAAATATTGATTTCAAAAGAATATGGGCTTAAATTTGTTATTCATATAGTGTCCTTGTTATATTATATAATATATTTTGAATCCTATTTACATATGGAGATGAATCACAATTTATAATCACTCTCTAATTGTTTATTGATTATTTTTACTTATATGGATTACTTAAAAATTGCAATATGTAAACATAGTTTGATCTGCAAATTAGGGATTGCATTTTATTTAATTATAAGAATAACATGTACATTAATAATTGATTTTAATATCTATCAACTAGAAAGCTTGATGATATTAAGTTTATTATTCATAAAATATACAATTGAGCTTTGTATTTCATTTAAAAACAATTTTTAAGAAAAAAATCCAAAATATCAATTAACAATAAAAGAAGAAAGAGATTCTACACCTATACTTTAAAATGAATAGATAGTTCCTTAAGTAAAATCATAAAGTAAAGTATCTATAAACTAATCCCCTTAACATAACATGAGCATATTTTTAAGAGATCTTCCTAGTGAGATGAAATTGATACAATATTCTAATTTGACTAATTGTTAGAAGTTAAATAAAAGTTTCGATAAATCAGACTAGTCAATGACTTCATTTTATTAAAATTTGCTTAACATTTTCCCTCAAGGAATTTTGATCTTAAATTCATCCTAATAAGTTAGTTACATGAATAACAAATGTGAAAAGTTATTAGAGTGTTAAGGAACAGAAAAAGTATTAGAAAAAGTGAAGACTTGTGTGAATAATGCAAAAATGCAAAATTAATAAGTAGAGGATTAGAATACTTTTTAGGCAAAATAACAATAAAAATAAATACATTATCAAATTTTAAAAGAAATAATTAGTATTTTATCCAAAAGAAATATAACAGTAGATGTCTTAGATATTATCATATAACCATAAAAATATTCAAACATGATAGGATCAAGTTTTGGAGACAATTATTTAAGTTTTATGTCATAGGTTTTTATATATGAATGGTTTGTTAAATCAGGTTTTAATAAAATTACTTCTTAAAAAAAACTTAAACTAATAATTATCCCAACTTCTATGACTATTTAATAGTAAGAATACTTTCAATCTTAGTCATAAATTTAAAGTTGCAGCAAAGTTAATTTTTAACCAACAACTGACTTTGAAAATCCTGTACTTCTCATTATAATTAAAAATATAACTCACAAGCATAAATTCTAATAAATTAGAGATGAATAAATTATTCATCATAGTCTTATCAAATCTTTCTCTCATGAGTTAAGAACCCCTTTAAATAGTTGTTAGAATATGTTGAATCTTATTTAGTAATTCCAAAGTGAAGATGAGTTTAAGACTTGTCTTGGAATTGCCTAGAATTCAATAAAATTATTGATTCATCAAATTAATGATATTTTAGATTATGCTGCCATATAATCTTATTAATTTTCTTATCATATCACATAATTTCCAATAGATTTGATCATATAAGAAGTAAAAGAATTGTATAAATGTTAAATGTTATTAAAGAAAATTAAATTTAAGATTTTGGTTTCAAAGAATTTAAAAGATTTAGTAATGTGTAATGATAAGTAGAGAATATTATAAATATTAGTAAATTTATTAAATAATTCAATAAAATTTACTAAAGAAGGAGGCTGTATTCATCTAAACATAACTGAAAAGGAATATTATTGTATAAACATAGAAGTTAAGGATAATGGGATAGGAATTGCTGAAGAATAATTAAATTTGATTTAAAGTAGTTTATATGATACCAGTGAATTTGGTGCGATTTTGAAATAAAATGCAGAAATTAAGAAAAATGGGTTAGGATTGAGTATTGTAGCAAAACTTGTATAAGGTTTAACTAAGGCCCAAGATAATAAATTAATTATTAATTCTTAAAAATATTAAGGAACAGCAGTCTCATTTCAAGTTGAAAATTTATAGATTAACCAAAATTCATTTTAATAATCCTCGAACTTATTTACCTTATAAACTGGAAAGTTTAATTAATCAGAAATATTTTATACTTTCAATAAGATAAAAAGTGATGATAAAATATTAAATAATACTTTTTCTTAAATTTAAGATGATAGAGAAAATTAAGAATAAAATTCAGAGACTTATAAAGCTACTTCCAGATTGAATGATTTTGAAATATAATAAGAAATCTTACTACCTGTCAGTCATGAATATTTTCCTCATAAATTTATTTCATCTTGTAAAGATTTTTAAGAATTTGATCTAGAGTCATCTAAAATTTAAAAACAAAAATAAATGTGTTAAAAATGTTTTCATGTTTTAGTTGTAGATGATATACCATTTAATTAAATAGCCTTAAAAATGATGCTTAAGCATTATAATATTGAAGCTGATTCAGTTTTTGATGGATTTCAAGCAATAGAAAAAGTAAAACAAAAACTGCAGTAGCATTGTTAAATCTATGAATTAATTTTTATGGACATTGAAATGCCTGGGATGGATGGATTTCAGGCTAGTAAGCAAGTAAATTTATTATATCTTATTTTTAGATTCTTAAAATAACATAAAATTAATCTACAATCGTTATTTGTTCTGCTTATGATACTTAGGAAAATTATATTAAAGGTTCCAAATTAGGTATCAATACATTTCTTCCAAAACCTGTTAATCCAAATGAATTGAAAGTAGTATTAGAAAATTTATTTCAATTCTAAGGATATAATAAATGAATACTGTTTATATTTATGTATATTTTATTATATTCTATTCTCCTTTATCAATATTGTTAATTTTAATTAAAATTGAAAAATATAAATAAAGTGTTTGAATATTTAATATAATTTAAAAATATCAATAGAATAAATTATTTTTATTTAACATTTATATTGTATAACAAATATTCTCATAAAATAAATGTTATGTATAAAGGTAAAACATATATAAGATTCACCTTGTAGATTTTATATATTTAATGAATCCTGATGCATTTAAACTCATATATCTTGCTTCTGATATTCTATTTAGTTTTGATAGAATAATTGCTAATTTATTAAATATTATTTATACTTTTTATATGTTAATACCTTTTTACATTAGGTTTCATTTAAATACATATATCAATAAAATTAAGACTTTCATAGTATTTCATTTATTTACATAAAGCAAAACCTATTTATAACTATTTATTAAACTTTTCAAAAAGTAGGCATAACATAAACTGGGTTTGATATCGATAACCTTATTAAAACATTCAAGAGCCTATTCATATTTATTTTATTGAAGTAAAATATGACCTATTTTTACATTATAATATACCTTGTAGGCACCAAGCATTGTGATATTGTGGATTCTATTAAGTGGATTATTTTAGACATTCAATTGCCTCTTCTTTTTAATTTAATTATTTTAAGATAAAGCCTTATTAAAGATTTTAATACTTTTACTAAAATATAAGCCAGCAGATTAAGGTTTTAATTAAATTGCTATATTTATAATTTTTAAACTTTTTTTATTTTCTTTAAGCTGAAATAAGGCAGAAGCTAAACTCAATAAATATTATGATTTTGCTGAATTATTACTGCTAAGTTTAATTGCCTTATTTATCCATGTTATTGCCTTTTTGAAACGATTTAATTTAATTAATGTTTTACCTATATGAGATTTATAGTTTTTCTTACCTATCATGAAAAATAAAGAGGCAGTTTTTTCATTGAATTTAAGTGCCTTATTAAAATATCTAAGTGCTTTTTTGAAATCCTATTATGAATATAACTTACGAGCTAAATTATTAAATAAGATTACCTTCTTTTAGTAATAAACATTAATCAGTTTCTTTCATAGTACTATTAATTTTTTATATCTTAATTTGTTCTATAAAATTATTAAATTGCTTACTTTTAGGTGTGTTACAAATTTCTTCTAGATTTTACTTTTCATTAATTGAATGAATATACTAATCATTCTGTTTCTATTACTAATTTTAAGTAAATAGATTTCTTAAATGTTTCATATGTTAGTTTAATTATTCGTAATTTTTATTAATTATGATCTGATACAATTCAACAAGCTTCTTTTAGTTTTATTGCCTTATAAAAAATAATTCTTACTTATTCAATCCAGTTAAGGATAGTTGGTGTAATTCTTTTTATTTTTAATAAATTGTTTAAGTGAGACTTCTAAATCTTTTGCAACAGTTTTTGTGATTAGAATGCAAAAATTATAAACAATATTGACAACTTAAGGAATCATTATGACAATTTTCGTTAAGACAAATGCAAACAATTAAAGAATTTTAGTGATTCTATTTAAGGCATTTCATTATTTGTAAATTAATTTATATCAAATTTTCTATTAAGAATTTAATGTTAATTCTCTTAGGTAGTTATATTTCAATGTTTTAACAGATTAATTTTCATCTGCTCTGAAAATAAGCCAAAGCATTAAAGTAGTCATTTCATAAAAATTAGTTCTTGGTATAGTTTGCGAATTATTGAATTATATATTCCAGAATCTCCATTAGTATCAAAATTTATATATCCAATAAATAATTCTACATATAAAAAGTATAAAAATGGATATTAAAATATATTATTTGATATTTTTATAATAAATGAATTGTAATAGTTTATTAATTATTAATCATAAATAATTATGTAAAATATGAGAAAAATAATTAATTTAATATCTAACAATTATCATTTAAAGTGATTAAATTTAATTTAAATCTAGAGAAACAGTGAAAAAATTATAAATTATCTTATCATTTAACAATAGTTAATTTATATCTAATTTAAGAATAATTTAAATCCAATAAAGTAGTAATTGTAATATATATTAAAATTACTTACTATCTTAATTTAAAGAGAACATTGTTTTTTTTAAGAGTTATAATAGATTTAATCATACAATACTAAAATTATTGATCTTTTTCTTATTTCACGATAATATTAAGTCATAATTTAAGGTTTTATAAATTTATTTTCAAAAATCCAGTTTCTTATTACCATTATCTATACATTTATATTTAAACCAAGTACAAAATGATAACTGCTAACAATCATATTCATTATCATAATCTGAGCATTTCTTATCATAACAGAGCTTCCTTTTTTCATCCCAAATGCAATAAGCAATAGGACACTTTCCTGCCTCTTCAGCTTATAATTAAATACATGAGGAATCCCAACATATACTATTAATCCAATAGCAAGCAACCTAAATTAGTTATTCTTATTACAATTAGATTACACTCATTCTAATCCTTTCCTTCTCTGCACTTTTTAACGAAACAAGAGGATGAATCTGCTTACCATTTACAATCTACTGCTTAATTACATCTGTTTTCATCAGCCAATAAATTACAAATACTTTGACATAAAGAAGGTTTCCAATAACTCCAATAACATTAATCATTTGTATTACATTCTTATTGATTTGTTATTTCTGTACATAAGCTTTAAACACAAATCAATAATACAAAAACCTAATAAAGAAATATATTTAAATCAAACATTTTGATTAGTATTAATATATTATACTTTTAATTTTAGAGAATCTTGAAATATTTCAGAAATAAATATATACATGAAGATATAACCAAATTTTTACTATTTTTCTTGGATTTTATTAATATCTGAGAGGTATTTCAAAATGAATTATCTCTATTTTAAAAAAAATATAATTGTAAAATATATAGAAATTGATAGATAAACTAAAATAATAATAAAATAATAAACATATTTTTTATTAAATATATATTCATTTATAAAATGATATATATTCCTTTTATATTACATATAATTATAAGAAAATAATATTTAATATAAGACTTAGCATTAAAGCTGATGTATCATAATAAAATAGAAGAAAAATTGATATAATTAGTATAGATATACTTATTTAGAATACATAAATAAAAGAATAATTACTATCAAACAGTATTATTTAATGAAATCAAATATTTTTTTATTTACTCTCATTCAAATAAAACTCCAAAATTTAGGGTCTCATTGATTCACTAAATTCTGATATTTATGGTTCATTTTCAACATCTGCTCTAATAAAAAATACACATAAATATCTATTCTCAATATCAAGCCAATTTTAAAATCCATGCACTCCAGAACTTGAAAAGATTACAGGTTAATTTTTATTATTAGTATCATAAATCCAAGCACCAATTGCAAAACTATATGAATCTGATACGTCTCCTACAACTTCTTTCATGATTTCTACTGAAACAGGAAAATCTTCAGTATAATCTTTAAACATTTATTTAACAATCGATGCTTATATTATTTATTTGCCATTAAAAGATCCATGATTTAGTAGCATTTATAAAAAATTACCATAATCAATCATTCTAACTAAAAATCCATCTGCAATTGCAATATTTTAACCTTTCTCTCCATCAAAAGCAGTAAATTAAGCATTCTTCATTTCTAAAGGTTTAGCTAAAAACTCATCAAATAATTAATGAAATGATTTTCCTGTAACTATTTCTGCCATTCCACCTGCTATTTACATCCCAATATCACTATAACCAACCTTAGTACCTCCTTGAAAATATACTTTGCTGGCTGGATACTTTCCACCTTTTGCGATTCCAATCACAGATTCTTATAATGTAATATCTAGATCTAATATCCATTCATCTACTAATTCATAACCTGAAGTATGAGTCATCAAATGTTTTAATTATAAATTAGGATTTCTATTCTTAAATTCTGGATAGAAATCTATCACTTTGGTATCAAGACTTAATAATCCTAATTCAACTAGTTTCATTATAATAGTCATAGCAATCCATTTACATCCAGATGCTATATGAATAGTAGTTTGATCATCATAGGGTTGATGTCCTTCTGAAGACAAGTGTTCTTTTAAATATATTTAACCATCAGCTCCTTATATTAAAATACTCATTTTATGACCCATGATATGTAAATTTGATTTGAGTTACTCCAATAAGTCTTTTCTCCTTTATTAATTTTACTATTTCATTAATAATATTTAAATAATTTAAAGTATATATATATAAAAATATAGCTGAGAATAAATTATCCAATTTTTTCTAATTTTTACATTAATTCTTTATATATTAAATTCAATCTTTCATTATTAACATATTTTAATAGAAATAAATATAGATTATTTTTATATTATTTAAAATCTAAATTGATAAATAATAAGCTATTTTAATTCAAAAAACTATTAGAATAATCCTTTTAGATTTTCTATTTTTTTTCATATTCTATAATAATGTATTTATTATAAACATGAATAATCACATTTTAATATCAAAATAGATATAAAATTTACATTTTATATAATTATTTTAATAATTAGAAATAAGAAATTATATAATCATTTAATAAGAAATTGGATTACTTCTTTACATCTAAGCAGTAATTGTAAGTAATAATGACAATAATTAGTATTGATTGAAGCATGCTACTGGATATTTTAATAGTTCATTTAATTAATCGATTATTAAAATAAATAACACCATACATACCCCCTTATTATTTGACTTTTTAATAACCAATTATTTCTTCCTGAAACTTTCCATAATATAAGTAGATAGTTTTATGTAAATACAAATCCCATAATATTAAGTCTTATCAAATATTGGATGTGGATCCTAACATTTAGTATATTTAGCCAAATAAATTTAAAATTCAGAAACATATGCCATAAAAATAGAAAAAAAACCTAGAATAGGTCAGCTAGAGAATGAAATAGAAATCCTCAAGAGATTAAATGGAATAGAAGGAATTCCTCAAATAAAAGAAATTGGAGTAACAAGAGAGGGAAAGTAATTTTTTCGTTATAATTAAATTAAGGGTTTTTGTCATTCTTCCACTCTTTCATAAAAACTTATTAGAGTTAAGAAAATAAAGAAAATTTTCTAATTGGTTTATAATGAGAATAGGTTTAAGTATAATTGAAATATTAGAATAATTACATAATAAAAATATTTTACATCTGGATATAAAACCAGAAAATATAATGATTTATAAAGAATTTGAAAATGAATAGGATATTTTAAAACCTGGATTTATTCAATTGATTGATTTTGGTTTATCATAATAATATTAAGAAAATTCAGAATCATTGTAAGATATATTTATAGGTTCATTAAATTTTGCAAGTAGATCATCTCATGATGGTGCACCACTTGGATTTAAAGACGATTTAGAAAGTTTATTATATGTATTACTTTATTTAAAAGATTGTAATTAATTAATATTTTATAAAAATAGTAACATTGCCATGGTCTAATAAATAATATTAAGGATTTTATAATCTGGATTTCGAATAAATCAAGAAATCAAAGTTTAACTTTTTTAAAACAATGATTTTATAATAGAAATCCTCTTATCATTTATCTTAATTTATCTCTTACATTGACTAATTGAACCATAATCTTCTACCAGATTATCAATATATCAAATAATTGTTTAAATAGATGATCTAAGAAACAAATCATTTATTTTATTATTTCAAATAAGATTAACAGTAATCATTTTGCACTCCTACATAAAGTTATGAAGAAGATTCAGACATATAAAAAATATCAAATTATGAGAACTTTGATGAAATACTTTTAGATCACAAAAGTGATAGAAGTGAAAAAACGATTATTTTGGTTTCAAATTTAGTTGTAAAGTATAATACTCAATAAATTAAATCAATAAAAGACATCAAATATTGAAAAATTATTACTATTTGAATTTATAATCTAATATTTTTAATTATAAGATAATTATTTATTCCAAATTCCTTATATTCAATAATAAAAAATGAGTAGACTATTAGACATTAAATATATTTATAAAAATAATTATAGCATTTTAAATAAAATTTATATTAATGAATTCATAACTACATTTCAATGTGGTTAGAGTGGATAAAGAAAGTTATAATTCTAAATTTATTCAGTTTAAGCTTTAAAAGAGTAGATGAAGTTCCAAGAAATTTTAGATTTTTGTGAGATGACTTAAAAGATGTTTAAAGAATAATTTAGTAAGCAACCAAAAATATTGTAGATTAAACAATATCTAATTATGGGATTAAAAAGGGAACTGTTAATTATTACTTTATAAAAAATGAATTAGACAAAGAATTAAAATATTTAATTGAACAATAATGTAGTTTCTAACTATTTCAATAAATTAGCTTTTGCATTAGAAAAACTAGATAAATTTGATTAGGCAATTGACTTATGGGATATAGCAATTAAAATTGATAAGAAAAATTAATACAATTATGAATAAAAATGTTTAATAAATTACAGTTATTCATTTAGCAATTATCCTAGAAAGATTGGGAAGATATTATTAATTAATAGAATGCTGGGATTAAGCAGTTTAATTCAATAAGAATAACATTCACTTTTATCATTAAAAGGGTATATCATTATGTATATTAATTTCAGCTTTAGCATTAAATAAAATGAATAGACATTAAGAAGTTATTTAATGTTGGCATCAAGGAGTTATAAATAATATAAATAATCTCCAATTTTATTCATAAAAATGTTCATGCTTTCATTATTTTTATAGCTATTGCTCTAATAAAATAAAATAGAATCGAAGAAGCATTTTGTTGTTGGGACTTTGGTATACAAAACAACAAAACAGATGCTTAATACTATATACAAAAAAGTGAGAATAATAATATTATCATTTTTAGCTTTAGTTTTAGAGAGTTAAGGGAAACTTTAGGAAGTGATAGAATGTTGGGACATTGGAATCAAATTCAATATCCATAATGAAGAATTCTATGTTTAAAAAGGTAAAATATGATAAAAATTTTAGTTATGGCCTTAGAGAAATAAGGTAAAATGAATGAAATCATAGATTGTTGGAATTTAGGAATCTAAAATAATAAAACCTTTAGTTACTACTATGAATAATTATGTATTAGATTAAATTCAATTATTTAGCTTCTTTCTTAGAAAAAATTGGAAAAGTGGGTGAGATGATGAATTGTTGGAATTTAGCTATCATAAATAATAAAAATAATTTATACTTTTATTAATAAAATGGTATTATTATCATTTATTGAATAGCATAGTTACTACAAAAGCTAGGTAAAATACAAGAAGCAATTGATTTATGGGATTAAGGGATAAAAAGTAATAGAAATTCAGGAGAATTTTATTAAGAGAAAGGTAAAGGAGAAATGTATGTTTAGCCATTCTTTTAGAAAAATAAGGTCAATATTTGTAAATTATAGATTGTTGGAATTAAGGAATTGAAAACAATAAGAAAAATTAATATTTTTATTAATAAAAAAGTATAATTACTTAAAAATGATTATTTAAGCAAATGCATTAGAGAAGGTAGTAGNAATTACAGTTATTCATTTAGCAATTATCCTAGAAAGATTGGGAAGATATTATTAATTAATAGAATGCTGGGATTAAGCAGTTTAATTCAATAAGAATAACATTCACTTTTATCATTAAAAGGGTATATCATTATGTATATTAATTTCAGCTTTAGCATTAAATAAAATGAATAGACATTAAGAAGTTATTTAATGTTGGCATCAAGGAGTTATAAATAATATAAATAATCTCCAATTTTATTCATAAAAATGTTCATGCTTTCATTATTTTTATAGCTATTGCTCTAATAAAATAAAATAGAATCGAAGAAGCATTTTGTTGTTGGGACTTTGGTATACAAAACAACAAAACAGATGCTTAATACTATATACAAAAAAGTGAGAATAATAATATTATCATTTTTAGCTTTAGTTTTAGAGAGTTAAGGGAAACTTTAGGAAGTGATAGAATGTTGGGACATTGGAATCAAATTCAATATCCATAATGAAGAATTCTATGTTTAAAAAGGTAAAATATGATAAAAATTTTAGTTATGGCCTTAGAGAAATAAGGTAAAATGAATGAAATCATAGATTGTTGGAATTTAGGAATCTAAAATAATAAAACCTTTAGTTACTACTATGAATAATTATGTATTAGATTAAATTCAATTATTTAGCTTCTTTCTTAGAAAAAATTGGAAAAGTGGGTGAGATGATGAATTGTTGGAATTTAGCTATCATAAATAATAAAAATAATTTATACTTTTATTAATAAAATGGTATTATTATCATTTATTGAATAGCATAGTTACTACAAAAGCTAGGTAAAATACAAGAAGCAATTGATTTATGGGATTAAGGGATAAAAAGTAATAGAAATTCAGGAGAATTTTATTAAGAGAAAGGTAAAGGAGAAATGTATGTTTAGCCATTCTTTTAGAAAAATAAGGTCAATATTTGTAAATTATAGATTGTTGGAATTAAGGAATTGAAAACAATAAGAAAAATTAATATTTTTATTAATAAAAAAGTATAATTACTTAAAAATGATTATTTAAGCAAATGCATTAGAGAAGGTAGTAGACTTTGAGTCTGCTTTAAGATGTTGGGATGAAGGAATTTAAAATAATAAATAGAAAAAGTTTTATTATAAATAAAAAGGTAAAAAAAAGAATATATTTTGAGCAAATACTTTACATAAATTGGGAAGAATTGATGAATTATTATAATTATGGGACTTAGGGATTAAAAATAATGTTTATGATGATTATTTTTATAGAAAAAAAGGTAGGTTTATTTGATGACATTATAAAGCAAATTTGTTAGATTAATTAGGAAGATCAGATGAAGTTTTAGAATGTTGGAATATTGGAATAGATAATAACAAAAATCAAATTATATATTATGAATAATTATGTATGAATTATGTGTAATATAAAGGTAAATACATATTAGAAAGTAAAAGGGAGATGAAAGATTAAGAATTAATGTAAATATTGAATTTAGGAATAAAAAATAATATGAGTAATATAACCTTTTATCAATTAAAAGGTATTAATAATAATATTGTTAAGTAAACTCATTATAAAATTAAAATAAGTCAGATTAAGTTATTGAGTGTTGGTAATAAGGTGTTAATAGTAGTTATAGTGTATTTAAGAAAGAATTTTAGTTTAAATTAAGTTGATATAATATGTAATATTTAGGTAAAACTTTACAAGAATAGAAATAATTTAAGAAAGCAATAATTGAGTTACGTTTATGTAATTCTTAAATGAGTAATTCAATTTTGAGATAATTAAGAAATGAATATTGATTATCAATTTTAAATAATTATTTTTATTAAAGACATCTTAACAATATTATTTTCAGATTAGATATTAAATATATTTAATTTGAATTTTGTTTTAATTATGAGTAGTTTAATTGAGATTAGAGATAACCTTGTTTTTATTGATTAAAATATTAACAAATTAATTTTATGAAATCTTGTGTATTCTTTTGCTTATTATTGATAGCATAATGTTATTAAGTAAATCAAAGTGATAAATGCAATACATGCAATTAATTAAAATCATAAATGGATTGTGAAAATGGGAAATAGGGTCTAAATTTATGTGAATGGATTAGTGATTCTAATATGAACAATGGAAAATGTTAATAAAAAATAGATTTGTAAAATCCTAATATGTCTTATACATCTTATTGTGATTTGGTAATTTAAAAAGAAATAAATTGTCGTTTAACAAATGGTTGTGCTTATATAAATAAAAAATGTATAATCTTTGCTGGTTGTTCAGCCTATGGATATTAAAGAACATTTGATTGTTAGGCAATCTCATATTAATGTATAAGCGATGGAAAATCATGCATAAATATAAAGGAATGCAAAGATTATACTGAAGACAAATGTAATGTTACACCAAGTTTATCCGGTAAAAAAATATGTAAGTGGGATTAAATAGAAAAGATTTGCAAAGATTATAAATGTTCTGAAAGTGATGATAGTCTAAAAACTGATGAATAATGTGATTAATGGTTAAAAGGATGTATAACAAGAGGAATGGGTTGTTGGGATTCACCATTGCCTCCTTGTTCAAATTATAAAGGGAATGAAAAGAGTTGTAATTAATATTTTGGTTAAGATGGTTATTGTGAAAAAGGATTAGATGAAATGTGTTAAGCCAAGAAATGTGAAAATGCCTCTTAAGAATTTAATACTGACTCTGATTGTTAAAGATATTAGAAAGGTTGCATAACAAATGGAAAGGGATGCATATTTGCCTAAATAAGACCTTTATGTTCAACCTATTTTGGAGATAGTTATACATGCTAAGGTTATATTGGATCAGATGGATAATGTGAAGGAGATCAAGCTGGGACTATATGTAGAGCCAAAAGATGTGAAAATTCACCAAATTATACTACAGATGAACTATGTAAAGAATATTAGTCTAATTGTATTACAAATGGTGTTGGTTGTGTTTAGAATTTATAACCTTGTAGTAGTTATAAAGGAAATATTAAATTATGTTTTGCTTATAAAGGAAGTGATGGTTATTGTAAAGGTGATGAGAAAGATAAAGATAGTCATTAATAATGCATGGTTAGAGTTTGTAATGAAGCACCAACTAATTTGTATACAGATGAGGAATGCAATGCTTATTAGATAGGTTGTGTCACCACTGGATTTGGATGTATAAATAAAATAGATAGGAAATCATGCACAAGTTATTTAGGAGATTCTCAAAAATGCTTAAGATTTGTAGGTATTGAAGGGAATTGTATGTGGTTAAGTGGTCATTACTGTACATCTAGAGAATGTCAATTAGCTCCTGTTAATTAGATGTGTAATAGTTGGATGTAAAATTGTGTAAGTACTGGAAAAGGATGTATAATGAAGAGAGAATGCCAATAGACAATTAATTAATTAAGTTGTGAAGGTACTGAAGGTTGTTTTTGGTAATCTACATGCAATGATAATTCTGATTGTTTTTAATTTAAGAGAGAATCTATTTGTAGATCTACAAATGCTAAGAAAGTTATAAATGGAATACTTAATACAATAAAATGCACATGGACATAAGATGGATGTAGATAATTAAATTGTTATGATTTGATAGGATAGTAATATAAAGATGACATTAATTGTTAAAATGAAATATCATATTGTATTAGTGATATGAAAAATTCATGCATTACTAAATATGATTGTTCTAAATTATATGGAAATAAGTAAACATGTCTTGATTATCTTGGATATTGTATAAATGATGAATTTGCAGATGATAACACACCTTGTATTTTAAGATAATGTAAAGATAATGTTGAATTAATAAGTAATTAAGAATGCAATAATTTCTTACCAGGATGTGTTAGTAATGGAAGAGGTTGTGTTGAATATGGAACTGAATGTTCTTAAATGTAAGGTGATTAAAATATGTGTAATTAATTCTTTGGATATTTAAGTGGATCTTCTTTAAATTTTACAACTATTTAATGTTACAATCATAAATTTGCTAATTCATAGGCTTATTGTTAAATAAAGACTTGTAATATGGCAGAAGATTTAGAAAATGATAATTAATGTCAAGAATTTTTAAATGGTTGTTTTTATAATGGAAATGGAGGATGTATAGATCCATAATAGGCTACTTGTGAATCTTATTATGGTGATGAATTATTTTGTGAATAAGCAATTGTTGGACAAAATTAAAAAAAATATTGTTTTGGCACTTCAAATAAAGGATAGTGTATGAAAAGAGAATGTTGGCATATTTCTAGAGCATAAACAAATTCAGAATGTGAATTATTTCGTTAAGGTTGTTTATTGATGAATTCAAAATGTGTTGATTAAACTAGTATAACATGTTAAGATTAATCAGGAACTTAAGAAACCTGTTCATATTATTATGGAGGAATCTAAATTAATAATTAATGGAATAAAATTTAATGTCTTAAAAAAGTATATTGTTAAGAAAGATAATGTGAAGATGTTCAAAATCCTAATAATCCTTAAGAATGTACCAACTATAAATCAACTTGTAGATTTTTTTAAAAAGGTTATCCGTGTATTAGAGCTAATAATTGTAATAATTATTAAATTCCAGACTCTGCTAACACAGATCAATTTAAATTTGATTATTGTAATAGCATAAAAGATCAAATGGGATTATATTGTGGCTGGAATGAAGGTTTTTTTTGTTCTACAAGAGATTGTAATCAAATATAATATGGATATAGTTCTAATTGTTCTTAATTCATTCAGTAAGGTAAAACTACAGGAAATGGAATATGCAAATTAGCTGGATCAATTTGTTATGCTCCAAGAAGTGATTGTTATTATTCCATACCAATAAATCTCATAAATAATCAATAAAAGTATAATCACTGTATATAATTTCAAAATGATAAAGGAATAAATTGCACTTATGCCATTAATGATTCAACTTGTAGTTCATAGGATACCTGTGAAAAAGTAATTAATTCTCAAGATGCAAAAACTTGCAATGACTTTTTGGGATTTAATAGTCTATGTTAAAAGGGTAAGAATTCTAATTGCTATACTACATCTTCAAATTGCTTTGATTATTAGTTACCTCCTCTTTATACTTATACTTAAAAATTGGATGTCTGTCTTAGTTTGAAAATTTTAGATGGATCTTTTCTACCAACTATTGGTTATAAATCTTGTACATATGTTGATGGATAGACCTGTTCAAATATTACTTAATGTTAAGACATTAAAAATGCTTCCTCTTAGAAGGATTGCAATGAACATCTTACTGGTTGTCTCTATTTCTAAAATGAATGCTATTCTTAAGTTGCATCATGTAATGAATTATTATTCCCATCTGGAATCACATCTGACTCTATGAAATCTCTGTTTTGTAATAGTATGAAAAATAATGCTTCATCATACTGTTCACTCAAATACGATAAGAATGGATGTGAAGATAGTCCTTATAGTGATTGTAATTAAATTGTATCCATTCCATCATTTTGGGATGGGTAACTAACAAATGTTGATTAATTTTGTTTAGCTCATACTGATAAAACCAAAAGTATCTAATGTATTAATGATAATGGATTATAATGTAAAGCAGGAACTTGTGAAGATATTCCAACACCTCTTGACTAAAATGATTGCGATAATCATATTAATGGATGCATATTTTACTTTAAAAAATGTAGAACATCTGTTGATTTGATAACTGCTGATAATTGTAGTGATACTTCTAAAGTTCCATTTCCTCAAGATATAATTGAATTATCAAATAATAATAAAATTCAATATTGTGAATTATTTAAGAACAATGTTAACAACATCAAATGTACATATGATCAATTCAATGGTATTTAAAATAATTGTACATCTGTTAATGCAGCTTGTACCAGTTATCCAATTCCAAATGAAATAATAGATAAACAGCTATTTTGTTAAAGTAAAAAGAATATTTTTGGATTTCATTGTAAATATAATGAAACTGAAGAACATTGTAATGATTTAAATTGTTCAGACGCAATTAATCCAAAATCTCAATTAGATTGTGACACTTTGGTATTTCAGAATAAATGCAAATATTTGTTAGGTACTTGTTATCATTATGAAAATACTTGTAGTCAAATACCTGCTTTAAAGGAAAACTCAAAAATATATTGTGAAAAACTTGTTATTCAAACCAAATAATGTACATATATAGGAGGTGATTATTGTATCGAAGTAAATAACTGTGAATAATATAATGTTGAAAGTGTGACTAATAAATTGGCAATATGTAATTAATTGTTAGATTATTCATATCAGAGCTGCACTTATCTTTGGGGTAATAATTGTGTCAATTAAAGAGCTTGTGAAGATTATGATGGTAATATAGATAACCTAAAGGGACCATAATAAGGTTTTGAAGATATGTAATGTTATAGTGTTAAATCAATATTAAATAATCGTTGTGTTAAAGATCAATATCAAAGTAGAAAATGTAGACCTTAAGTGTGTGAAGATATTTCAGATGAAAATAATTGTTTAAATGATGTATTAGGATGTTTTTATTACAATTTAAAATGTTTAACAAAAAAGGAATGCTATTAATATTCACCAATAGGATATAGCTAAGAATAATAATAGTAGTGGTGTGAAGGAGTACAAAGTATAAATGGATCTTATTGTAGGTGGAATGGAACAGGATGTTCAAATAGAAATTGTAGTGATGTTTAATATTATACAGATTTTGATTGTTAAAATTATCTGACTAATTGTAAAACAGATGGAATGAAATGTATTGAATATAGTTTGAGTTGTAATTAGATGAAGGCAATTAAATAATTATGCGGAAGACTATTAGATAAAAATGGAAAAGACAAATGTAAATCTGATGAACCAAATGATATTTTTGGAAAGTGTGATAATAGAACTTGTTATGATAATATAAATGCTTAATCTGATACTGAATGCAATGAATTTATGCATGGGTGTGTTACTAAAGGATATGGATGTATACCAAATACTGAACCTTGTACATCATATAGAGGTACTAAGATAGAATGTGAATAATTCAAATAGTTAATAAATAATGAATATGTATATTGTTCAGGATATTAATCAAATCAATCAATTAGTAAATGTAAAGTGAGAAGTTGTTCAGATAATACTACAGCAATTTCAGATTAGTAATGTTCATAGTATTTAAAAGGATGCATAACTAAAGGGGAAGGATGTATTTAAGAATCAGCTTTATGTTCAGAATATCAAGGAAATTAAGCTATTTGTTAAAAGTTTAAAGGAAATAATGGTTAGGATCATTGTTTCAGTACTTCAATATCAGTAATATATACACCCTGTAGAAAATTAGAATGTAGAGATATCCAAGGTGTAGATAATTCATCATGTAATGAGAGATTTGAGTCAATCACGTGTGTATTTGATGGATTAAAGTGTATTAATTATGGAATGAAGTGTTCTGAATTTAAAGGTAATTATATTACTTGTTCCAAATTTATTGCTATTGATGGACCATGTAAAGCAACGCTGATGGATGAAATCATAATCAGTAATTGCACAACAAGAGTTTGCAATGAAGCACCTAATACATTAAAAACTGATTAAGAATGTTAGATATATCATCCATCATGTTATACTACTGGTTATGGATGTACATCGATTAAATAATGTGATAATTTGATTACTTAAGCTGCTTGTTAAGAAAAATAAGAATGTTCATGGACTCATTTTTGTAATTAATAATATAAAAGCTGTGATTCAATTAAAAATGCTAGCTATTCTATTTGTTTTAACTCAAAGATATAAAATTAAACATGTGCATTCACTGAAAACACTAGTTAATGTCGTTCTTAAACTTGTGATGATTTACCTAATTATATTACATCTCATAATTTATGTAATTAACTGAATCCCAAATGTACAACTAATGGAATGGGTTGTATAACTTTTGGTTAATGTTCTACTTATAGAACTGCTTCTATTTGTCTTTATGCTTAAGGAGTATAAAAATGTATTTGGGATGAAACAGAAAAAGGATGTAGAGATATTAGATGTTCTGATTTTAACGGCAGAACTGATGTTGAGTGTGAATAATAAATGAATGGATGTATAACTAATGGTAATACTTGTATTTTTGGAGACTCTTGTGATGAATATAATAACTAAAATTACTGTATTCAATCTAAAAAGGGACCCTGTTTATGGATTTAGAATTCATGTATTAATTATTCTAAATGTGAGGATGCTAAATTTAAAACTTTTTAAGAATGCTAATTAGTATCACCTTTTTGTACATCTAATGGATTAAATTGTATTCCACTTACTTTTTGTGATTAATATCAAAATCTAGAATCCTGTGTATTTGGATTGGAGAAATTATGTGGATGGAACGAAAAATGCTAACCCTTTAAAGCCTGTTCAGATTTAAAATCTCCAGATAATAATGTTTGTAAATTATATCATAATGATTGTGTATCTGATGGATAAAAATGTATTTAAGTAGTTTAAAAATGTTCTATGTATCTAACATCATAAGCATGTATTAATCTATCCTAAGAAGAAACTTGTATTTGGAATTAAATAACAAAAACTTGTAAATCAATTACATGTGAAGATTATCAATATAAAACGCATTTTGAATGTTAACAAACAAAAAATTAATGTACTACTAATGGAACTACTTGCATTCCATTATAAAAATGCTCTAACTATGGAGAAACTTCATGTTACTAAGGAACTGATGGTCTATGTATTTTTAGTTTTCCATTTGAAGGAAAGACTCCTATTAAATCTTGTAGACCCAAGGAATGTCAAGATGTTTACAATGCATAAAATAATCAAAGCTGTTAAAATATCTTACCAGGTAAATAATGTGTTTCTAATGGTATTCATTGTATTCCTAAAGCATAATGTAGTACTTACTTAACTCTTACAGCTTGTTAAGGGGGAGGTATTGATGGTAAAAAACCAACCATTTGTGCATTCATCCCAAAAGAAATTAACTCATAAAATGGTACTTGTAAAACATTTTCTTAATGTGCAGATGCAGATAAAGATGAATTTACCTGTAAAAGTAATCCATCTTGTTATTGGAATATAAATAAATGTGTTGATTAAACTTGTGAAACCTTTTCATCTGGCTTAAATTGTAACCCTATACCAAGTTTCGATGGTACTAAATATACAATATGCTTATTCGAAAATGGAAAGTGTTAAACTAATGATCCTAAGACTATATCAGAATCTAAAGCTTGCTTTATTAAATCGGCATACACACACACTTGGAATTCCATTACAAATCAATGTGAAGCATGCTTTCATTCAACAACTCCTTAAAATCCAGGTTCAACTAACATAGACATTATATTATCTGTATTTGTAACGGCAATCTTGATTGTTTGAATATTTTTTTAGTTTTAGATCTATTTTATTATTTAGATTTAATTAAATACATAAATACGTAATAAATTAGTACATTTAAATATATATATATAATTCAAATATTTAAATATGTTCTAATCTAAAATTAAAGTAGAAATCTCAACCTTGTAATGCAATAAGCATTTTGGAAATCCATATATACAAATAAAGATTGATAAGGGATGTAATGGAATAGAAAGATTAATGTGTAGTGAATGTATAGCAGATTAGAGAGGAGTTTATAATGTAATGTCTATTGTAGAAGCAAGTGAGAGAATATAAAATTTGAAGAGCTAATAATAATAACAAATATTAGATTTTATCAAATCATAAAAACAAATGCTAGAAAAATTAAGAGAGAAAACTAATAGTCTCTAATCTAAAATTTATGAATTATTTTCCTCATTAAATTAAAAATTTGATGATTACTCAGTAGAATTAGATAATTTAGTTGCAGAATATAATTGTTGTGATTTACTCAAAGAAATTAATTTTCTTTTTGAATCTCCTAATTAGATTATATACTAATAGTTTCTAATAGATTCTGAAAGGATTTAAATAATGAATCGTATTTATTCATCTAAAGTAAATAATTTAACATTAACTTTAAAATCTATAATAGCAGATTGGAATGTATAAAATGAGTTTGATGAAAAATTCAACTAAATTTCTACATAAATTAATAATAATAGAATTGACAAAAATCATTCCATTTTGACTAAAATTTCAGAAATCAAACAATAACAATCTTGTTGGGCTATTGCATTTAATAAATCTAATTCAATTATGGCAGCTGGATGTGAAGAGAATATTAAAATTTGGAATTTTCAAGATAAAAAATTAATTGATTCTGGAATTACATTAAAAGGACATTCTGATTATGTATAATGTTTGGTATTCAGCAAATATCATGATTGGTTTGTCTCAGGTGGATTAGATGAAAAAATTATATGTTGGAATCAAATTAATACAAAGAAATGGTAAGAGAATTAATTTTTGAATACAGGTTAAGGAATAATATAATGTTTGATATTAACACAAGCTGAAGATTAAATTATATCAAGCCATGATTCAAAAATTAAAGTATGGAATCTTAATATTGAATGCAACATTATATCATTCAAATAATCATTAGATATGCACAAATAAACAGTTTAATCTATTTGTGTTAATGAGAATTCAACATTTTTAATATCAAGTGCTTCAGATAATAAAATTATTCTATGGTCAAAGAAATCTTCATAAGAATGGTCATACTAGTGTACTATCAATAAAATTACTAATGATTGTGGAAATAGAGTTAGCTTTATTTCTAATTCAGCGTTTGTTTGGCAATAGGAGAAATAAGGAATTTTACATATATTTAATTTTGAGAATGGAGAATTTATCGAAAAACCTGAATTAAAAGTTAAATTAAAATCAGAAAATAAATAAGATAGAACTCTACTTTTTCCATCTATTTTTAATAAGAAAAAGAATATATTTATTTAAAAACATCATAAATATGTATATATTTTGAAGAAAGATAATGAAAATTAATTATTAATTAATGGAGATCCAATTTATTGTGAATCCAAATTTAATTATGGAACTATTACCAATGATGGTAATTATTTGGTAATTTGGAATTTAGAATCAAGATCATTTAATGTGTATTAAATAAATTGATAATTACATTATAATTAATCATAAATTAATTTAATATCTATCATACTTTTGATAACAAATTTTCAGTTTACTTTTTTATACTTAATAAATATTAGCAAATCAGTTACTTTTATTTTCATATCATAATAATAATTTCATTATATTTACATTTTAAATTAATTTATTTAGCAATTACATAACTTTTGATAATATTTACTTTATAAATAACGTTTCTTTTGGATTGTTTAAAATAAATTTTAGATGATAATTTAATCTGAATTATATAAGAACATTCATGATCTGAATGAAAAATATCATTTTTACATATTTTTTAGTTATTATAAATTAACAACTGTTTGAAAACTTTAAAATGGACCTATTTCCATTCATTTATATAAAATTACTCAAATTTTTATAGAATTTTCTGCTGAGTTTCATATATTCAAAAAAAAAAACTCAATATTTTCATTTTTTTGTTATTTGTCATAATGAAGGCAATTAAATACGTTTAGTTCACAATCTATTTTTTATATTTAAAGGCTTAAATATTCAGTATAAGTTAGAGTAATCAAATATTTGCCAATCACATCAAATTTCTAATTTTAAACAACTTCATTACATTTCATTTTTATTCCTATTCTTTATTTCATTTATCTGTTTTATCTCCTGAATAACATATAATTTAACTCCAGTTATCTTTTAAATTAGTTACTATTAATTATAAAATTTCTGTAGCGATATTAAATTATCCTCTTTATTATGGGTTTTAATTGATAATTATCTTTTAAGTTATATTTAAATGTTTCTCTTTAAATAAGAATCCAAAAATAAAGAAACTCATTACTATTTTATTTAACCATTAATATTTATGTTTAAAGTATAAATTTAATATAAAATACATATTAATGGGAAACACTAGTAAAATTGAAAAGGGACAAATGAATAGTAATTAAACCACTTAATATTTCAGTTATTTTAAGTAAGAAGTCAAGCAATAGATTTCTTAGAATGAGATGTGCAAATAACTAAAATTTAATAGTACAAATTCTTTGTTATTTACTGTTAATGAAACAAAGATTAAAATTCATGTTTTTCATAAAGGATTTTTAAATAAGATATGTGAATTTTATCACAGTAATAATATATTGACATATTTGAATTGCAAAAAAGACACAATTTTAATTTCAGCTTGAGATTAAATGATTAAAATGAGAATTTTATTTGATATTAACAATAAAAAATTTTAAAGGACAATAATAGCAAATAAATCTCAATTTAGTTGTTTTGCTCTTAGTGAAAAAAATAATTTATTAGTAGCAGGTCTTTAAAATCATATTTTTTTTTTTTGGGATGAAAATTGTGAATGGGTGTTTAAATAAGATTTAGAATCAATCGAAGGAATTGATTGGGTTTATAGTCTAAGCTTTAATGAGTCTGAAAATAAATTAATCTCATGTAATGGAGATAATAAAATAGCAATAATGTAATAACCATGTAATTAATTATAATAATGGAAAATGGTTTAAATAATTAATATGGATAATTTTGTTACTTAAGCAATCTTTTTTGGGAATGATTCTTTTATTATTCATCCTTGGATGAGCAATAATATGTTAGTTTATAATTTTAATTAATAAAGTAATGTATTTACTTTATCAAATTCATTTCTTATGGAAGGAGAAGGTTAAAGTTGTTATTCCTTTAGTTCATTATACATAAAGTATAGAAAGTTTAAATTTAATACAATTTAAAATTAAAAAAAGTTTAGAGATAATTATTTATCAAATAAGATAAAAATTAGCTTTGCCTATTTTTAGTAAACAAAGACTAAGAATTATAATTATTCTAAAGAATTAGATTTCAGGAATGGCACATTTGGGGAACTATGAGTGATAATGGATTATGGCTAATAATATGGGATTAAGCTTCAAAAGAACTAAAAGTAATCTCTTGTTTTTAAAATTGAACAAATAAATCCTACCAAGATTGAATATTATTATTTCAATTGAACTTATATTAAGATATTAAATGAATTTGCATTCCATATTTTAATATTTTCATTAAATAATTAACGTAGAGTTATCTATTTCTTCATCTTTTTTGCGTAATCAACATCAAGATACATATTATCTTAAAATCTTCTCATTAATAATCCTATAATTTTAAGATTTAATTTCAAAATAGATTATATTTTTATTAGAAAAGGCTTGATGAATATGGATAATCATCGGCCTTTTCAAATAAAACTAAAACTGTTTAACAGATCAATAAGCTTTTTATATCATCTCTTTGATCTTTATCAATTCTTATAAAATAAATCCTACAAGTCTTGATCATTCTTATCTATTTGAAATTTACACATTATTGAGACTAAGATATATTATTAATTTAAATATTTTATTAAACATCTCATTATTTGATTAGATATTTTCCATGTAATTTAATTTATTATTATACTAATATAGTATCTGGAACTAACAAACCAACCTTTTTCTCAGCATTAATTAGAATTAATATAAGATCGAGTAATTAACTATATGAAGTAGTTAATTTAAATACATTTTGCCTGAAGTTAATCTATATAAAAATAGAATTTCTGTGAATAACTTTCTAAATAAAATTGAAATTAATGGGACAGATATATATAAAAAATACATAAATAAATTCTATATAATATTACGTTGATTTTGATCATCATATCTAATTAATTAATTTATGAATCATATTATTCAACAACCAAAGACTAATCAAAAATAAAAAAAGGCATCTAAAGTAGTTTTGGCACATCCAGAAATTCAACCAAATAAGACTCTTGATGAATTAAAAAGCAAGGAATGGATTGCAGCAATACAAAAGGAAATTGATTAATTTGAAAAGGCTATCGTAAATAAATTATTTAATTCGTTAGCATGAAGTAGAATCTTTGTTTAAAGAAGCTTCAATATCTTAACATTAAATTAGTTTAGGAAGTGTTAAATTAGTGCATGATGATTATTAATTTGCTGCTTTAAAATTACAAGTATTAAGAGAAATGCTAGCAAAATATTTAGAAGATCATACTAAATACCATCAAAACAAATAAATATTAAAGCCTCTGTAAAATAAATATGCAAAAACTGTTTAAGAGCATCAATCACTCTCTTAGATGACAAATGATCAACAAAATTTAAAATTCAAAATTGCAAAAGAAAGAGAGAAGATATAATTCTAATTTGGAGTTGCTTAAAGAGTTTTAGTTCTCATCTAAGCCTATCTGAAATTGAAGGATCAACATGAGGATCAAGAAGATTTGTAAAAACACAGAGATTATATTCTTTAAAAGATTGACAAAATCTAAAAGACAGAGGAAAGGCATTCCAAGAAGATAGATAGACATTTTAATAAAATTTTAATTGATGATCCTATTACATATAAAGAAATTGAAGTTTAAGAAGAATAAATAGATGAAGACACTGTTTATGAAGGAACTAATACTACAGTAAGAGAAGATTTAATAAGTAATTTATTTATTTATTTTATTTTAGAGTTATGTGATAGATTGATTGCTTACTTCACAAAGTTTGAGAAGAAGGAAGGAGTATTTATAATAATTTTATTTTTGAGGATTTATTCTTACAACATGATTTAGCAACTTACCAATTTTTTGACCAAATTAAAGTGGCTGTTCCATTTTATTCAAATTAGATTGATATGACAATAGATTTGATTAAAGCCAAAAGATCCTTTTTTGAGAATGCCCCTGATACAGAATTTTTTTAAACCGGTGTTAAAAATGTTGTTAAATAATAAGAATAGAAAGTGGATGTCACAAATGAGTAGGAATTTCCTAAATTATCATGAGATAATTTTATAATCATATTAAAATCAGACAATTATGATAAATATTAAATTTTTGTCTAAAAATACGATCAAATAAGAAGTTTCCAATTAATGTTTATTCAATAAATTAATCATATATCGCTTATTAGTTGCAATAGGATAAAGAATCAAACGAAGTAAATGATATACTTGATTCAACTAATTGATTAAATATAGTATAATACTTTAAATATTAATATTCTCAAGTTACACATTTTTAACCTAAATCTCAAAGAAAAAAAAAAAATATCTTTTTTACATAATGATAAATTATAGCTATGGTGTTCTCTTATAATACTTAAACTGGCTTAAAATATTCCTCCTATACAGAATATCTTAGCCATTTCACCTTAATATTAGAACTTCAATAACCTTAAAATTATAGCCTATTCAAATTATTCTTTCAGACCATAAAAATAAGCAATAATATATTGAAGATTAAGAATGTTATCTTAGTTTTATTCAAGAATTGAAATTTATCATTTTCACTGAGTTCTTTAATAATGATATCCATAAAAGTTTTAGGAAACTTATAATAATTCATTTATTGAAAAATCTTAAATTTCCTTGCTTACATTTAAAGCTTTTAGATTCACTCAGTAAATTCAAAATATTTTTACTTCAAATTATATATATATTATTACAATACGGTCAAAGTTATCAAATATTCACAATATGATTTAAGTAATCTTGACACATGTATATTAGCAAAACAATTTACAGGATATATTTTTGGTAACAACAATGTTATAATCTTATACTTTTCATACAATTACCACTAAAAAATTAAAATAGCTTTAGTTGAACTCTGAAACATTAATGAATAACATAATAATTATAGATAAAAAAACACTTGTGAATTTTTTATATTTTAGAGAAAGAACAAGAATAAAAATCAAAACTTAATTTATACAAATTGGTGATCACTCCTAAATTAATAACTCATTTCTCCTGATATTTTCTGATCTGAATTTCTTTTGAATTTTCATCCCAAGTAATCAAATACTGCCCATCATCAGTCATATATCCAAAAATACTACGAGTCCCAAATTCAATAGATTCCTCAATCATAAACTTTCCATCTTGTTTCTTCCTTATAAAACTAATATTTGAACCATTCTTATCACAAGCATTCATTTTGATTTTATATATTATTAAAGAAATAAAAAATAATCACTACCACCTTTTACAGGAATATCCTTTGTCTTGGTATACTATTTATTACTATTATTCATCTCAAAAACTTCTATGTAATCTTTCCCATAAGGATAGAATGTGAATGTTTTATTATCAATAAAGCATAATCTAAAACCAAAATCTTTTACTGTAATCTTTTATATTACAATCCATTATTTATTCAATTCTGATTGTTCAAATACTAATATAGAAGAACCATATCCACAAAATATAAATTTATTTGATTATTCATTGAAACTTAATCCTAATACAGTACTTGTATGATCTGTAATTGTCTAATAGCAGAACCATTCATTTTATTTCTACCAGAATTTAATCTTGTAATCATTACTACCAGATATAATAATATCTTCATTATTATTTAATAACAAACATACTATATTACTTGTACGTTCATTCAATTTCTATTGGCAAATCCTTAAACCATTTTGATTACTTGGCCATATTATCATTGAACTATCAGTACTCCCAGATATAAAATGATCCGATCTCTTCATGAAATTGAAAGTACTTACTTCACGCCCATGTTCACTAAATATTAAAACTTATTTTAAGATTCCTTATATAAATTCAAATAAATTAAGTTAATTTAGAAATTGGAAGAATTTTCTGAAATAACAAATGCAAGAGAATAACTAGAAAATTTAGTATTAGGTAGGAGTCTCTACTAACATTTGATAAAAATGATGAAAATGTTTAGAAGAAATAGAAAAAAATTAAGAAGCACTCAATAATCATAATTTAATTTATATCCAAATACCTAAACATGACCAAATGCTAATTGATTACTAATTTTTTTTTTTGCTTATCAGGAGATTAACAGGAAATAAATAGAATTTAAGGAATATAAAAGATTCACTAAAAAAATTTGAATCTCTCAATTTTAAATAATTTTAATTTGAATGGGCAATCAAATTATATATTGAATTGTAATAAATTCAATTTAATTAAATTTAAATTATCATGAATCACTTCTAGTAAAATTAAAAGAAATTTTATTTAAAATTAAATAGATTAGAAAATTATTTGTCTTTTATTTAAATAAAGACTTTAAAGTTAATGCAACAATAATTTTAAATAAACATATATATTCAAAAAAATTATAATTGATATATCTCATATTCTATTATTTCTGGATCCATTTATCCAAATAAATATTAACTATTTTCATTATCCTCGTTATCATCATTCTCATTATCCTCTTATTCCTCATCATTCTCATCATCCAAAAAATCCTGTTTTTAATTGAAATAGTCAAATTAATATGATCAACCTAATCTAGAATAGCAAAATTAAAAATTGCCATCTATTCCAATATCGCCATCACCGAACGGGTCCTAATTGTGAATTACAATAAATAGCATATTCTTTTTGATTCTACTTCAAAGGATAAACTTGATCATGATTTTATGAAAATATAAAAGATGACAATGTATTATCTTATACGAACTTCCCATTACATGATTTCCATTTACAAGGAGAATATGTTCCAAAAATTTAATCACTTTTTGATTGAAATATCATAAGTAAATAGTCTCTTTCATTCACTTTCTTTCAAAATTATTAACTTTCTAATCCATTTTTTGTACCTTAATAAATTAAAACTGAATTTTTTATTTTTTTAATAATTGATAATTCTAAAATTTTGAATAGTTTTATTCAGTAATAATCTTAAAGTAAATTAGGTTTTACAGTTTATCAAAAATAAAATTCAAATGATAATTTAAATATTTTTGTTATCAAATATGTATAAATATGTATTAAAAAAAATTAGCCATTAAAATATCGGGTTATTTGCATTGAAAAATAATATTGTATATGTAACTTAAGTTAATGAATTTCACAGATCATTTGATCTTCAGGCAGTTAAGCGCCTAACATATTCATTTTTATGATTTTTATAATGAAACATTAATTGACTTTATTCTATTTTAGCAAAAACTAATTATTGAAATTCAATGAAATAAAATTTATTTATGGTAAAAAGTCAAATTAAAAGCAATTATTTTTTATTTTATTATAATAAAGAAAATCATTAAAATAACTTAATTGAAAAAAAACTTTTATAATAATTATTCCTATTCAGTTTGAAGCCTTAGTTTAATTAAAATAACTTGATAATATGGAAAATATTTCATATTTAAAAATTTTTATAAAGCAACTTTTTGATTTTTACTTAAGTCAATATAATTGATAAAAATACAGTTTTTATAGAAAAATGAAGATTTACTACTATTTTCATGTTAGAAAATCACAAGAAATTATTAAATCTCTCAGTATTGAATTATCATAGGTAATCACAATATAAATATCCTTGAAGTATGATTTGAAAGCTTGGAATACCAAGTGATTTATTGAATAGTAAAAGGATCTTAGGAAATAGCAAATCGTAATAAACAGAAGATTATATAGATCATTTAATCTCAAGTTATATAAAGAGTAAAAAAATTCAAATAACCTCCATATTATTAATTGACTTTCAAAATGCTGAATCATTAACAGATAATTAAACGATAAATAGTGATTATAATTTGTATAACATATTGAATACAAGGAGAAATGTTTTAAAGCGAAGGAAAAATGAAAATGAAAATAATTTATTATTTCAAATTTAATTATAAGATGGACATATAAATTCAAAAGTTTTAATAATATTAGAATGTAAGTAATAGTTGACAAAGAAGAAAAAAAAATCCGATCCAAATTGTAATTTTTCACTCTTTCTAATAAAACAATAATGAATTGTATTTTAGTTAATATTTATTAATATAAGAAACTAATAATAGCATTAACCTATTTTATGAAAATCAAAAATGTTATTTATATGCTCAAAGTTCACCTTTCTCAACAATCAATTTTTAATGTAAGAGAGCATGCTTAATTGACTGACATTGATTAATATAATTACTGTTAGAGACTGTATTATCATTTTATATTTAAAACTACTGAAAAATTAACTAGATTCGTTATAATTAATTGAACCTGACCAAAAACTGAGTTTATGCTTTTTAATATTTATAAATTAGTATTTCTTTAAAATTATTTTTATTGCAATATAAAATAGATATTAGATTTTAATCTCAAATTAATTCAGATTAATATTCATATTTTTATTAACTCAATCAAAAATCATACATAATCTGAACTGTTAATTTAAAATTTATTATAAAGAATCAAATAATACTTAAGATATATGGCATATCATTTGAAAATATGTTAGAACTGATCACCTGGTCTATTTCATTATAAATACTCAATTGGATGATATTTCGCTCAAATTTTTTCGAATATTTTAATTTTATAAAATAATGTTTTATATTTATTCTAATCAATAAATTGTGATATTACTTAAAAATATTTATTATTAATACAAATAATAACAATTTCTATATGCCTTTATAAAAAATTTCCAAAAAATCTAAAAAAGTCTTCAAAAAATAATGTGTTACTAAAAAGAATATAAAAAACAAAAGAGAATAGAAATTCAATCAAATATCAAATGATTTAAAAAATGAATTTAAATATGTTCTTTTACCAACAATGTCTATTAAATAAATTGAGACATGTTATGCTATTGCTATTAATAATCGTAATACACTTTGTATAGTTGCAATGTGCTCAATGATCAAAATTATGGAAATACAAGAATTAAAGAAAGAATTCAATTAAAATTCCTTAGAAGACAAAGCAAAATGTATTTAACTACAAATTCTAGAAGGAATACATACGGATATAGTTAGCACTTTAAATTTTATGGAAAAACCTGAGAATATTGATTCATTTATCTCTGGTTCATTTGATGGAAGAATCATTATATGGGCTCTAAAAAAAATAAAGCAAGATTTTGTTAAACAAAAATAATGGTTCCCTTAGTTTATTTTGTTAGTTCATATTTCTTATGTAAACTGTTTAAGTTTGCTGAATGATGAAAATATTATTTCTGGAAGCAGCGATAATACTATTAAATTGTGGAATTTGAATAAAATAAAAAATGATTGGTCATGTATTCAAACTATTAGGGAGCACACTGATATAGTTTTTGGATTATCAATCAATGAAGATAAAAAACAATTAATATCTTGTGGAGGTGATAAAAAAATATTAATTATGAAATTGACATCAAATGGCAAATTATAAATAAATTAGATAATTAATGTTGATATTAGAGGTAGTAGAATAACATTTATTACAAATGAATTGTTTGTTTTCCTTTAAGAATCATCAAATAATCTTCATATTTATAAAGCTTTAAGAAAAAATATTTATGAATAGTATTAGGAATTTCCTGTTTCAGGAGGAGGACAAAGTTGTGATTTTTATTTTCCAGCATAATATATCAAGCAAATGAATCTCTTAGTTCTAAAAAATTGAAGATGTGTAAATTTAATAAAAATAGATATTAATCTTAACAATTAAAATTTATATATTTAATGCAATTAATAATAGGTTCTTACATTTGGAAAACTTGAAGTCTCAAGAACTTATGGAACCATAAGTAATAATGGGGACTTGTTGATGACATGGAATTCGACATCAAATTAAATACAGTTTAGAATCTTGAAAGAGAATATTGAAAAAAATCATCATATTTGAATAGTTATTTAAATTTGGTCCAATTTTTATAAATAGTAATACTTTTTTACTTTATATTATTCTTAAGATTTAGAAGAAGAGTATTATAGTATAGTATTTCCTATAATTTTCCATTACATTATTAGCAGATCTTGAAAATATCACAATTAGTAAAGTAAGTTCTTCATCAAAAATAGGTATAATGTTGTCTAAAAAATGAATATGGTATGATTATGGAGTACAATGTTTTATTAAGCCAATATTCTGAATATCTATTGTTGTTAATTAAAAAAAATATAATATATTTATAATGAATGAGTATTTTTCTTTTAACTATTTTTATTAGGTAATTAAATTTTTAGGGATATATAATTTTTCTTAAATTTACCATTATTTAGAGGCTTGTAGATAAAAATTTTTCAGAAGTTAACACTTTTTAGAATAATTGAAAACTAGAGATTATTGAGGCATTTATTCTGACTATTCTTTTAGATAGAAATTACTGTTAAGTATTGATTATTTTGAATATTCAATAATATTATTAGCAATTCAAATACAAATAATGCTACAACCAATATTTGTGATGATCCTTTGAAGGATTTGAAGAGATTAAGAATTATAAATATATTATACTTTAACAACGCTTGACACTCAACTTTTTGAAATATTATTTAATAGTTATTATAGTGATTCAGAAGGAAAATAAAAATTTATCTCTATTAATAATTTTTTGAAAGTTACATAGGTTTTAAATAAACAGAGTGTAAGGGAGTTTTCAATACTCTCATTATGGTAACATTTGTATATAAGATAATAGAATTAAATTAAATTTATATGATGATGGTACACATGCAACCTGATGGAGATTTAATTGTTTAGATAAAGAAGGTTTTGATGAAAGTAATTATAAAAATATTATAGATTTCAGAATTGTAAATTTGCTTTTAAGATTGCATGTGATATAGTTTTTAACTTAAAAAAATTCAAATTATAAATTGAATGCTACATTTACTTTAATAAGTAAAATTTAGCATTTATTATTTAAAGTATGCCTTAATAATTATAATATCTTATTTTAATTACATGTATATGAGATATTTATTATAACAGTTCTCTTTCCTTGTTATAACCCAATAAAATTCTTGAAATATGTTCATTTTAAAATTGATTTCATTTTACTGATTGCCACTTTTTAACTGTCTTTTTGTAATGTAAATATTGAAAGGTACTATCTAATTTTTTAACTCTACATTCAATGCTCATTTAGACTAAATATGAAATTCCATTAGCAATGGTATAATAATAGTCAGTTTAATGGTAAGACGTAATGATCAAAATTCTTTCTCATTTGATGAATGTAATCTATGCTAATTTTAATGATATTTTTATTGTATGCAAGTATTTATTTTGTTATATTGATTGAGAAAAGATCTGTTGCAAAGTGTTTGGTTAAAATTATAGAATTTATCAAATTACGTGAAGATTAAAATTATCTAAATATGATTGATGCTTCAATTGATATTCTGTAATTTTTGTTAATTAGTATATATCTAGTATCAATGAATAAGTTAAGATATTTTTCTATATTTTCAACCTTATGGAAATGGTTAAAGCTAATGATATCTGATATTCCTCTTTAATAAGTTGTTGATCATTTTCACTCAATTTACTAAAAATGGATACTAAAAATATCAAAAGTATTTAAATTAAGAAGAAATTAATTGTGAACCCATTTGTGGTATCAAAAGCTGTAGAATATGATTACTTGATAAATTAGAATTGCTAACAATACAGATGTAATTGTTAAGTTATTGTTTGATATGTAAGGAACTAATTATCAATAAGGATAAGCTTTTGATTTATAGAAGAAATGTCATTCTTCATCTGAAGATTCTTTAATAGTTGGAAACGAATCAGAGGTAACAATAATTTATTGTGAATTATGGTTGTAATCTTTGATCATTAAGTGCTAGAAATCATGTTTAAGCTATTAATTTGGAATCTTTATCTGATACGAACAAAGATATTAACTTTTAGATGGAGAATGTTAAAAAATTTTGAATAATATTGATTATCCTTAAGAGTTTAAATATTGTTCTAAATGATGATATTATAGAGGTGAGGATACAAATAAAATTCTTTATGATATTTTTCATAAGAATCTATTGGAAAAGGATTAGATAATATTACCAATAAATTGTAAAGTATTCTTGGAGATGGGATTGTAGCACATGACGAATAATGAGATTACGAAGATTTAGAATTAGAAGAAGAATACTATAATTGTAAACTATAATGTAAAGAGGTATTAATTATTTATTTATATGGTTAATGTTTTTTTATGTCTTTCTCCTGGTTAGAAAGCTTTTCATTCTTAGATTAAAATTATAACAGATTAAATGAGTTTATAACCAGATAAGTAATCTTTATAAATTGAAAGCACTAATTTTTGAAGTAACTTTTATTCTTTATTCATCTATATATAGCAATATTTTATCATAAAGTGCTATCATTAGATAAATTTTGAATAAAAAAAACTAAAATAAATAACAGAGGCTGCTCGAAAACAGTGCCACATAAACCAGTTGTTTATTGATGTAATTTATAAATATTTATCTAGTTTTAGAAAAATAAAAGGAATTAATTTACAATTTTTTAGTATTTTTCCAAAGATAGTTGTATTAATCCTATATCAAAAAATAAAAGCAAAAGCAAAACTACCAAAGTTTAATTACAGATATTTATTTGATAAATTAAATGTGGTTAAAATTTTCGAAATTTTTTTTATCAATTAAATGTCCATTTTATTATCTATAAATTATAACCTACAAGTCTGTTATTCAATCCATAAAAAATAAAATATAAGTGCTATCATTTTAAACTGACTTACATATATATATATGTCAACATTCATAAAATTTTTGTTTGACGATAATACTAGTAAATGTTATATTAAAAAGTAGCAAAATATTAGCAAATTATTAATAAATAAATAATTTTTTCTTATTGAATGATGATGAGGATTAATAAAACCTTTAGAAAATTAGACATTTTTGGATAATAAATTAGACTAAAAGCATCTGGCTCTTCTCTTTATTAAACTCACATTGGAGCATTTATGACTTTATTATTGTTTAGCGTCCTTATTTATTCAGGTAGTTTATTTATTCTTGAAATAAACAAAGGAAAAAATGCTAACTTTAACTCTTAAGATGCTGTCATTCAAAATAATGAAGTAATTTCTTGTCAATTATAGGGTTTAGGGTTTCAGCTTTAATTCTACTGAACTGATATTTTCAGCAGGATTGCTTGATATTCTGGGTCAACCCATTCCCAATGAGGGCAACAGAATTTTTAAGATTGGATTTTATGTGTGTAATAAATCATTAAATGATACAGAATGTATTGTTATACCGGGAACAATTTGCGGAGATAGAATTCGTGCAACTTCAAAAGTAATAATAAATAATCATCAACTTAGTAATTAAATATTCCATAAGCTTATGAAAATATTACTTATTGTATGAGTGATGAGTACATCAAAGAGAATCCAGAAATAAGAATTTAAGGATCAAATCGTTATGATAATTTTACTTTATTGGGAGCATTAATTGAAAGATGTTCAAATACCACTGATATTTAGAGTAAGATATTTTCATAGTTTTAGATTGCGCATCAAATGAAGAAATCGATAAATATACAGCAAATTCCAACCTTTATTATTCCTATTCTTTTCATCAACTTAATAAAGAATCAGATGATTCACCATATTAAAAAACTGAAAATATTGATCTGACATCACTTTATCACAAAGTTGGGAAATACATCAAAATTTATTTTCAATACTCTTAAAGTTACCTTGAATACAATCCCTTCTATTTTTTTCCTAGATAAGTGTATCATGAGGGGGTTGAATACTAAAAGACAGTTATTGATAGTGTGCTTTATTTTTAAGATGCCACTACATTAGCTAGAATTGAAGTACATCTGGATGCAAAGAAAAAAGTATGCTTTATCACATATTAAACCTTAATGGATGTTGTTGCTAAGTTAGGTGGGTTGTTTACAATTATAAAGGCTTTATTGAATTTTTTACTTTAACCTATCTAGTCAATTCTATATAAACTATTTTTGATAAGATTTTTTATAAACCATCAGAAGAAAGGAGATAGTAAGGATGTATTATTGAGGGATTCGAAACTGAAAGATATTTGTATCGAAAAGCTTATTACTTCTTCGACTATGAGAACATTTTTTTATTAATAATCTAAATTAATTAATAAATATTTAGATGTAAGATAGATATTAATAAATCCAATTCAATTTACATAAAAAATAGAGGATTTACAGGATTCGATTAATAAAATTGATATGTTAAGTTCTAGATAAATTAAACTAATTAGCAGGCACGAAGTTGATGAATTATTAGTCTAAAAAAATAATGAAGAATTTATCAATAGCTATGGAAGTATTAATTCAGAAAACAAGATAGGAAATTAGGATTATTATGTCATTCCAAAATTAAAAGTGTAGATGTGTTGAAAATTATTAATTTGTATTCATATTAAAATAAATTCCCTTTATAACTAAAAAAAAAAAAACTAAAGGAAATTATCTGAATATTTTAGAAAATTACTCTAATCTTAAAATTTTAATTTTATATTATCTCATTCCTATATATACGAACAGAATGACTTTCTATTCTTTAATGCTATCTTTTAGCTTTTTGAACTTAATATGAGATTAATTATTAATAAAAATCTTTCTTTCAATGAAAATTACCTTCCTTAATATTATTACATTCTAACATAATTTGAACAGTTTCTCGATCCTGAAAATCATGTCTTAGCCTGCCTTATACACAGCAGTACCGTCTTGGCTATTAATTAAAACAAAATTGATTATCAAATGCATAGAAAATTAAATCAAATTGCTTTGGAATTCAAACCTATAAAACTCAAATGATTTTAAGATACTTTTTGTAATTCAATTTTATTTAAGTGCAATTGATAAATTAATTCCATAAATATATCAACAACCAAAATCTGAAGTCTTATTTAAGGTACCGTTTTGATAATTGATATATCGAACACATAAAAGTAAATGATTAAAAAACATTCAATTAATACTAAATTTTAAGAAATTTTATTAATCTATTTCCTATATTATAAATAAAATATTTAAGAATAATAAGTTATTGCCTCTATTTATTTTTTAGGTTTGATGGATATCGTACTAATAAAGGGCATTAATAATATTTAATGGTATCTTTAAGTCAGTTAATTGTAAAACATCAGTGTACTTAAATTTAGGTAATATAAAAACAGAGGCTTGCTTAGTAGAATTATCCTTCTTCTCCATTTGAATTGAGGAATGTTATATTTTATTTCTCATCATCATTTTTTAACCGCGATATTAATTAAGATAGGACTTCAAGTGAACCTTATTGTAAAGCCTAGAAATCATAACTATTTAATAAAATATGTTTGATACTATGTTGAATTTCTATCTACTATATAACAAGAGCTAAAAAGAGATAGAATATGGAATTGTACTTTATCCCAATTTTAAATGTTTAGTGCTATACTATTTTTTTTAGGGATGCTTTGAAAGGATTAAAACATTTATCGTTACTTAATCCAACTCAAGTTACCTAAACCTCAAGTATTCAATAATTAATCATCAAATTATAATATATGTTTTACAGTTGACTGGTAAATTGTCCCCTTTAGAGATTTTAGCATATAAATATCGTAGACAAGTTAATTTGATTATTTTCCCTTGTAATATATTTCTTTTTTTGGGGGTATTAATCAATTCACGCACATTAAGTTATATGTTTCTTACTGTAGAAGAGCCAATAATTCCTGCAACACTTTCAATTGGAAACGGATGGTTAATTAATTATATAGTTGAGATAAATTGAAAAAAATCAATGGGTTTATATACATGTAATTGGTGTTTGAAAAAATAATCAAAATTGTTCTAGATATTAATTAGATTTTCGTAAATTTTAAACAATTTTCAACATGAAATGAAAATAATAAATTTTAGATTTTATTTGTATAAGGCGTGCTTTTTGAAAGAATTTTGAAGACATTATTATGAATTTCTTGGCCAAAATACCAAAATTGAATCTTGTTATTGAAAAATCAAAACTTATATTAAATATTTAAGAATTTTAATTACTTCTATATATAATTTTTTTCCCATAAATCCTATTACTAAAAGTATAAAAATACTGTATATTTTTGTTTTAAAAAAAATCATTAATGTTATTTCAATTAAAAGTTCGTTACATAAAAAATTTTTGAGGTATACTTATGAAAGATGATTGAGTTTTATACTTTAAATTAATAAAATAAATAGAATTAAACTACACTCTTATTTAAAAAATGAATCAAAAAATATTAAAAACTTAAAATAACTTGATAACCCACTTTTTTCATACTGAATGAGAAAAAATTTCTAACTACCTGAAAACTAATTAGTATTTTTTATTCTAAATTCCACCTTAAATTATCTTTAATATTATGGTTTTAAATATCGAACCAATTTGCTGTATTGGAATAATAATAACATTATTTTTAGGCCAACTAATTTAAGAAATGTACTAATATCAGCATAAGTTTAAACAGATTAGGTAAAAAAATTAGATCATATAAAACCATATTTATAGGTGCTACAATATTCGAATGTAAGTTTAAATAAATTTTGCAGTAGTATTCAGTTTTATGGCACAATTATTTTTATTAAGAGGAATACAACCACCATCCTAGGAGGCATATCCATCAATGCAAGATTAAAATTAATGTCCAGGGATCATTACATGTAGCATACAAATATTAATAAGTGTAAAATATCCATGAAAGAAGTGCTTTTCTATAAGATGGTAAAGATTTAATCAATATATTATTATAATTATTAGAAGAATCCCCCAGTCTTATTCTCACAATATCATATTTTGTACAGTTGGAGCTTGATTAACATTCGAGAAACCCACCACCAGCTGAAATTGTGGAACATATAGCTGAAATTTTTGAATTAGCAGCTTACAGAAAAAACTTATGAGTACAAAAATCATAAGTAATATTAGATGTTCCTCCTATTTATTTCATTACTTAATGAATTATATTTTAGCTATTTAGCAGAACAAGATTCGGATGTTCCTTCAATTTTTAGGATTGAAATTATGTATACATATAGCGCAATTATTATTTTTTTCGGCTGATGTTGTTGTAAGTGTCAAGCAAGTTGATGAAGGAATGACTACAATACTTGCAGGAGTACTAATGTTATTTAATTTTATATTGACAGACCGAGAAGTATCCATCAGTAATTTAGGTATTAAGCTGATTTATCTTATGGATAATCATTTGGACCTTCATATCTTAACCAAACTTGTGGGTTATGAGTATGATTTCAATTCTACATAAGTAAAAATGCCATTTTCAAATTTGATTGCTTAAGAAGACTCTTGGTAAAGAAAAAAGGCATGATGCTTTTATTTTTGAACAAGTTGCCAGTTTTGAGTATTAAAGTATTAATATGTAACTCTAGCAAGATAATTTTATTGGGATCCATTTACATACATCAAGACAAATGGTTTGTTTAATAATTAATAGCCACTTAGACATTATGAACATTTTGTTGCATTAATAAATTTCAAAGCTACTAAATTTCCATAAGATACATCTAATAAAAAATTTATATCAAAAGATTCTAACTTATTCGCTGATAGACAATATGCACAACCTAAAATTTTATAGGGATAATAAAAAGATCAAAATACTTATATTCATTAGATACTCCTATTAAAATAATATATTAAGTACACACATATCTAGTACTACAATAAGCTGCAAATGCTTAATTTTACATAAAACCTCACGCTAACAGAGTTAATCAATTAACTTTACATCTATTATAGAAATTTTACAAAAATAAAGGAGTGATCAAGATTATGCATAGACCTATTACCTTCTCTTAATATTTAACTAAAACTACCCTTATTTACGCTTAAAACAGGAATAAAGAGATATATGAATATCAATAGTATAACTTATATTAGTAAAAATTTTTATTCTATATTCTTTTAGAATCTTGTAATGCAAATATTGAATTTGCCTCTCCATAGCCCATTTTTCCTCAATTACTATCAAACTATACCTAAACAATGCCTGTGTTTCTTAATTAAAAAAAATAAGATACATTTTGATTTTAGTATAAAGCTTAGAGTAAAGTCATATAAATTCAATAATTATTTAAAAAAACAGAAATGAAGAGCAATAATTAATAATAAGAAGATCTATATGAAATTTTTGCTAAAGTTAAAGGTGTGGATGAAAGAATATTCAGAATAATTATTGAAATTTTTAAAAAGGAGAATATTTAGGACTGTATAGGATATCTTTCAGATAATTTAAATTCAAAACATCTAGAATAATACATCTAACAAGGAGAAAATTTAGAAAAAGTTGATTAGGAATAGAAGTTGTATGTGGTTAGAAATAACATTAAAAAAATAATTGATGTCTTAAAAAAAATGAAGGTTCATGATTTCAATAAGATAGACTATTCCAGTGAACGAACTAAAGAATCTATACAAGATCTCATTAAAAAAATAAAGGATGAAAGATAGATCATAGAATTTTTGTAATTTCTAATTCTCCTCACATCCATAGATGCCACCTTGATATAATGTGGCTCAAATTCATTAAATTTAATAGTTTAGATGAAAGTGGACATTAGAAAAAAAAATTTTGAAAATATNTACATCAAGACAAATGGTTTGTTTAATAATTAATAGCCACTTAGACATTATGAACATTTTGTTGCATTAATAAATTTCAAAGCTACTAAATTTCCATAAGATACATCTAATAAAAAATTTATATCAAAAGATTCTAACTTATTCGCTGATAGACAATATGCACAACCTAAAATTTTATAGGGATAATAAAAAGATCAAAATACTTATATTCATTAGATACTCCTATTAAAATAATATATTAAGTACACACATATCTAGTACTACAATAAGCTGCAAATGCTTAATTTTACATAAAACCTCACGCTAACAGAGTTAATCAATTAACTTTACATCTATTATAGAAATTTTACAAAAATAAAGGAGTGATCAAGATTATGCATAGACCTATTACCTTCTCTTAATATTTAACTAAAACTACCCTTATTTACGCTTAAAACAGGAATAAAGAGATATATGAATATCAATAGTATAACTTATATTAGTAAAAATTTTTATTCTATATTCTTTTAGAATCTTGTAATGCAAATATTGAATTTGCCTCTCCATAGCCCATTTTTCCTCAATTACTATCAAACTATACCTAAACAATGCCTGTGTTTCTTAATTAAAAAAAATAAGATACATTTTGATTTTAGTATAAAGCTTAGAGTAAAGTCATATAAATTCAATAATTATTTAAAAAAACAGAAATGAAGAGCAATAATTAATAATAAGAAGATCTATATGAAATTTTTGCTAAAGTTAAAGGTGTGGATGAAAGAATATTCAGAATAATTATTGAAATTTTTAAAAAGGAGAATATTTAGGACTGTATAGGATATCTTTCAGATAATTTAAATTCAAAACATCTAGAATAATACATCTAACAAGGAGAAAATTTAGAAAAAGTTGATTAGGAATAGAAGTTGTATGTGGTTAGAAATAACATTAAAAAAATAATTGATGTCTTAAAAAAAATGAAGGTTCATGATTTCAATAAGATAGACTATTCCAGTGAACGAACTAAAGAATCTATACAAGATCTCATTAAAAAAATAAAGGATGAAAGATAGATCATAGAATTTTTGTAATTTCTAATTCTCCTCACATCCATAGATGCCACCTTGATATAATGTGGCTCAAATTCATTAAATTTAATAGTTTAGATGAAAGTGGACATTAGAAAAAAAAATTTTGAAAATATAAATATCAAAAATACTACTTTGGTGGGAGCGAATTTAGTTAGGTGCAATTTAAGCGGATCCTAGCTTTAAAATGTAGATATAAGTGGCATTAATTTAAATGGAGCTATATTATTAAATTGTAAATGGAATAACATAAGGATACATGAATTAAATAAATTGAAAGGTCATACTAGTAAAGTCAATTCAGTATGCTTCTCCCCTGATGGAACTACACTAGCCTCTGGCAGCAGTGATAAATCTATCCGTTTATGGGATGTTAAGAAGGGATAATAAAAAGCCTAATTTTATGGTCATAGTGGTTATGTCAAATCAATATGCTTCTCTTCTGATGGTAATACATTAGCATCCTGTAGTGATGAAATGTCAATATATTTATGGGATATTAAAACAAGAAAAAAAAAATCTAAATTTGAAGGACATTCTGAAATTGTAAGTTCAATATGTTTCTCTCCTGATGGTAAAACATTAGCCTCTAGTAGTGCCGATAAGTCAATCCGTATCTGGGATGTTATAACAGGATAATAAAAGGCCAAATTAGATAGTCATTGTTATTTGGTCGAATCACTATGCTTCTCTCCTGATGGTACTACACTAGCCTCTGGCAGCAGTGATGATTCTATCCGTTTTTGGGATGTAAAGACGGGATAGTAAAAAGCCAAGTTAGATGAAGATAGTTATTAAGTTAATTCAATATCTTTCTCTCCTGATGGTACTATATTAGCATCTGACAGCTACGATAAATCTATCCGTTTATGGGATGTAAAGACAGGATAATTAAAAGCCAAATTAGATGGTCATTAATATACAGTCTAATCAGTTTGCTTTTCTCCTGATGGTACAACAATAGCATCTGGTAGTTGGGATAAGTCTGTACGTTTATGGGATGTAAAGACGGGATAATAAAAAGCCAAATTTGATTTTTTTTGTGATTTTGTCTGGTCAGTATGTTTCTCTCCTGATGGTTCTACTTTAGCATCTAGTAGTGCAGATAATTCTATTAGTTTATGGGATGTTTAGATAGGATAATAGAAAGCCAACTTATAAGGACATGATAATTGGGTCAGATCAGTATGTTTCTCTCCTGATGGTAACACATTAGCATCTAGTAGTGCAGATAAGTCTATCCGTTTATGGGATATTTAGACAGGATTATAAAAAACTTAATTTGATGGTCATAGTGACTGTGTATAATCAATTTGTTTCTCTCCAGATGGTACTACATTAGCATCTAGTAGTGCAGATAAGTCTATCCGTTTATGGGATGTTTAGACAGGATTATAAAAAACTTAATTTGATGGTCATAGTGACTGTGTATTATCAGTTTGTTTCTCTCCAGATGGTAATACTTTAGCATCTGGGAGTTAAGATATGTCTATCCAATTATGGGACATTAGGACAGGATAATAAAAAGCCAAGTTAGATGGTCATTATAATTTTGTTCGATCAGTACGCTTCTCTCCTGATGGAAATATATTAGCCTCGGCTAGTGATGACTTCTCTATTAATATATGGGATCTAAACATAGGATAACAAAAATTCAAATTGAATGGTCATAGACATTCTGTCTTATCGGTGTGCTTTTCTCCTGATGGTACTACATTAGCATCTGGTAGCGGAGATAAATCTATCCTTTTATGGGATCTAAACACAGGATAACAAAAATTCAAATTGAATGGCCATAAAAATTCTGTCTTATCGGTGTGCTTTTCTCCTGATGGTACTATATTAGCATCTGGTAGTGGAGATAATTCTATCCGTTTATGGGATTTTAAGTCAGGGTAATAAAAAGCCGTATTAGAGGGTCATATCTATTCTGTCTAATCAGTATGCTTTTCTCCTGATGGTACTACATTAGCATCTGGTAGTGGAGATAATTCTATACGCTTATGGGATGTTAAACAAAACGAAACACCACTTCAACCCTCCGAAACCAGTTATATCAATATTTTATCATAATTACAAACACCAAGTTAGTCTAATAATCTTCTTCCAAGTATTTTTTAGTATTATTTAGTTACTAATAATATTACTATTTTACTCATATCCAAATCTCTTCTACTATAAGCATAAGGGGCTCTTGTTGGTTAGGGAGAATTTGTCAATTATTATAGCATAGATTTACGACCATTATTGAAATCTAAAGGTAGTAATATTTTGGAAATTTAAATAGAATGATAGTATAAGTACAATTGATGATTATATAAAACATTATTAGCTTAATAAATGCATTTATTTCAGTATTTTCTTGATATTTTTCACAATTTAGCTTTATATTAGAAATTCTTCTTTTTATTAAATGGAAAAAAAAAATATTATCTCCTAAATTTTCATCAATTATTTATTTCTAAGTATTCTAGCTTAACCTTTTTTTCACTCGTGATTATCATACTCAGAAAAATCTACTATTTTAACAAGCAAATTTGATTGATATAGGTGATGAATTTCTAAATGAAACTGATAAAATATATATTAAAAAAATGGGACAATTGCTATTTTTAAATATAAGTTGCTATTTCGCAATAAAAGTAAAAATTTACTAGTTTCAAGTCTTTATTAGTTTTTTTGTAGATTGTAAATAGTTATATAAATCATCTGATTAAATTATTTATCATTCTATTTATTTGATAAAATCTTATAATTAATAATTTCTTAATCGATATTTGAATCAAAATTTCAATGGAATTGTAGTGAAAATAAAAATGGTTTTTTTATAGAAAAGTTTATCTTTATTAAATAGTTGAATAAAAAAGTCAAGAAAAAGTAGAAGCAACCTAATTTTTGGAAAATTTATCTAATTAACCAATCAATAGCTAAATTATATGATTTTAATTTTACACTACTTCAAAGATTTTTTCAAAAAATATTCATTTATGTAATTTACATTACTAACTTTGTAATAAAAAATTTGATATTTCCTAAATGTTCAATGGGTATTTTTTTAATTAGTTATAAATTAAAAGAAGAATTATTTATTTATGTGAATAGTGGCTAAGAAAGCCTTGATAGAATGTTCAAATTGTTAAATGCTTATATGTCTCTACTTCTGTGAGTTATTGATTTATTATCTAGATATCAAAATGATTTTTCTTTATTTGAGTTTTATTCAAACTAAATAAAAAAATAATTTTTCATGGTTACCTTATTAATTCTTTATTGATTCTTTCTATCTAGAAACTCTAGCCTCAATCAAGCAGATCTGGCTCAGTGAATTCAAATAGAGGCACCATGTGGGAAAGAGCACATGATTTCACTACACTCAGAATAAAGGAGATGAATTAAATTTGTAAGAATTAGGCATGAAGGAAATAGAAGGCACTCCTCTTTATATACAACATATATATGGTTAAATTGAAAGAATAAAAGGATTTCATCCAACATATAATGTTTATAATCTAGAATACTTGAGCCTTTGGAGCATTTAAGTCTTTTTAATTTAAATTTATAAAATTACATTGGATATTGAGAATGAAATTGAAACTTCAACGATAAATTATTGAGAGATTACAAGCAAGGTAGATATAAGAATAATAGATTAAAGAAAAAATTAATTAACTAAACTTTCTTTTACTAAGAGGACTTTATTAAGGTGGACCCTGGTAAATTAATGAGGATGGGTTCTTTATTGAAAAATTTATGGGTCAATTTAAGTCTTTTTTAACAATTACATTTTTAATGAATTTTTAAGAAAAGAAAAATATTAAAAAACTTGTCATATGTAATTGTCCATCGAAAAACATGAAAATGAAAATGGTGGTTTGAACAAAATATTAACGCTATTATATTATTTTTAAAGTCTAAAATCCTAATATTTTGAGCACCAAAACAACCTTAAAAACTGACTAACTTCCATATATCTTAATCATAAAAATTCAACATTTTTTTGAAATACTAAGATTAACACTGATAGTGTCAGGTTTTTTTTTTTCTACTAGCAGATTTTTGACCAAATTGGTTATGTTAGAATAATCTAAATTTCAATTCAATTTTAATTTGTATGGAATAGAGAAACAAACTGTTAAAAATGTCTAAGAGTTCAGATATCTGCTAGGGAAGAATAAATGCAATTATAGAAATCTTTTGATATAAATATCACCTGTTTAGGCAATTAAATCTTAAATTTCATCAAATATCCAACCATAATATATAGGAAATTGAATGAAAAAGAGATCATTAGATGGTAAAAATTATATCCCTAAAAAAAATAGATGACCAATGACAGTAATAAGGATTAAATTAAAATTATAATAATAAGAATCTTTTTAAATGGCTAGATAGATGGAAGCATGAAATATAAGAAATAGTAATATTTTCTAAAGAAAAGTAGACTAGAATTTTGAGGGATCGAACTTCTTCGAAAGCATCCGAAATTATCAGGATTCAGAATTTAAATTTCAGATTATTGAATAAGCTGGAGTAGCCCTTACATATGGAAAATAAAATTAAATATTTAAGAAATTAAGAATATTTGTATTGGTACCAATTGAGCGAAAGAAATCAAATTCAGAATTTTATAGACATTTAATCATTATCTAAAACATGATTCTGCATGGTTAAATGAAAACATAAATTTGAAGAAGAAATACATAATAATATAAATAAATATCCAGAAATAAACAAACCTGTAGTGATCATCATAATTTTCTAAATGAGAGTTTTAACGATTATTTATTCATAATTAACATATTCACAAACATTATTAATTTCAATAAATCGAATTACAACAAAGATAATAATGTCAAGATGAAAACTCTAGTCAGTTTGATAAATTTTATGAAAGTAAGCAAGCAATATTGTGTCCTTATTGAATTTTTCTAATAAGTCAGGTTGAATTTCATTTTAATATACTATTACAATTCATCTACTTTAATAGGAAATTTATATAATCTGAAATTAATTGACAGCCAAGGGATAAATGGATTAAAAATGTAACCTTAAATTGCAAAACAAATTATTTAACCAGAAGCAACGAATAACGTTAATTTGAAATGGAATGCTGTTATGTGTAAAAAGTCATAGAAGATTGCTTTGTTGAATCTTTTTATATATTTATCCTCTCTTTTCATGATCTGATCTAATCTAAAATCTAGATTGTAAATGTCTTTCTTAAGGGTTCTTATGTTTTCCTTACTTAGTTGTCTTGTTGTCTTCTATGGTCGATTATCAAGTCCTTATTGAGTTAGTACTCCTTAGAGAGATTTAATTTTTCTATGCATAAGTGAGTTATTTGCTTATAGTCTGGTATATAAGAAGAGTTTTGAGATAATATATTTATAATTTCTCCTTCTTTGTAGTTTTGTATAAACTTGTGGAATTGTTTCTTATTAGGTCTTTCTATGTCTAATATTTTATTTATAAATTATTCATCCCATTCGACAAGTTACGGATAAGTGAACTTCATCAAGACCACCATATGAAGTGAATTGGATCCACTTTAGA